CAATCTGTCCCCCCACAACAATCACATTCCGCCATTTCCACAACAGAGAAGGCAGTCCAAACAAGGTGTCACAGACGTCAAATAACTTCTCTCTAACAGACTGACGGTCAACAAAACTTGGCTAACTTGACACTACGGCTTTGTTATGACTGAGAGCTAGGCAGTGACCAGACTTAACTTCAGTGGACGACAGCGACGGAAGACAAAGTGATAGCGTAAAGTGGATTGGACGATGATGACGAGCACCTCAGTGGTGAACGCGTTATGGCGTAAGTCACTAAGATAACAAGGGATGAGTAGAGTGAGTGGCAAAGTTTTATGAGAGTAACTTATGAGAATTCATCGACAGAGGGAAAAGAGCAATTTCAGCGCTCTTATATAGACCTCTGTTTCTACCGAACTACAAACTAAACCAGCTACCTCCACCTTGCTGAATCATCAATGATGTCATGATTGATAAGCATCTGAGTAAGCAGCTTATCAAGCAATGATGTTATTGCTGATCAAGCAGCTGAGTAAGCACAACTAATCCCCATGCTGAATCAGCAATGACCAATCCCCATGCTGAATAAGCCATGACATCATATGATATCATGTGCTGACCAATCCATACCAAGTCTCCTAATGTTCTGATATCTGTCTAACCTTGATAAGCTCCATTCTCCTATTCCACATCATGCTCCTTATCATACTCTACAATGCCAATCATACCTCCTTGTATGCAGTGTCATAACAGGCTTCGATGTCTCACCCAAACAAAAGGCACAGGCGTTGAAAGGGGTGTAACTACGGCGTACTCCGACGTAGTTACTCTAACTGGGGTTTTTCTCCGACGGCAATGTATCTTGATTGTATGTAGCTATCTCTATCAATCTTTCACTACTGACAACAATCAAGGATTACTGAAGAACTTCAGTGATCTTTTCAGCTACTATTGTCTACTCCTCCTAGATTTTCACCCAACCCTCTCGCGCTTAGGCATACTTCAACGCACTTCATCCAACTTGTCATGAATCAAGAATCATGACCTAGTATCGTTATGGACTTATAAATAGTGACTCATGATTAATTAGGAATTGAGAAGTAATTAAGGAACTGCAATACAAACGGTAGTGCAGAATGTAGTGCAAACTGTGTTACAGATATTGTGGACCAACTGTAGGACAGTTGGTAGAACCAAGTCTTGTCTGCAGTGCCATTGCACTACAGATGGTAACTAGTCAACAAGTATATAAACCCATAGTATCAGTATCTTCTTCAGCAATGAATCTCCTTTTTCTCTTTTATCTTTTCTAACCTTTTCTCGATCATCCCTGTCACGAATAGACGACTGATGATGATGAAGCCACAATGGCGTGTCTCAAACAGTCTTAAAGGCAACAGTAAGTTAGAGTAGAGAGTTGAAATCAAAGATGACCATTGATCAGAGAGACAGAGAAACAAACAGAGAGCTAGAACCACTATTTATAGACGAAACACCCCAAACTGAGCCTCAAACTCCTTCCTCTCCTCTCCTACTTCCTGGGGGGAAACCCTGAGGAAACCCTGTATCAAAAACAGCATTCTAAACAACCTTACAGAAGGCTCTGAATCATCCTGGAAGCCCCCAAAAGAGATCTCTTCATCAAAGGTTAAATTCTTGAAAAGAAAGACGAATAAAGGATCCATGAAATGTGATCCTTTGATACCTGAAACTCTCCTATGCTGCCTGGATGAGCTCTGATCTTTCAGGGGGTTCAGAGGGTGTTTCTTAGGCGCCCACATTATGCAGATTTTGACTCAAAAGTACCTGGTTCAGTCCTGCGGGTTCGGTAGAGGTTCGAGAGGTTCGAATAGAGGCTAAATATGCTTAGTAGAGTGGTTTTCCTTCTGGTTCTCTCAGTTGAGTCATTCGCACTGCTGAAAGAGATGAAACCTCTGACCATCAGTGCGTACTCCTCATCACTAGTGTGTACTCTTCATCAGTGGCGTACACTTCTCCATCAGTAGCGGGTGTGTATTGATGAGTAGCGTGTTTTCCATGTTCAAACACGTGTTCTCACAAGGCTATCCTGTTGACCGGTTGACTGGTTGATTCCGTGGTTGACCCGGTGGTTGACCCGGTGATTGATCCTGTGATTGATCCTGTGATTGATCTGGCAAACCAGTTATTTGGTAACCGAGGGAGTCGTACTACCGTTGACAGATGTACGTACTCTCCTATGACGTCAGTGGTGTGATCGCTAGTTAAGGTACCTGCAATTGATCGTTAATTAAGGTACCCGTGATTGATCACTAATTGAGGTACCCGTAATTGATGGCTAATTAAGGCACTAATTAGTAATTAAGGAATTGATGGCTAATTATCAATCATCGATGATTCTGTCGTTTGTTGATTGGGACGGGTTCATATACAAAAATAGATGCTGACCAGCCATCTGGCTAACATTGCTCCCAAGGTACCCTCGCTTATCAGTTCGTCCGGTCTGAGCGGAACCGAGGACACGGAACCGGGTACATGTCGGCCGGAGCTTGGGATGACGACAGATGACGACAGATGACGACAGATGATGACAGATGACAACAGATGACAACAGATGATGACAGATGACGACAGATGACGACAGATGACGACAGATGACGACAGATGACGATAGATGACGATAGATGACGATAGATGACGTGATTGATGTATACAATGCCGAGTCAGGTTGACTCAGTGATGGGAGGGTGATTAAGGTTGAATGGTCATCCACATGTCGTACGATAGAACGAGTTGAGACAATTTGAGTAAAGTTGACTGGACTTGAGTGGATGATATGCACGTGGTATTTACAGATAGTCGAGGGTTATGACAATCCCCTTGGGTAAGAGAGTAAGAGACGTCACTCAGTTGGTTTTAACCCAACACTCTCAGTTCCCTCAGTATCAACATAGTCATTCCATCCTACAAGCCAGATACTAACCCCTTCAGTATCCAAGCCAGTCCCTTTGTTATTGCAGTCCAACCGCAGGCGTGACACAACTTCCCCGAGTCCCCGGCCATCCTTCTCCTCCTTCAACTAACTCCGCCTAATATCGCCGCACTTTTGTTCTTGTTGTCCTTAGTCCGCCTAACTTTGTCTAACTTCGCCGTACCTCTGCTTCCATTGTCCCTACTCAGCCTAACTCTGTCCAACTTCACCGTACTTTGCTGTCCTTATGCTCCAGGCCCCCGTATACTTTATTCTCCCGTTTGTCACAATCGTCGTTTCTTCTCTTCTACAGACCGACGGTCGACAAACCTCGGCTAACTACGTTGTAGTGGGGCGTTGATGTCTCACTAGGACAGGGTACTCGTCGGGGAACTACGGCTAACTACGCCGTAGTGATAGGTCGAGTGGTAAGTGATAGAATGATCGTCGATGAACTGCGGCTAACTTTGCCGTAGTGCGTTGAACTGCTCGGTGGTAGCTCTCCTTAACTCGATGGTTGTAGCTACTGAATATATCGCTCGCTACTGACAACAATCAAGGATCGCTGAAGAAGTTCAGCGACCTGTAACCTATCTATACTACTCCTCACTTCTCATAGAACGTCCCTCAACTCCTGCACTGCCTCACGCTCAGTCCTCTTCGTCAACCTCGCCGTACCTCGCCATATCCCCGAGATCCTACTCCACTCACTTCGACTAACTTCGCCTAACTTCCCCTGCTCTGCTCCCCCTCGGTTCCCTTCCCCTAACTTCGCCGTAGTTCTCCGCTAGGCGGGGTTGTCGTGACAAATAATACCCTCTTGGTTCTCGTAACTTCGCCGTAGTCCGTCTCAGTGGTTCGAGTGGAGGTTGGTGATGATGAAAGGAAGGTCGGTGATGGTGAAAGGAGGGTCGGTGATGGCGGTTGTCAGGGATGTTACGACGTAGTTCGTGACACCGTTGTACTTTGCCGTAGTTGGTCTCAGATGTCCTGAGTTACGTGTAGAGTGAAGAGGTTAAGACGTAATAGGGGTTTTGATGGTCAAAGAAGAGTCATTGCTGGTGGGATAATTGAGTGTCACAGCGTAGTTCGTGACACTCTACGAGCCAGAGACTAAAACCCTTCAGTACCCAAGGCATTACTTTGCTACCGCAGTCTACCCGCAGGCGTGACATTGTCCAACTTCCCTGTCACAGACGGGTAAATCCCTGTCACGGCTGTCGAACAACTATCTTCTAGTGGACCGACGGTCGACGAACCTTGGCTAACTTGACGCTTCTAAGTCGATGTCTCACCCAACCAGGAGGGCGCAAACGTTGGAAGGAGAATAACTACGGCGTACTTGGGCGTAGTTACTCTAACTGGGGCTTTGTTCTACTGATGGTGATGTATCTCGATTGTATATAGCTATCTCTGTCTGTCTTTTACTACTGACAACAATCAAGGATCGCTGAAGAACTTCAGCAATCTTCGCATCTAATATTATCTATCCCTCCTAGACGTTCATCCAACCCTCTCGCGCTTTGACGTACTTCAACGCACTTCGTCCAACTTCCCCGAGCCCCGGCCATCCTCTTCCTCCTTCGACTAACTCCGCCTAACATCGCCGCACTTCGGCTCCCATTGTCCCTACCTAGCCTAACTCCGTCTAACTTCGCCGTACTTCTGCTCCCATTGTCCCTACCTAGCCTAACTCCGTCTAACTTCGCCGTACTTCTGCTCCCATTGTCCCTACCTAGCCTAACTTCGTCTAACTTCGCCGTACTTGGTCTCAGATGTCCTGAGTTACGTGTAGAGTAAAGAGGTTTGGTCGTGATGATGGGGGTTTTGATGGTCAAAGGAGGGTCATTGTTGGTGGAATAATTGAGGTGTCACGACGTAGTTCGTGACAATCCCCTCCATGACACGCAAAATACACCTCATAGTATGACTATGCTCAGTGAGAATCTACATATCGGTACTTGTATGTAACAAAAGTGATGCATACTCCGACCAACGCCAGTGTGGCACCAACACCTCCGTCTATGGTCCTACTTCTATCATGGCCAGGTAGTCCGTGTAGGTGGTTTAGAATGATGTCTGCAGTCCGTCTGCTTTCTCCAGCTCATCCCGACGTGCCGACATACTTTCTATCAACTGATTTACTCGAGTGATTGGGATCCCATCCCAAATGCGCTGGATCTCCTGGAATAACTTCCGTCAACAACATATCCTACTTCTAGATCGTCAAAGACAGGGAATTCACCTTGTCTGCATTTGTAGGCTGTGGTCTACCATGATCTAATTCATGCTTGACATCAGCCCACATTGACTTGATTGGATTGAGATCCGGAGAGTATGGAGGATGAGGGAATTGTTGAAGAGAAAGCGCTGCCTCAGCATCCCGAGTAATTTGTGCTCGATGTGCCGGAGATCCGTCTACCATCATGCAGACTCCGCCCCCCTGTTCCTCCTGAACTTCCGCAACATACTTTGAGAGGAGTGGTCAAAGGATCAAAGTGATGTACTTGTCTGCATTCAATCCAACTGTTTTCCACCCTTTTGGTCTTTTGATACGTTCAAGGGGAATGCGAAATAGGGGAAACTTCTTGTTGTACGCTATAGCTCCCCAGATGGGGACGGAAATATGATTGGAGTGGAAATGAATGTGCATGTGTTTGGAGGTGTATTCTTTGTGTGCTCGTCGGATAGTCCACTCTCAAGATGCTCTGTGTTTTGATCCCTCAACAACAGTACATTCATCTGTGTATACCCCCTTCTTCCAATCCCGCTCCTTCGTCTCCTTTTTTCACTCCTTCCTTTTCTCAACTCCAATAGGGAGCAACCAAGATTTCTTGCGTTTGATCCTCTTGTGTAGTCCCTCCTTCTCAGCTACCCGTTTGACTGTTTGTCCGCTGACATTGTTTTGGTGTTCATCCACGTTCCGTCCATAATATTGCCAAGGAAGGTTTGGATTATCATCAATTTGACCAAGGATCTTGCGCTTAGCCGGCTCAGTTACTTTGGAAGGTCTACCGGAACGAGGATGTGAAGAGTGTGAGTTGTCCTCAAGCTTGCGTTTGGTGGTTCTGTGGACGGTGGATTGATTGATGGATTTCTGTGCCGCAATCTCATTCTGCTTCTGACCTGCGTCCCAGCGTCCATAGATCTCACTCCGCTTCACCTCTGACAGTTCTCTCCTCATCACACTCCTCTTGGACACAAGGCAGGAAGTATGGACAGATCAAAGTTAAAAAGTTTCGATGATCCACACTCAAGTGCCACACTCATCGGCGTTGGTCGGAGTATGCATCACTTTTGTTACATACAAGTATGAAAACACATGTATTATCCATGATAATATATGATAATACGGTTATTCTCATTGAGAATATATAGGGATAGGTGAGAATACATGATAATACATGGGAATAGGTAGATGATCCATGAGAATATGTCTATCCTTGCTGAAGATACATGTATTATCACCGAGAATACAGATAGTCTCAGTCTTGGTGTGCAAAGGAGGGTATGGATTAAGGACATATGTAGACTATATAAACAGTGCATCTACTTTGTGTTTGTCTTTCTTCTCAAGGATCAATATATTGTTTGCCACACACAATCTAGACCTCACTTTGCTTACCAACGTCGTCCCCCACATCACAACCTCTCTTATCGTCATCACAATACCCCTTGTCACCATCTTGACTTGCCCGGATCCTTCGCAAGACATCTTAGTCGTCCGACCACATCACAGGTTCACGGACTACATCTATATCGTTGTAGTCCCTGCCTAGTAAACCATTGCAGTCCTCCTGTCTCTGATCTCAGAGGTCTGTTAGGGACAGGTTCGTGACATTCCCCGACTCCCGGGCCATCCTTCTCCTCCTTCAACTAACTCCGCCTAACATCGCCGCACTTTTGTTCTCGTTGTCCTTAGTTGTCCTAACTCCGTCTAACTTTGCTGTACTTCTGCTTCCATTGTCCGTGGTCCATCTAACTCCGTCTAACTTTGCCGAACTTCACCATCCCTATGCTCCAAATGCCCGTACACCTTATTCTCCCGATGTACTTCTCCGTAGTTGGTCTCAGATGTCCTGAGTTATGTGTAGAGTGAAGAGGTTGAGGTGTGATAGGTTTTTGATGGTCAAAGGAGGGTCTTTGTTGGTGGGATCATTGTTAACAGCTATGCAAAAGTGGGAATCCCCAATTGCATCCGTGCTGGTTGTACTATTTCCAACGATAATTGGGGTGTCACAACGTCATTCGTATGGCTGGCCAAATGACCAATTACATCGTCTTGCATACATCGTTCAACATCATTTCTCTTTTCTCCACATAACTCAATAAGAAGAGTACTTAAACACTTGCCAAGCATACCATTCGAACGCCCCAGACTCCCCCTACACGCACATATTAAAATGGATGCATATCATGCAGGAATTATCAATGATGAACCCGTGAGCCCTCCCCCTCCTTCTGATACTGATCAAATCAGGTTCATCAACCGATTCCTCTCTCCCACAATGAGATTCTCATGCTTTATGAGGACATTCACCATTATCTTGACCCTATATCTATCCTTGTTACCTCTCCCCCTGATCTCCGTGACCCAGATGATGTAGTGGACGCTCAGGATGACATCCGTGAAATACTTGAATTACTCAACTCCCTTCAACTGTCTCTCCCTGTCAATATCTATACAGATCTCATGGTCACTGTTGGACAATTAGAACAGTCTCTGGACTGGCTGGCTGAGTCTCTCAATCAGCCAGAAGGGTTCCTTCCCCCTCCTCCTGGTCGGCGATGGGTACGAGGTGATAATGGCCGTATGAGACTTGATATTGATCAAGATTTGATGTTGCTACTCATGGAGCATGGCTGGAAGGACAGAGAGCTACAGGAGATGTTTGGATGTGTACGATCTACACTTCAGAACAGAAGAAAGGATTGGGGATGGTCAAAGAGGGGGTTTACTGTGACTAGTGATCTTCAACTCACGGAGGTGAGTAATAACTCACTTTCCTCTGACATTGTTCTATGACATTGGCTAATGCGTAGCATATCAATCGCTTTCAAGCCTCTACCACTGGGCTCCTTGGTGTCAAAGCATTGCAGGGAGCCCTCCGATCTGCTGGTGTCTTTGTTCCTCGCTATCGAGTCCGCGAAATACTTCGATCCATCGATCCTGCAGGTGTTACCCTTCGCTGGGCCCGCAATATCAAGAGAAGGGTGTACAGCGTCCCCTATGTCAACTCTCTGTGGCATATTGATGGCCATCACAAGCTGGTTACATGGAAGTTTGTCATCCATGGGGCCATCAATGGCCATTCCCGTGTAATCACCTTTCTACACGCCTCCACGAATAATCGTGCAGATTCAGTACTCGATCTATTTCTAAATGCGACTGAACGATGGGGTTGGCCTGCTAGGGTGCGAGCAGACTATGGAGGAGAGAATTTACTGGTTAAGGATGTCATGGAACATGTTCGCAGTGAGTCACGACACCTTTTACCTCTTTTATCTCTGTGTTCAAAATCCCTACCCACTCTTCTCTGTCATTTGCTGATGTCTGCAGGTAATATCCGTCGTCCCTTTATCCAAGGCCCTTCAACTCGCAACCAGCGTATTGAAAGACTATGGGTGGACCTGCAGAAGTGGGCTACTCTGTCTTACCGACGTGCATTCGAAGCCCTTGAGGCTGAGGGTGTCCTCGATCTGAATTCCCCCCTGCACATGTGGTGTCTCCACTTCTGCTATCTCCCTATGCTGAACCAGAGTCTCAATGACTTCAGAGTCTTTTGGAATAACCACGGGGTGCGGACAATGCAGGGCCGAACCCCTGTTGACCAACACCTGCGAAGTAAGTCTCATCTCCATCTTATCACATGTGTCAGCAAATACTGACCTTTAGGTCGTGTGGAAGCGAAGAAAAGGGGAATAAACATCATGCGAGACCCCCTGGCCCTCCCTCCTGAGACACCTGAAGCCATGCGAGGCGATACAGAGCAAAATTTCGAATACTATGGGATAGACAACTTTGGCCGAAGGGAAACTCGTCAACCTCAAGATATGGACCAGTATGTTGTTGTCCCGCCGGTTCTAGTAGGTGTACAGCCTGGAGTTCAGGCACTGTTGGAACAGCAGGAGACAAAACAAGTGTTATCTCAGTTTGCCGGGCCATCCTGGCTTCCAGGAGTGGATTGGGGACGACAAAGGTATATCGATACAGTGAACAAGTTAGGTGAAATTTTAGAAAATCGTTTTGATTTTTGATTCAGCAACAACACATGCTCATGAGATGTAGATAATATTGCTGGATAGCCATGAGAGAGCTCTTTCAGGATTGCATCCCAAAATCCATGCATGCAATACGCATACACATCATCTGAGGGCTTTTCAAAGTCACCAGTTTCACTCTCCTTGTAGTTCCGCGAACCGCCGACCAATGTGGCGCTCCAACTTTCCTCTTTCTTTTCACATATGTTTTCCAAAATCCTTTATTCACATTCACAAATCTCAATATTTCAGTATACAGCCTTCAGGTAAGAGAGAACTAACCCGTAGCTATCAGAAAATATTCATTTGAACCAAACTTAATTGGTACGATTTGACTTAATGACTCGACCGGATACTTTGCTTTGTCCAACGACTTTAGATTCACTTGGAGGGGTTACCTGGATTGGATGAGCAGTTCCCGACCTACTTGAGCCGGCCCTGGACTTCTTGGCATGTCCTGGACCTGCTACAGCCTTGCCTTTACGTTTTCCTGATGGTCCAGCTTGAGATTTGGGCTGAATCACACTGGATCCTTGCTGCGAGTTTGTCATTTGGCCCCGAGGACGAAGATTCTTGGATTTCTTGGCTAAAGCAGATAGATCTAGGGGAGGAAGTGACTCAATGTCATCCATACCAAAGTCTTCACTATTCACGTCTGTATCATCAGCTAAACCCACAGGCCTTCAGAGGAGGATAATTACCAGCAGAGAGCAATTGATCTTCGGCCGACTCGTGTTCTTCTGTGTCTGTTGACATGTATGTCTGTGGGGAAGTTGGTTCTTCTTTGATTACTGGTCTCTTATCGATAGGAGAGTCAGTTAGATCGACTGGGAGGGACCTAGAACCTTGTCGAGCGGGCTAGAGGACAAGTAAGCACATTTTTCATGAAAAACTTGTAACTTCCTTCACCCCCTCCCTTCTCCTGACTCGTAGGTCAAAATTACTCACATTACGAGACGTGCAGGCCCCTAGATGAGCTGTGTATAGGTGGGAGGCCATCTTCTGACCACAGGCGTCACATTTTCGGGTTGCAGCACTGCTTGGGGGTGGGGTACTAGGTTCGTCTTTGTCCGAGTCATCAGATCCATTATTCTCCTCATTCTCCAACCTCTCCACTTCCAATTTCCAAGCTTCAGCAAAAGAGGAGTCCCCTGTGGTACTGTCGGAAACTATCCATGCGTATTCAGCGCGAACAGAGAGATCGTGGACAGCTTTCCCCCAGATCGCACTAGATTGACCAGCTCGCATGAGGACATGGGAGAAGTCATCTCTCTCGCACCACCTGTCCAGTAAGCTCTATTATTGGTTTTCCCTTGTCATTCTACTGCCAGATCCGCCAGTAGAAGCTGCGGCTTTCTCCTGATCAGACAAGGACAGAGATCAATGAAAAAGGCTCACGAAAATAGAGATCCAACCAGTGAAACCCCATTACTTGCAAAAGACTCAAGAACTATGGTCTGTATCTCGATAGGTTCGTTAGCCCAGCCAAAGTAGGGCATAGCAATGAGCTGACGAGCTTGACAGACATTGAGAAGGGCCTTAAAGTTGTTACCACGGAGTACAATTTTGTTTTCTTCGAAGTAGCGGGTGGGGATGTAAATTACCTGCAGATCAGCAGATTCTATCATATAGCAATAAGACATGCCTTCCCCTTCTTCCCCAAAGTAACTGCACGACCCTTACGAGTAATAGTAGCAGGTTTATCCACCTTAGGCCCTGCAGAACCAGCACCTGTATTGTTACGAGATGTCCCCCCAAATCCCCCTCGGTCGAGGTAACGAGCAAACCTAGATGACTCGAATGCACGTCCAGGAGCTTGATCACCACGTCCCCTTGGTGTAGAGTGGCTTGCTTGAGCTGCAGAGCCTTCCAAATGCTGAACTGCAGAGGCTAACTGGGCCGGGCCATGAGGATAACGGGGGACTGCAGGAAGGGGCCGAACCAAACCAGGGGGTGGGTAGCCAAGCTGAGCCTCTAGAGCCTGGATTCGAGCAGTGACCTGGGCCAGGTTGGCAAAAGTCTCTGTCTGTTGGTCTTCAACAGACTTATTCTATGAGACATTAGCCAATTTCAAGAGGAAAAGAGAAAAGAGTCAGGGTTGAGTGAGAGAGACATACAAAGTGAGAAGGAGTTCGTCCGGGGTCAGTCATTTTTGACTCTTGCACACTATGCAGAGTATGTGCGTGTAGGGGGAGTCTGGAGCTTTTGAATGGTATGCTTTGCAAGCTTTTAAGTGCTCTTGTTATTGAGTTATGTGGAGAAATGGGAAATGATGATGAACGATGTGTGCAAGACGATGTGATTGGTCATTCGGCGCTCCATACATTCGCGGCGGAGGTGCTAAATCCATTGAAAGGTAGATAGTAGGCTCGCCAAAAACCCTATTAGGCGCCTAAAAGGTGGTGCCCGGAGGATGTCATGTATGGTCTGGTCTTGTCTCCATCCAAGCTACTAACTACAGTAGTAGCATCGGTGATGCGGTCACGTTTGAAAGGAGATATCTAGCTTACTCAGACTAGACTACTTCCCTCAGCTGCACTAAAACTCGACTTGAGAACCTTACGCAACCAACCTCGTTTGTTTCTTGAACTATCCTCTTCTCTCCCCTCGACCCTACGTCCTCAACAGCCGCGATATGCCATATACAACACCTTATGAATGGCTTCAACCGAGCTCGAAGGAAATTGCTACTCGAAAAGATGTTCCATACCTTCCTTGTAGGTCTGATTCATCTTCATGAGAGAGACTACGGATTGACTGTCCTAGATGTCATTGGTTCTAATGGAAGTGTTTCCCCAGAGACGCATGGTACACATCGTAGGCTTTTAGATGGATACGCAGATCTTGCCGTCTACGAATTACTCACAGCAGCAGAAGAATATAAGATGACAACGTTAATCGTCCGTTTCATAAGGATCGATAAGGATGAATCGAGTTGGATGACGTATCGGATTCAAGGAAGGTACATAGTGGAGAAAGTGGCTACAACGAGACCTATGGGAGTCGAATTAGATACCATTCGAATGGAACCAGGAATTTACGGGCCGCCAGCTTTGACTGGAACCGATTTTGAAGTAACTCAAACTGGTGTAGGTGAAGAATTACGACTTACAGGATCTAGATCATTTGTCTTTATCTTTGCTGACTTTCAGCGTCTACCGAAGATAAGTCTGGAAGAGGGTCAGAAGACTATGATGAATGGATGGCATACAGCACTCCGGGCTTCATTTTGGAATTGGTCGAAAGAGTACGCTTTACTTCATTCAGATCCGTCGTCTTTCACACACATAGACTCAAATAGTCATGTGAGGAATACAGTAAGTCATAGAGAATCAATGATCCCTTCGATAAATGTCAATCTTATCATTACGAGGTTGAGTTATGAGGAGCATAATGAAAATGCACTCCTCTTGTACAAGGTTGTTCACGGTGGAGAAGACTGAATGCCTATTTCAGAGGATGGATGAGAAGCATGATGCATGATAATGACCATGTGATCCGGTTTACTTAACGTAGTTTCAGTCTACCGCTCTCCACTTTATCACCCTTATTCACAGCCCATGACTCGACCTGATCCAAAGATAGGTGAAGCAGTCTCCCGCCCCACTCAAGACTGGTCTCAAGATACGTCTTCTTCAACACCTCCCAAACCCGTTCCCGTATTCCACTTTCGACCCAGGATAAGATCATCTTTTCGTATGGTGAAGCGGAAGGATTGTCTAAAAGTGCGTAATACGCCAGAGGACTGAAATGCTCGACAGAGACAGCATGATACGCCCTGATCGAATACGCCAAAGCTGATCTGAGCAAGAATGGATCTTGAGGTTGGGTAGGTGGAATTGAGTTTAATTGGGAATGGGTAAATGGGGTTCGAAGACGGCGTGATTGATGATTTGTGAGTTCCATGAGGGTGGAGTGAAAGTTTGTGGACGAAGAAGCATCCTGAACGAGGTGGAAGAGGAGTAACAAGGAAGCGAATTCTTCTCTCGCATCACGTCTCGAAGAAGAATCAAGATCGATCTTTGAGATACGATCGGCAAGGTTATCAAGGGCGGACGAATCTTGCTGTTTTGACTTGCCCTTTCTGCGAGTGGAATCTACGGCGAGGTACAAGCCAGGAACCAAACCACTTAGAGCGGATAGCAATTGACCGGTGTTTTTGGCCAATATGCAAAAACGGACAGACGATTCGAATACTGCAGGGTAAGCATTGAAGAGTCACACGAGAAAGACCAACCTTCTACAGAAAAATCGTCTGTGCGATGTGAAGCCACTACACCTTCACGGAGTTTCCCTAAATTCGGATTAGCGCTATTTGAGCTGGACGAGGGAAACTTACGAAATAAGAGAACGATACTCTGTAATGACTCCATCTCCTCTGTATTGGCAAAATTTGGCGGTTGATGTCTCGGAGTTGAATGCGTGGTGTAATGTTTCTGTATCTAAGTATGTCAGCGCGAAACAAATGCTGGTAGAGTGATTCTCACTCTTTGGTCGATGTATCGTCGATAACGCTCTTGCGTCTTCCAATCTTTCAGACTAGCCTTCGTCCGTGAGCTGCCACAAATAAAGAGAAAGTGACATACGCATCGCCCTCTGCCCCATCCCCACCACTTCTTGACACGGATTGTATGTTTCCCAACATGTCCTGCTCCGTGCTCGCTGCCCTGGGTCGCATGGGTTTGAGGTCGGAGGCAGGCGCCGCGAGAGAAGACGAAGACGCTGTAGGGCCATATCGGGGTTTATTTATTATCCTACTGGGAGCCGTTGAAGACGCGGAGGGCTGACCAGAGAGTTGTGCTTGTGGCCTACGAAGATGTGGGGGCTTATAAGATTGCATCGTTGATTCGAGCATCATGGAGCGACAGAGGGGAAGGGTCGGCAAGAGGGACCGGAACCGTCTCGTCTGCCACATTCACTAATCCCGGATAACGCCACCCCTCTTCTTCCTCCCCATCCACCTGCTCGCTGCTTTTGGTCTTTGTAACATCCATCCGCCTTCTATAAGGTATCAACAGACTCCTATCCGCCGACGTAAATCTGGACATATACCTGGCAGCATGGCAGCTCTCGCAAGGTGAATATTTATATCCGACCAAATGGACGTCGACTGACTCTCAGGGCTCTACCTCTCCCCCTTTACAATCCTGTAGAGGAATACGAAGATGTCGCGCCATTGTCCATCCCCCAAGGGCCATCCATACCTAAATATGGCAAGCGAAAGGGTTGGAAACCTAGACAGCAACACGACTTCAACGGTGGTGGTGCATATCCAGAGGTGAGCATACGACACTCAGGCTGTTTGTTGGATTTGCCACTGACACGAGCAGTGTCACATCGCTCAATACCCTTTGGATATGGGCAAGAAGAAGGTGAGTTATTTGTCAAAGCGAACATCGCTAATATTGCAGGCTGGTGCCGGATCGACGCTAGCTCTGCAGGTTGATGCGGACGGGATGGTTAGGTACGACGCGATCGCTCAGCAGGGTAGAGCCCCGGGTAGTAAGGTGCAGTCGAGCTTCAAAGGTGTGTCCATAGTATCTGTTAGAACTGTTCTTTGCTTACTGGTAGACCTCGTGCCTCTCGCCAATCGACATGATATCTCTGACAAGGAACGGGCGATGGAGCGACCGGACGAGACCGCAGTCCAAGAGACCGCCGAACGGACACGTCTTGCTCTGGAGCGACTGACCAGTGCAAAGATCAAAGCTGCTCAGCCGAAACATGTCGCCAAGGCAAACACCGACTCGTCTTATATTCGCTACACACCAGCCAACCAGAGTGCGGACGAGGGAAAACAGAGAATAATCAAAATGTCGAGCGTCCAGGAAGATCCTCTCGAACCTCCAAAGTTCAAACATAAAAAGATTCCCAAAGCCCCTGATGAACCCCCTGTTCCCGTTCTGCAATCCCCACCTCGACCCGCTACGGCTCAGGACCAAAAAGACTGGATGATACCTCCTTGCATATCCAATTGGAAAAACAACAAAGGTTACACTATTCCCCTCGACAAGCGTCTGGCAGCGGATGGGCGAGGGTTACAGGACGTGCATATCAATGACAACTTTGCCAAATTCTCTGAAGCTCTGTACGTCGCCGACCGACATGCTAGGGAAGAGGTACGGGCGAGGGCGCAAATGCAACAGCTATTGGCGCAGAAGGAGAAGGCACAAAAAGAGGAGAACTTGCGACTACTGGCTCAAAGGGCAAGAGAGGAGCGTAGTGGAATCACACCTTCTGTCACCGCTGCGTCCAGTACGCGAGGACCGCCCAAGGAGCTTGGCGTGGGTTTGGCCGCGTACGGCAGCGACAGTGAGGAAGAGAGTGAACAGGAAGAGGATGTCAGTGAGGACGAGGAGGACGATGAGCAGGTCGAGGAACGTGAGAAAGTGCGACAGGAGAAGAGGAAAGAGCGAGAGAAACAGATGAGGATGAATAATATGGGTTCGGAGACTCGCGCCAAGATGATCGCTCGAGAACAAAACCGAGATATTTCCGAGAAGATTGCCCTTGGTCTTGCCAAACCGACAGCGTCTAAGGAAACTTTACTCGACTCTAGATTATTCAACCGAGAATCACTCAGCACTGGCTTCGCTGGCGACGAGTCGATCAGTATCTACGACCGTCCTCTCTTCAACGGGTCTTCAGCTGCCGCGGCCATCTACTCTGCTCGTGGGAACGCTGGACGGGATGATGAAGCATATGGTGGTGGGACTGAAGAGGGTATCAGGGAAGAATTGGGCAAAGACAGGTTTGCATTGGGTAACGCCACCCGTGGATTCGACGGCGCCGACAGTGCAGTGGTACGTGAGGGTCCAGTGCAGTTTGAGAAGGATGTTGTGGTCGCTCTTGATGGGACGTCCGATCCCTTCGGCGTAGAACAGTTTATGGACGCCGCGAGGAAAGGTGGGAAACGGACTGCTGAACATGATAGGTAAGCCTTATCTGAATCAGAAAAGTCGGTGCTGATTTTCAAAGGGAAGAGGCGAGGAAGAAACAAAGGGAAGATTAGATTTGTTGTTTGTCCACTATGATTTTCTAGCATGTACTGATATCTTCTCCACCACCGCCTCTTTCAAAAGATTTCTCACGCGCTTACATTCTCACCGTTCTCATACCCAACTCGGCCGACAGTCAAACGGACCAGGCCCTGACGACGAGGAAGACACAAGAGGCAAAGGGAGTTGACCCGGTCTTTGCGATGATTTCAACAAATCCTTTCTCGCATCGAGGCAACGTTGGCCAGGCCGGGCGATATGGTCTTTCGCTATCCTATGCTATCTTCGTATGCGATGCCCGGGTCTGCAAAGGAAAAGCGATGCTGGTGGTCAAACATTCACGCTCCGCCGGTATCCTCTCCCCGACACCGATCATACTCCGCCCACGGGCTGCCAGATAACTGGAAAAAAGCGATGTTCACGGATATCTCCTTTGATGCTTACGGTGCCATGGACGCTAGTAGGAGAATTTCCAAAGGGTTATAAGGGGAATCAGAGGTCCACTATCATTGTTGCCCTCTACCCGAAATGGCGCCGAATTTGAAAGACCTCACAACGAGCTTGCAAGCTACCCATCCGTACAAGTCGAACAGTCCCAATCTTCCAAACAGCATACCAACATTCCTCCAGCAGTTTCCAACCCCGCCCTTGAGCATTTCACGATTCTCGAGCAATTTAGCTTCGTACGGACCGAAAGCATCGTCATTCATCGACTCCACAAAGGAAACGTCGCAAATGCACGGATGGCATTTAGCTGACTGTCGAGCATATGCAACCATGGTTGTTCTTTATTTGACACGCGACTCAGTCGTCGGCGACACTCCGACGGGTCAAGACTCGTATGCAGTTCTGAACGAAGCCAATGAGGCGGCAATGGAAGATTGGGCTGAGAGTTACTTTGACGAGCATTTCAACGATGAGCAACGGGGTCGTGGACGAGCTCTCTCGGAGATGTTCTCAAATCTGAAAAGCCAGCGACCGACGTGAGTCTGCCGGTCGAGAGCGAGAAGCCTTCTGACACTGGGCAACCCACATCCAAGACATGCCAATCTGATGATTGGACACTGACCACCTCTAGGGTGAAAGATGGTCACCTGAAAGTTCAAGTCACATCGAGAGCAAAATGGTCTCCTGTGCGATCGCCTCATTCGCTGCCCACTTTTCCTGAGCCGTAAGAATTGGACCTGGGACTGGCCCGATTGGCCGATGTGTCATATATATATATATATGTATATACATGCGCATGCAGTGAGAGTTTCCGATGGTAGATATATGATTCGTCGCCGTCTACATGGTCACACAAGGTAAGGAAAGAAGTTGACCGTCATCTGACATGGTTGCTTAGTTGAGCAAGGAACTTTGAATTTTCGCATTCGATTTCTTCATCTTCTCGACCATCAACATCTCTTCATCTTTCTCTTTCTCTTTCTCAAATTTGAGTTGGATCAGAGAGCACGACAGGTCCATGACGTCTCCAGTGATACATCTCACAGGTTACGACGACTCTTACTTGGGACGAGTACGACTGGGCGAGTGTACCTACTCTATGAATTCCTCTTTTCACTTCTTTCACTCAAGTACTTATCATTCTCATAAACTCCCAAGCCACCTTTCATCTCGACTTCCCTTCATCTACAAACCCTCGTTACTCTCACTTCTTCTCGCTTTCTTTGGTCTAGCGATGAGTGATATCAAACATAACAATGGATGCTGACTTGGAAGGTTGAAATGATTTTAGTCAATCCCCGTGAGATGATTTGATCGTTGGCTCGGAAGACACTCTCCCACCTTCCCACACACAGTACTTTCCCTCTCTCACGCTCATCTTCCCATCGGTCAACTTTTGACACTCTTCCATCGCCTATCAACACCCCACTCCATTCTTCCTCCACTTTTCCCATTCTCACACTCACCATTCAACGTCGCCAAGAAGGAAAACTCTACTTTTCATTCAACTCGAAATTATCTCATGATTCACCGCTCCACCATCTTCTCTCTCCTAAGTACAGACATGAATTCACATTTTGTTGATTCTCTCTCAAGTTCTCAGACTTCACCTCGACAGGATCTCACCTTTGTTCCATTCTTTCGAGTTCTCATACACTACCTTTCTCGTTGGCCAGAAGGAATTTCCACATATGTATCGCCTCGTTGATCATCCTTCTTACGACGTTTCGTTCCCTTGATGACTTTCTCTGCCACGCATAAATGTACGACGCCTTCGTCTCACGATTCTTTCGACTTCACCGGCCTGTCCCGGCGACAAAGAGAGGGGTTGATAAGCGGTGTCAGGGGGTTTGGAAAGGATAAAAGGCTCGGTTGTTCAGATGAGCCTCAGAAGTTAAATTGAAAGCAGGCTACCAAAAACACAAAGACAAAGAAACATCCACTTGAATAATTGAGAAAATGACAACTAGTCGTCGAAGCACCGCCTACTCAAGCCCTGATGATGCCATCGATGACAAGATACGTGGTCTGACTAAGGGGTCTGGGTCGTCCCCTCCAGTTTACCAGATGTTGGCCTCGACCTTATCGATCTGCTTTTCAAAACCTGGGTCAGCCGTCTGGCGGACTTCACGAGATACAGGGGCGCTTAGGGAATGGGTGGCCCAGTATGCGCCTTGTTCAGAGACTGAAGGCCAGAAGGAGATCGTCTCTCACATGAAGGATTTTCTCAATCACCACACGGTGCAAACGAGCAACCCTGTAAAAACGGGGGAGGCGAGAAGCAAAGTGGTGTATACGAAAACCGGCAAACATTTCATTGCCACAGGTCGTTGGATTTGGAATAGGGAGTCAAGTGCGGGTGTTTCAATGATTCGGTCTCTTCAGCTTATCCCCACTGGGCCTTTAGAGAATTACAACACGAACCGGATGCTAGCGACGACGAAGACGGCGGGCATGGCGATGAGTACGGCGGCGACAAAAGAAAATCGTATTATAAAGATTGAGGAGGCGTCATAGACTGGATATGAGTTGATAGCATGCTTGTCATTACATTTCTATGATCATGATGACCAGATTCTTGGGTCGGCGGGTTTAAAGATGCATCGTTTTCTCTTTCTTCCCATTAACTTCCCAACTGAGGGGCCCCTCTAGTCATCGGACCGAACTCCGCTCTGCTGTCTTTGTCCGACTTGACAACTTATCACTTTACTCATACCTTGTGCATATCCTCAGGATGGCTTCGTATGCTGCTCGTCTAAGACTGACGTACCCTTTCAAACCCCCTTCGACATCCATAGACCATATAGTCATTGGAGGAGGTGTCGTCGGTCTCAGCGTGGCGGCGGGTTTGGTCAACGTGTGTGGGAAAGACCGAACGACGTTTGTTATTGAGCGACGTGATCAGGTGGGTGGTGTGACTCATTGTAGTTTATTGAAGGTAGAAAGCTAATGAATCAAGTAGCTTGGGCAAGAAACGACGTATGTCTTATGTCATACAGTAACCCGTTGGCCGCTGGCCGTCGAATAGGAATGTGAATCATTACTGATCGAGTAGAGCTCGGAATTCCGAAGTGATTCATTCTGGTATTTAGTAAGTTCATCTTTTTATGAGATATAGGTGAAAGCTGAGGAAGAAAGTTATCCTGAAGGTACTTTGAAATCAAGGTTATGTATTAGAGGTAGGGAGATGATGTATGAAAGATGTAGAAAACTCGGTATTGATCATCGTAAAACACAAAAAGTATGTCCTTCTCCTTCTCTCTCTCTGTTCCCCCCTTCCTCTCCTTTCTTCTTCCCATTCTCTCACCATTGGGACTTTGTACATGAGCTAATTGATAGTTATTAGTAGCAACAGATTCATCTCAAATTTCTTATTTGACAAAAATAAAAGAACGTATGACCCAACCTTCTTTCCTTCGTTCATCCGAGAAAACACACGAATCAACTTCAGTATGTCCCGTTCAACCACTTACAGGTGATCAAGCACGTGAACTCGAACCTGATTTATCTTCTCAAGTAGTATCAGCTCTTTTGATACCTGAAACGGGTATAGTAGATTCTCAAGCTTTAGTAGATTCTTTAGCTAGAGAAATTGAAGAACCGGAATATCTTTATTCTTCCAATGCTGAAGAAATAGCAGTAGGAGTTGATGTTACTGGTGAAAGAAGAAGAAGAGAACCAGGTGAAGGTGTTATAATGTTAGGTACTAGAGTAATTAGGATAGATAAAGATTTTAAAGAAGATGGTTGGATAGTACAGATGGAAACTGGTTGGGAAGGTTTAAAAGATGGTGAAAAAGGACAAGTTGAAAGTGTTAAAACTAATGTTATTGTAAATGCTGCTGGATTAGGTGCTGTGAGTTTGATGGAGGGTTTAGTCCCGACTGAGGAAATGAAAGAGATGTGGTTAGTTAAAGGTGAGTTAAAGATGTTGGTACCCTTCCTTCATCATCTACTCATCCATTTTATCACCAGACCACAATAAGTGAAAGAGGTTTTCAATCTCTCAAGAGTTTGATGTGTTCAGGTTCGATTGATATCTCCTACGGAAATTGATAATGGGGGTTTAAAAGCAAGTCGGGTATCAAGCGAAAGATCAACCGTTGACAAAACAGGAAATTACATGTCTTATAAAGGTCCAGGAGTGGAGAATATATCTAGACTTATTTATCCTTGTCCAGGTAATAGTGTAGATCATCTCGGTACACATCTGGTTCGTGTGCATCATCCTTCCCATCTTCTTATCGTTTCAATCTCCGATCTCCCTTTCGCCCCCCTCCCCCTCCCCCTCCCCCTCTCTTGATAGATCTCAACCTTATGTTTCCCTACAACACTCCATTTCTCAACACAAAATCCGTATTCCTTCATATCGGACTTTTCCCTATTACTAACCTCTTCCCTTCCAAGTTTATCTTCATTCATCATTCTCCATCCATCATCCATCTCTCTCCCATCATTTCATACCTCCAACACATCATACGACTCCCCATTGCATCCATAAACCCTGGAACAACATCCTCAACCTCTCCATCCACCATCTTTCCCCGTGCACCAAATATGTCACTCACTTACCCATCAAACATTCTGGAAAGAAAGAATCCTAATTCCAGACAATCGACTTATCAGGTAATATAAAATTCGGTCCCGACGTCCAACCGATAGGTCCAAATTCAAAATACCAAACCAACCCTGATTTCTGGCAATCTCACTTAACACCCACAGTCTCAGCTGAAACATTCGCCAAATCCGTTCAAAGTTATTTACCCAACATTGATCCTTCTCGTCTCACACCGGATTACGTTGGGTTCAGACCGAATCTAGTTGCTCCAGGACAAGGTTTTAGTGATTTTCATATCGTTCATTCCAAAGATAGAAAAGGTTTGATCGAATTGTTAGGTTTCAATTCACCTGGTTTGACTAGTTCTTTAGCTACTGGTGAATATGTGGGTGAGATGGTTAGAAGGGAGGTTTATGGGTTGAAAGGGTTGGATTGGGGTGGGTTGGGATATGGGTGGAGATGATATGTTTTGTCTTCTTCTTTTTTGAGGGAGAGGGGGAGGGGGGGGGGGGGTCGGATTTCCAGAACGGTGAATTGGGTAGTTGGTCAGATGGGATATCTTGAGTACGAGAAGTGAGAAAAATGAGTAAAAACGAAAAGGGATGAAAGCTTAGTGTGGCAGTGCTGCTTGAAAAAGACAGGTAGATGTATGATGGATAAAGTGAAGGGAAAGTGGTTCAGGGGAGACGTTCGGAGGAGAAAGAATATAAATTTGAATTGTGATCGTTATGTCCGATGTATCATCTTGAAATCCACCCAAATCCCATTATTCATGTCTTAAAATAAACCTCTAAACCTCTTTCAACATCTTGCCAATAAGTTTTCCCACCTATTTGACTTTTAGGTAATTTATCAATCACCTCCATTAAACCCGTTGGTCTCACACCATATTTCTTACTAAGTTCTGAGATTTTCTTCCTGTACATTTCTTTCATACTCACCACTATTTCCTTTCCTTTCACATACTTTTCCACTCTCTCGGTCGGTGTGACAGGTTGAGGTGTTATCGATTTTCTTTTTCTTATATTTTCAAAAACAGGTAGATAAGAAGTTGATGATTCGGGAGGAATGGGAATTGGGATATTCGTATTTGACAGTATTTGTTCATGATCATGCTCATGTTCATGTTCAAATCCTTCTTCTTCATTTCTTCTCTGGGGGATTGTCTTGTTCGTCATGGAGGGAGATTCGGGACGATTATTGATTTGTGGAGTTGATGAAAAAGGAGATTGTAATCGTTTATGAGAAGAAGAGTGACGTCGTAGTTCAATTTCAACAAGTTCATCTTTCATAGATCTCAATTTCTTTCGAGGAGTATGAGAACTTGATGTTGATCTTCTTTGGTCTCGTAAGGGTAAAGTAGGTTGAGTGGAGATAGGATAAGATGGGAAACCGATTTGGGTATTCTTCGAAGATGAGGCGATTCCAAATGTGAACGTCATTGTTTCTGGTGGAAATTGATGAGATGGAATGCTCGGAATATTCTCCATATTGGGTACTACTGCTGGATCATGCTTCGTGGTTTGATGTGAAGGTTCAGGAATAGGAGAATGAATAGGAGTTGTGATATTATCGTCCACTTGCATTTGAGAAGAAGAAGGTAAAAGTAAATCTCCCACCAAAGCTCGATCCACAAGTTGGTCCAGAGGAGTTTGTTCATTGACATTCACAATTATCGATGAGGAAGAAAGGACAATCATGGGTGGGGTCATGTCGTCGACACCTTTTCGTTCCCGATTAGCTTCATCCTGCATATCCACGTGTTCTTGCTCATGTGTCTTCTCACGTGAAGCTGCCGTTCCTGGTCCAGTACCCGCAATAGGAGCTGTTGTGTCGATATTCGCTGACCTGGCATTGGGCGCGACGGGAGGAAGAGGAGCAGTATCGATATCACCGCTACTCCCAGTCGCAGCAGCAAGAACAGATGGGTTTGTCGAGGTTGTCTCTTTGATCGAAACGACAACATTTTCGTTCGTCCCCATAATCTCATTTCTTCCTTCAATCTCTTTCTCCCTCTGCTTGATCTTTTCCTGCTCTCTGGTTCTCTCTTTCTCCATCTCTTTTTCCTGCTCAGCTTTAGTCTTTAAAGTGTCGCGATCAATCCTAGCGGCTCTGAAACGCTCGATACGTCTCGTGAACACAACTTGATTCCTTTTGAACCTTTCATGCCATGATTGATCGGAATGTCTACCGATGATAGGGAATTGATGTTCCATCGAGATCTGGGAATTGTCAATCATTCGTTGCTTTCTCAATTCCACTCTGATAATTCTCGTCTTTCCCCTTGAAACCATTCACCCCTCACAATCCTTGTTCAATCTTCACTACTTGGCACCTCCTTCGGACTGATGTTCCGCTCTGTTTGAAGTCATGACAGTGTACATCGTTGTGTTTCTCACATCTGGGATACCCGCCTCGAAGGTCAAACCCCAAGCCTCTACTCCTATCCGTCCGGAAAGAGAAAACAAGTGAAGATGTAATGTAAGAGTTGAGAAGAAAACAGAACACATGATAAGTGAGACATCACCCACCAGATTAGAATAAGTTTTCCTACTCTGCCATGAACCCCCAGGATGATAAGCAGCGAGGTATCGACAAAGAAAATCGTCATCCTCTGGTGTATAATCCACTCTAGGTCTGATGATCAGTTATGTCCATACCTTTCCCCTCTACCACTGGGGCAAAACTTCAAAGCCCCCAATACAATATAATGCGACCAGTTGGTGTTTGCGAGAAGACATCGACAGCATTGTGAATTTTTTTACTGAATGGACTCACTTTCCCGTAGGTCTTCCTGGACCTCTACTAACGATTTCATCCTCCGCTATCATACTGTCCACTTCATCCTGATCGCTACCTTGATCATCTCTTCTTCTTCCATCCTCTTCACCATCCCTCTTTCCTCCAGCTCTTTCCCCGTCATTCACACCTTTTATCCCATTTTCACCGTTTACCCCATCTTCATCAACATTTCTGTTGTTTCCATTTCCATTCGATCTTATTCCACTTCTTTCGCTCCCATCTCCATCTAAGTTCATTCCTTTCTCTTCCACTGTTTCCACAACTTCATCGATACTCTGATCATCCTTCCAATCCAATTTACCATCTTTAACACAAGCTTCTACCCAATCTCTCTCTACTACTTTCTGCCAAAACCTACCATTCCTTTCTCTTTCCGGCATAATCTGCGTCCTAAAGAAATTACTATCACGATCAACTACCAGAACGTCCGCCGATGATCTTTTATCAACACTTAGTGCACCTCCATATTCTAATAATTTTCTCACTGTGGCTTGAGCTTCAAGACCGTGCATCTCGTTGACCATACGAGCTAAATTGACAGATACCCATACTTTCAAAGGAGTATTTTTCTTTCTTTTCTTTTCGTTACTCAAAGTACTTTTCTCAACTTTGACTTTCGAGTCTACATGTTGTACAGTGGTTTCGACCTTGTTTTCTATGTCGTCATGATGTACAATCGGTTTGACTTCGAGTTCATGTTGAGTGGTAGGTTCAGGTAAACGTGAATTTGATGAAGGAGTAGGAAGAGTTGAAGATGAGGAAGAACCAGGATGAACGAAAAAAGGTAAATGAGTAGGTTGCGTGACTCTTGTAAGTGCGTTCAAACATAATGATAACCAATGATATGGTCTGATTTCAGGTACAGGGGAAGAAGGAATGTTGGTAGAGTCGGATGAAAGTATGGGAAGGAGTGGATTATGAATGAAGATGGTACTTTGTTTTATCGAAGTGACATGGATCGCGCCGAGTCGCTATGGGTTAGCGGGGAACGGAGGATAAAGTTTGAGAAATGTTTGAAGAGATTGAAAAAGAAAGGCAGACTTTTGAGCTAGGGCTGACTTGGATATGGTGGATGATAGATGGTGGATGATAGATGGTGGATGATGGATGGTGGATTGTGGATGGGGGATGGCTAAGGGATGATATATTAGAGACCGATGAAATATAGATAGTAGGCTACTGCCTCAGAGGAGACCATGTGAGGGAAGAAGAAGAAACACAACTCACCTTGACTAAACCTCTCAAAACATCACCAATATCATCATCGAAATGACCTTGTGCGAAATACACCCTCTCCCCTTTCAATACATGAGCAGCGTCCGGTGTGGGTAAGTAAGACATGATTATGTATGTGGCCATGTGGGGTTGTAGTACTTAGTCGAGGATGTGATTGAACATTTAGAGTAACTTAGTGAAGCCACAAGTACTCACTCAAAGTTGACGTGTTTTCCGGAGCCCCGCATGTTGACGTCCCTCCTATACTAGATCCTCCCCCACAAAGCAGGGTGGAATCTTATACAGCTCGATGATACAAGTGATGAAGAAATGAAGAACGGCTTTGTAACACCAGTCTACTCTTGTATATCTCAATGATCCAATATGCATGCACAACATTTCTTTCCAGGGGTATATATCTTCTTTTCCATTCCATTTCTTCCCTTTCCCCTTCCTTACCTCTGAACCCCCCCGGGCGACTCCCGACCAGAACACAACCCCCTCAAAACCTTCTTCCTGTAGCTTGCGGTGCAGGTCGATGCAATACATGTCCATGTCCATGTCTCTGTTCCGTCCCTCCTGTCCCCGGTCTGGAATTAGGTATTGGCGCTGGTGATCCTCTAGGAGGGATAGGAACACCTCTTTGTGATCCTACAGGTGGAGGCATCCCAGGTCTGTTCGGTGGTACTTGTCTTGCATCTCCTCTGAAACTTGGAGGATTCCGATTGGCTTGTATACCTACAGGAACGGTGGAGGCTATTCCAGGTCCGACGGGGGTTCGGGAAGGTGATGGACCTGAATGGGTTCGGGGGACGGTAGGACGGAGTGTGGATGCTGGACCGGGTGGACGAGGGGCTGTGGAGGCTGGAGCGGAGGAGGATGCAGGAGGGTTCTGATGGGCTTTCTTTTCTGCTGCGTGGAGGATTTGGTCGCTTATCATCAGCTGGGCTTCTATGCGTGCGTCATGGCAAGGCATGATATCTGGCCGGAGGGTGTGAATGTGAGCGAGGGTATAGATCTGAGTGAGATTGTATGACAGAGAAATTCAGTACAAATGTTCAAATGTAGTGTGTGAAAATTGGATGAAGGGAAAACTCTCACTCACTCGAGTAAATTCAGACATGCACAGCATACAACCCATTCAACGCAATCTTCATTACCCACTCCTAGAGTCTGCCAAACTTGTTTCTCGTCTTCCGTCTTACCGGTGATAGAAATCCTGGTGCCGCCTCCTTTCTCCGGAGGGTTCTTGGCGACTTTGCCAAACTTGACATCAGTCATGGGTTCGAATCTCGGTTTATCCTCCCTCTTCACCATTTCCACCATACCCATTCCTTCTTCTTCCTCGTGCATCTGAGTGACGCCCCCTGTCTCCCCCATCTCATTCCCGGCAGAGACTGGACACACTCCACCCAAAATAACAAGGGCCAAAGGTCCTCTGGGATACAATCTGACGACTCTTGTCCAAGTACAAGTACTACTCATACTACTCAAGAATGGAATTGGAATATTCTTCTCAAGCAGGAGTTGGAAAGCTCTCGACAACATCCCAGCACCTCCGATGAAGGATACCAAGGAAAAGCAACGAAAAACCCACCTCTATCCGTTTGGGAGGTATCTGATGTCCAGCATATTTGAAATAAAACATTGTCCAAAACTCCGCATTAGGATTCGGTTTACTTATCTGATACAAAGGCGTATCGTCTTGATTTACGATTTTATAAATCGGACTGACCACTCCTGTATTCTCGATTGTCCATTTCAAATCGCGTGAGGCTTCGCATCTGACCACATTGGCGGATTTTGAATGGGGGTTAGGGGTGGAACTACGATGATGAGGAGGGAAAAGTTTGGCGACGCATAAGTCACCTTGGGGTGAAGGAGTGAGGAGGTAGTTTACGCGATTCTTTTTTTTCAGCTCTGTCTCCTTGATCAGTCCAATGGATGATGCCAAAAATAGGAGGGAACAGAGAGAGAGGTGGTGGTGGGGGGGGAGGGGGGGAGAGAATCAATCAGCTGGACGAAGAGATCTGGAGACGGATGGTAGAGAACGCGGGTCGTCTCAACCGGACGAAGAATTCCAAAACTAGGATGATAGGGAAGGCGGGAGGAAGAGAGAGGAGGGGAGGACTGACTTCTTCCGTATGTCTGTTGATTAGCTATGGTCAAGAATAGTAAGACAACCTTACAGATAAGTATATAAAACAGAATTTGGTTGTCCTATATCTCAACATTGTCTCTCTCACAACAGAAAGACTCACCATGAGGAGTGACGATGAGAGTAGGGAGATGATTTGGCATTGGTGCATGATGAGGGGAAGTGAAACTATGTGTCAGCCGAGAACTGTGTTGACTCGAAGGCTTTTGTCAAAAGTACCAAGAATTCACCCAAGACTTCCCGATAATTATAGGTGGTATGAGAATTTATAGATGGTATGACCACAAGTAAAGATGCGATGAGGTAGGAACTTACACCGTATAAATGGCTATTCCCCAAATTCCAAAAGGACCAAAATGATGAATTCGTCCGATAAGAAACAGCAAGATTTACAAATACGCGTCGAGAGATTTAAGAAAGAACAATATCAATTTTAAATCCCTTCTTCAATCTTAAAGACGACTCACCTGCCATATTATCTTCTTTCCCTCTCTTTCAACCGTAAATGTATTGGGGTCTGTGCCTTGGATAGATATGTAAAAACGGAGATATGAGTTTGTTGTGATATGTGTAAAGTTTAGATTATGATGGATGATACGTTGAGATGTTTGATGTGATGCGATGCGATGCTTGATGTTTCAGAATTCGCTAATCCGGTCCGAGCAAACACGTCCAACGTCCAACGTCCAATCGTTTTGACAACACTTCGAAGTTGGACTCTGGATTATCACACTTTGTCCTCTTCTCAGGCCCCTCGGAAGAGCTTTGATGCGGAGAACGAGAGGGATAGAATGGTATGATATCGAGATGAATGATGTGCACGGTCCGTAAGATTGTAGACGGTGGTGGTGGTGGTATTGCCGATATGTATCCTCGTGTTCTGTCCAACACTCCACGATGTCAAGCTCGCAGCTAAACTTTGATAAGGTGGTGTATAACTGAATGGATCGATGAGATGAGTTGGTATTGGTTGACAATGTGGATCTCTCGGATGGAAGGGAGGAAGGAAAGAAGGAAAGAAGGAAAGGAGGGAAAGAAGGTATCAAAGGGAAGTACAGTGTAGGTAAAGCAGGAAAGGTCTTAATACGCCTTTTCTAAACGTTTTTGGACTTAACTACACCCATTTCAAAAAGAAGGACTTTAATTACACCTCCCTTCCTGGACCCCCAATGCATGCTTTGCATGCATTAAAAACACTCTCCTCCACCCCTAACCACCTAACCCCCTAACCCCCTAACTTCCCCTAACCCCCTAACGTCGTTATGCATGGTCAATCCCCCCCCCCCCCTAACTTGGTGCCCATAGTCCTCCCTAACTGGGGGGCAGTAAAAAGGACCCTTCCCCCAGCCAAAAGACGTAGTTAAGACCCAGATCTCGGAAAAGGCGTATTTAAGTCCAAAAACGTTCCGAAAAGCGTAATTAAGACCTTTCCTCGTAGGTAAAGATCGTCTGAAATACCTCCTTTGGTATTTTTTCTTCTACTCGTGTACTTTTCTCTTCAAATGTCCCAGGTACCCTGGTATACCAGGTGATAGGTGTTGAAAGAGTTGTGAGATTGATGAGATTTCACAGAGTCGCCTCTGGAGGTAGAGTGTTGGATGTTGGCCAAGGTGTAAGTTGACGCGGTGTATTGGTATTGAGTGTGTCTCGTAGTACGTATGTACTCACTCTGACACTTATATGATCCGATGATCCGGTGTTGACTTTAAGGAGTGTACAGTGAGGAGGATTAGAGAAGAATGTTAAGATGAATGTGTAGATGTAGAAGTGAAGAACAAAGAGAGTCAAGTTTGAACAAAATGGCTGGTTTTTGTTGTTTCACCTCTAACTTACCTGTATCTCCGCAGTAAGTTTGACCAAGCGTTATATGTAGCATAATCAATGCCGCATAATACTACTCGACTGTATACAAGTACGAGTACTACCTCTTGTAGCCATGTAGCATGTAGCAGGTAGAAGGAAGGAGATGAACGCGTAAATATCATGCACAATGCTTGCATTCGTATATGTATATTGCAACAAACAACCCCCTCAAACTGCCCTTTCTTCAGCGGCATCTTGCCAACTACTAGAACTAACACTACCACTTTCTCTTTTCCCTTTACTTTCTTCCGATCCACTCCTTCCTCCATCTCCACTAATTCCACTACCTCCACCACCTCCACTCCCCACACTACCTCCATTACCTTCCCTCTTCCCTCCTTGGTCCCTTTCAACGACCTTCGAATCAGGTTCATCACTATATCCTTCCATTCTAGGTGGATCATCATCTCCTAAGAAATCATCATGATATCTCAACCTAGTCCTTTCATCTTCTTCCTCATCCTCATCCTCTTCACTCTCTTCATCACCAAAAGCATCATATAACTCTTTAGTTCCTTTTCCTTTCTTTCTCAATCTACCTAATAAACCCATAGGTACATCTTCACCAACAGGAACGTAAACACCTCTTGCACCTTCTCCATCATTTGCCAAACCGAATAGATTCTTTCTTCTCCTAGATCGGAAAAAGAAAAACATTCCAACTCCAGAACCTAGGAGAATGATAATCATACCTGCTCCTGCTATCCAAGTGGATGATCGACCTAATGATTCTATTCCAGAAAACCAACCTTCGTCTAAATGTTCTTCTTCGTCGGAAGGTGGAGTTATATCTTCTCCTGGAACTGGTGTTGGAGATGCTAATCCTGGTTTATCAGCTTCACCAGAAGCTTCACCATGATCTCCTGGTAAATGTTCGGTAGGTTTAGGTTTTTGAGATAGAGTAGCGGTAGCTTCTTCCGATCCGGTTTCTTCTTCATCCGCTTCACCTTCTTCCGCTGGAGCCCATAAACGAGCTAGAGAGGGATCGACACATTCTCCCCAGAGTTGAAGGGACCAAGCTATGAATCGACCGGTACGATCGGCATAACCTTGGTCGTGTACACGAATGGTCCATGTACCGATGGGATTTTCGTCCCTGTCTTTAGCAATGGTACAAATGTATATCACGGTCGCCTTCTTCCGCCACCATCTTCTATATTCGACATTCGTTACATCCTATACAATGACAGCATTGAGGAAGAAATGAAACAATGGAGGGAGATATTGGGTATTTCTCTTTGAATTGAAGCAGACAATTCGCAGTGGAGCTCGACCAGCGGGGATTCGACGCTGGACGCCCCCCTCTTTAACATAACATTGACGAGGAGAAGATGAGAGACGAGCAATCGCAACAAAAACACTCACCAATGTTTCAAAGTCATAAACTTCCACCCCGGAAACCCAGTATCGGCCTCATCAAACCTTCTCTTCCTCGCCAAAACACTTTTCACGCCGTTTGGACTCTCCAACTCTACCTCGACATCTCCCCTCCTACTATGGTCGATCCACACCCTGACCGTGACATGTTCCAATCTCTCAAAATTGCTATCATCCAACATGGCCTGAGTGACGGAGAAAGTGCTGACCACGTCGTCGGTAGAGAGGACCGAACCGGATGGTTCGATCTCTAACACGGGTTCATCTTCAATATCTCCTCCGTCCGTTTCTTCTGGTTCCGTCGTATCTTCTGGGGAGTCATCTTGTCGTTTGGAGAGTCTGATGGTGGAAGAGGTTTGTCGTTTACGATGTCTGGAAGAAGTAGAGTTCAATTCGGTGGTCGGAAGGTAAACGGCAGGGGAGTCGAACCATGCTTGGGGCTTGACCAGAGTCCAAGATTCGGCTGCGGCGACAAAACGACCTGCGTCTATTCGACCGTATCCGTCAGTGAGTCAGCTTATCTGATACTGCACATGACCTCCATCATGAATATGGTGATTGAGGTCGAGCGCTGCTGGGGGTTTGACGCTTGTGTTCGTCACTGCGAACAATGACAATTGTTGCCTCGTGGGGCAATCGCTGGTGTATGTGGACAGTAGGCCAACAGCTGAGAATTTATGTAGGACTATGACGAGCAGTAGGAAGAATGACTTACACTTGTAACTGAACATTCTTCCAGCGGCCGTTTTCTCCCAATCTGGATCATCGGGGTTGAAAAATACTGAATTCCTCACTGCTATATGTTGAAAATCTCTCCAAGACAAATCGGGCCTAACATTCAGCTCTGAGCAGGGGTTCAATCAGATATACTCACCTGACAGAAAGTGTAAGTGCGAGAACTCCTGCTGCCAGAGGAGCGGCAGCAGAAGTTCCACCATGCGTATGAGCACATTTATCTTTCCCGACATCCGTAGTATGCTAATGGTCAACCAAACTGCTCAGTACATATAGTGATTTGATAATGAAAGAAAAGGTCGACTAAACCCACGATATGATCCCCACTACCTGAACTAGGAGCAACCATCATCATTGCCGAACATAATTCTGAATAATAAGGATGTAAACCTTTCCTATCCACCGCTCCTACTGTGATCGAAAAGATTGAATTGGTATATCCATCAAAATTACATTGATCGTCCATTCCTCCTCCGTTACCAGCAGCGAAGACGAATAAAGAACCTTTTCCATTCCTACCATTTTGAACGCCATTGACCAAAGCTTTGAGGATGATACCTTCTGGTGCTTCCATGGATTTCCCATCATCCGGTGGACCCCAAGAACAAGAGTATATCTCGTTCAGTTGATATGCATAATTCAAAGCGGCCGCTTCGTCTGCGTCGGAAATGGGTGCAGAGAGAATTCTGACGCCGGCGATTTTAGAAGTGTAGGCAACCCCGACTCCACAGACATCGTTCGGGACAGCGGCTATTTCACCGGCGCAACGGGTACCATGTTGATCATCACTCAATCGGGGAACGGGAAGGTCGGTATGGTCATTGAAATCGTATGATCCTTCGGGGTACTGTATGTGAGCATGTGGTGAGTCTGCGATGCTTAATGTGATTATCACAATAGGGCAGAAGTCGTGTGACAGAGTAGGATCTCGGTGATGAAGCACAAAACCACCCGCTGATGAAGCAGTAGAATGACGAGGGGACTTAAAAGTGAGAAATAACATGGTCACTCACAAAATTATCTTTAAGATCATCAGATTCCATATCCAATCCATCATCCACGATAACAACTTTCACATCATTCCCAGTCACACCTTTGCCCCATAAACCAGTAACGTTCAATTCTATATCTGGCATTTGAGTATTGATCAAATGCCATTGTTGATGTAACATTGGATCTTGTAAATGTAATTCGTTTTGAGCATACCATAATTCCGCTTCGTCCTGTCTCACATTCTCTCTCCTCTTGTCCAACAGTTGTAATCCGTTTTCATGTGGAAAAGTCCGTTTGGCCCGTTGTTTCAAATGCAATGGAGTGAGAGAACGTAAATGTGATTTACTTTGATTCGAGTTGGATCTTAATGAATGCCATCGTTTGATGATTGGATCTTGTATCGACCTTGGGGTTAAATGTGATGGGGTTTCACCTGGTGTGCGGACTATCCAATGACCAGGTAATTCGCCTAAGGGTTCTATCAATTCCACACCAAGAGAAGAGGAGATGGTTTTAGCTTGTGTGAGGGATGAAGATGGGTGTAAGTCTAAAGTATAGTAGGAATGTGTGTCGTATGATTTCGGTTGAGGTCGACGAGGGAGAAGACTGGGTGTGGTGAGAGAAAGGAATGGAAAGAGGAGTAAGAGATTGAGGAGATGATGAGATCGCATGATGGTGTGGAAGTACAATTGATGAGAGTGGGTTGGGGGTGGTACCAGGGTTACTACTGTGTGAGTACCTGAACCTCGGGGAGAGGAAGGGATGGTTATGCCTTCTTGTTATGGGCGATGAAGGATGGACGGAGGGAGGAGTACAGTGATTCGGCTCCACGAAGTCACCCCGTTATGCCAGTCACGTACCAGTGACCATTCTTATCAACCGTGGGAGAATTGCTACTTTGCTACGCAATTCCCGTGTCCAAGCTACTTTGAAACCTTACAACTACTTTACTACTCACGACCTCGCGATCTCGACGACTTAGACCCGACGCAATGACGACCAACAACGACCACAACGCCAATGACTCTTTAACTTCCCTAAATGCCTTGCTCAGACGTACAGCCTCTTCCCAACCTCTCAACCTCTCGCAGTCGGATTTACAACTCATCCCTACATCTTTGTCAAGCTCGAACAGAGAAACCAAGTCCATCTCCCTCATTATCTTATCTAAATGGTCCAATCAATTCAACCCCAAATATGATAACTCCAAGGATCATGAGGAAACCCACCGACCCTCTTCCCAAGATTTGATCCCAACCCTTCGACCATTTTTACTCTCCACATTCTCCGAAGACAGACCTCCAGAAGAATATATCCCTTTCACTTGTCTCATCTCTCATCTATACCCTCTTCACCCTGCAACATGTACCGACATACTCACCACTTCGACCTTCGAAAGTGAAGCCGGTAAAGAAGATGCTTTGAGCGTTTTACTCGAAGCTGCCGAATTACCCTCTTCCCTTCAACTCGCATTAGCCGAAATGTTCGTCCATGCCACATCTACAAAATCGGGAAGAGAATTGATACGTTCCCGTGCATTGGATTGGTTAAAAGGAGGTATGACAATGGGATCTGAATTAGGAGTTTTATGTTCTGTATCACTTGCCAAATTATCAAGTGCTGATCGTGATATCCAACCCACTTCTACAACTACATCAACCGAATCGGATAATTTGGAAATTGACGATGTGGAGATATGTGAACGGATGATTTCTCTCATTCAATCTTCTCCTTCTTCTTCTTCCATCTTATCAGAAACATTAGAAGGTATCTCCATACTTTCTCTCAGACCTCATATCAAAAATCTCCTTTCTCACAATGATAAATTCCTCAAATCACTCATTTCTTTATCACCCATCCCAACGCCAAAAGGAGGTAGTTTGCCTCTTGTCCCTAGAGGTGAAATGAATAATGAGGTGAAATCTGATCTTGTGGATTCAGGTATTTGTTATGGTATCACTACCATTCTTGTCAATCTTACCAATCCAAAGAGGAATTTAACGGAAGAAGAAGAACAAATCAAAAAACTTCGTTCTATGGCAGTTGGGAAGAAAGTGGAACTGGAATTGGACCCAATGGTAGAAATGGAGATGGTTAAGGAAAGAACTAAGAAAGTGATTGATAATGGTGTTGTCAATGCTTTAAGTGGATTGATACGTGCAGAGAGTAAACTTGTAAAGGAAAATCTAGGAAGATTATGTTTGAATCTTGTGGAAGATGTAAAGAATAGAAGTTTGTTTTTGAAAGATGGAGGATATAAAGTTTTATCAAGTTTAATTAGGGATTTGATACCTCCTTCTTTGGTTGTTTACGATCCCAGTTTGGATTCTTCAACAAATACCAAAGCACAAGACTCTCAAGACAAGTCTACTTCCTTGACAAATGAATCCACTTTGAAAGATGAAGTAAACGAAAATGTTGGATTGACAAATACGAACCACGCAACTACGAAGATAGTTGAAAGTATTGAAGAAGAATATGATATAATACCAGCTATACAAGCAATGGCAAAGATGATAATAACAACACCACCTCAATTACTTTTCACTCCTCCTTATCAAACCACCTCCCTAGATGCTATTTCACCACTTTGTAGATTATTACTGGAATCAAATACGTTATTACAATTCGAATCTTTGATGGGATTAACGAATTTATCTTCCATTTCTACAGAACATTCAACAAGAATATTCTATTCTTTCGTATTTCCTTCTCATCCCTCCAAACCTTCTCATTCCTCTTCTCTCCCATCCTTATCTCAAAATGATCCCCCTTCTTCTGATCAAATCCAAAGGAAAAACTCCACGAACTATTCGTCGGCAAGACAGAATGGAAGTGGGAAAGAGAGCAGCGGAATGTTTTCATCCCCAGTCACACCAACTCGAATCCTTACGAAGATAGAAGAATTAACGATCGACCATAATACCCTCATCCGTAGAGCGGCAACACAACTCGTATGTAATTTAGTTTCATGTGAAAAAGCCTTTGAAGCGTGGAGTGGGGAAGATGGTAATTTTAGGTCAAAAGAGAGATTGAACATTTTGGCAGTTTTGAGTAATGGGGATGATTTATCAACGAGATTAGCTGCGGGAGGAGCATTGGCGATATTGACAGAATCGAGGGAAACGTGTAAGAGGTTGTTAGTGATGAATGGGAGGAATATTTGGGAGAGAGTGTGGGAAATGATGGGGTTGGAGTATGAAGAGGATGGTTTTGACTCTACTACGGAGATGGAAGTGGGTATCGAAAATCCGAACGAAAATCGCGAAGGAAACAAGACTGAGAAAGGAGAGAAGGAGAAGGAGAAGGAGAGGGAGAGGGAGAATGAGCAAGATGAGGGTTTGATATTGAGAGCAATAGTGATCATTTTGAATTTACTCAATCACGTCGTATCTCTTTCAATGAAAGAACAGAACGAACAAATTACCCAAATCAGAAAAACAAGAATGGAAGATATTCTGAAAAAGTTGATGAGTGAGAAAACGGGAGATATCTCGGATTCTGCTCAAGAAGCTCTGAACATCTTGGGACGGTTAGGAAGTACGTAAGATCGATTTGAACATCACGAGCAGTTGAAGTCGTTTCATACATGGCGTGTTGGCATAGATGATTTCAGATGCATATGATGATGTACTCTATTGGTTTGTAAAACGAAGCAAGAGTTGGTTTGAGTGAAATAAGCTGGAAATATAAAGGGTCGTACGTAGGGTAGGGTAGGGTAGATTCAAAGAGTAGGATCAAATGGTATCCATCCTTTACATTTAAAACTTTGACACATACATTTAACTCTTTTATCCATTTCTCCAAGTTTGTACGAAGAAACGGGAGTGTTGCTCGGATGGGAGGAGGGTATGGAGGAAGTGGGAGGGACTAAGGGAGTGGTAGAAGATGCAGAAGAATAATCGAAGGTTAATTGTTCTCCTGGTTGAATATCACGTCGTGTCTACATTATTCAGCTCTTGAGAAATTGATAGGTTGACGTCGAGTCATAATGAGATTGAAATTCTTTTGACATGATTGAGGAATAATTAAGCTTTCAAGTTTTGACATGGAGAGTGGGAGAATAATAAGATAGATATCGAGCCAGTTGAATACTATCAAGACTTGGTTTGGAGGTAAATGAAATAATCTTCCCCTTCATAGCGTGATGAGGGACGATAGGAAAAGACGATAGGAAAAGACAATAAGATAATGGATGATAATGATATCATATTGCATATCTAAATGATGAAGAATAACCCAAAAAAAAGAAAAAGAAAAGAAAGAAAAAATCATCATTGTAAAGATCATATGAATTGAACAAGTGATGAGATCCAAGATAAACTCACATATACTCCAGCTCTTGGCCAAACATTCCCTGAACCCCAAAAAACAATCTCAATGATACAATTTGGATCACAAGAATGGTTCATATATCTTGAAACGTTTCCTATACGTCTAGGATCTATGTGCCAAGTTTGGTTCGGAAGTCGGATTGATAGTATGTAATTGTCGTTAGTCATCGTTGGTGTTTCATTCAGAGATGATATGGTTCTTCCTTGGGATAATGTCGTTTCTTCTTGAGACAGAGTGGTTTCGTTCAAATCACCCTTTGTTGGGAGTTCGTCGACTAGAATATCCAGGATATCGAGTGACGCTTGGGAGGTCTCAGGACATCTGTAGGAGGTAGAATGTGTACGTGATGCCCAACGAGTATGAGCTTGAAGAGATGTCAAATATTCTCCTGCGTATAGAGCTATAAAAGTACCTTTTGGTAAGATTTGAGATACCGAGTCGAGTCGGTTCACAGGATCGATCAACTTTACAGAGTCGGAGGGTGATGTGTTATTTATCGTGGATGAGAGATGAACTTTTGGAGTGTAGAATAATCCTAGACCTTGTGTAGGGGTAGGTTGGACGGATAGTTTGGTTCTGAAAGTCAGTCTGACGAATCACTTTATTTCCCGACTCCGTCTTTCGTTGATATCTTGTCTAATCTGTGATCATGACAACTCTTGTCAAGTATCTGGAGAGTCAAGTGGCAATTGGACAGGTGCACATCAACGTTCCACGTTCTCCTCCTCTTCTTCCTGGGTCAAAACTTTGATCGACCACCAAAGCCCCAATTTGAATTCCGATGCAACAATCCCTTCACCCCCACCTCAAACTCTTCCTCGCATACACTGTTTTCTTTCCCGTCGACCTCATATATCTTGATCTGTGAGGAGTCATCAAGCAAAGTTGACTCACCTAACCCCTCGTTGACTGACCCGATTAGCACACCATTCCCCACATCCGCACTTAGGTCCACATTCCACCAACGGTAAATTGGGCGGTAGAGCGTCAAGCAATAATACCTGATCCCCTGGCAGCTCTTGCTTCGATAATATTCCATGCTTTCTCCCTACGCTTTGTAGCGACGTAGGAGTAGAATAAAAGTTACCTAAACCTTATCAGTAGACGATGTACAAGTCATAAAATGACCTACCGAATGAAGACACACAATCACATTGGGATGAACTTGTACATGTCCATTCTCCTCTCGAATGACAATCACATGATATGCTCTCTTCTCCTTCTTCGTAGTCTACAACGTCTTCCTCATCTTCATTACTCCTTACTACTTGGTCTTGCGATACTTGTACTGTCCATTCTCTGTCACCTTCGACGGTAAGTTCACTGCTGTCAGGTGGACAATCAACCTCCGTAAGGGGTGTCCCATTTGGTAAAACAGAATCCGTCACATACTATTCATCAGTCCATACCCCATGTGTATGACCAGATTGGTTCTTCGTGGTGCATTAGACGACGACTGACCTGGACAAAGTCACCCAATCCCCCATACAACGGAATGGGCACAGTCTCTCCACCAGCGGAAATGTCGGGATAGACCGGCATGAAGACGGCCACGTGTGAGACAGATTTGGACACCGCCCTGAGGGCATCGCAGGGTCTTTTTTGAATCGGGCGCCGGGGCGTTGACGAGTGGGTGATTCAGTAGTCACTGCGCCCCGCGAGTCGTGTATAATGAGGATGGTGCTGTGCTGGGTAATTGAGAAGACAAGAAGAAAGTGGTGGTAGTGTGGTCGCGAGGTTGAGTTGTTGGAATACTACTGGTCTTGGATGGACAGTGCGTGGGTGGTTGAGTCGGGTGGACGACCTCCACTTTTAGGCACGGTGTGGGAAGAGCAGTATCAGTGGGGTGAGGACTGAGGAGTGACGCGTGAAGACGCGACGACGTGGTTGAAGATCGTCCGATGGTGATGACGAGTTCTTTGTCCGAGCTGGCTGCCGGCTGCATCGAGGAATGAGGCAAGGGCAAAGCGCACAGCGAACCGAACTTCGCGCACGACACGAAATCTCTTCACGCACGACAAAATCACGTGACTAGCCGTTAGGCATGCCGCAGAATCAAGTTAGGCGTCTCAAACCACGTGGCTTCTTGTGCACAGATCGCCCTTCCACTTTTCTCATACTTTCAAGTAATATCAATTAACTTCATCACTTTCTGCAACTTACAGGAGATAAGCTATGATATTGAGACACTGACCATCGTTCTCAGGACCCTCGATAATCCCCATTGAATACCTTCCAGTCAGTATAGGCTCTGAGGCGGCCGGAAATTCATGGGGAGAAGGGGTGGAAGGGAGATCAGTTTATCTCGGTCAGTTCTTGACCTTTGAGCCTGAAACTTTTACTGACCAATAGAGGGGGACGATCTCTACATGTCCGTGTAAAAACCAGGATCTTTCTATGCATAGATCATGGAGTAGGTTAGCAACTCTGGCCACAGGACAATTGGGGAGGGGGGGAGGACGGAAGGGTGTCCCTGCGTGCGCCTAACGTCTCTGTGCTGCATGCCTAACGCTTTATCACGTGATTTTGTCGTGCGTGAAGAGATTTCGTGTCGTGCGCGAAGTTCGGTTCCGCACAGCGTCCAAGCTTTCAGTTCCTATCCATTGTGCGTCAAGGAACAACAAGGTTGACTTGGCCGATGCGCAGTCAGTACATAATTCCCTTAGTGAACCATTAACAGAGTTTGAGGCTTGTGTGTGGCAATTGCTAGAATGAACCGTGCACCGTGAACCGCGCACCGCACAGATCCCTTTGTCCCTAACCGCCCCCCTTGCCTCGTTCCCGTTTCCTTCCCACACTCTATTCTTCCCCCCCCCCCGTGGCCCGTGGCCCGTGTCTCACTACTACTACTTACTTATCCCTTTCTTCTTCTTCTCTTCATCATCACTCTTTCTCTCTTCACTACCACCACTTCATCCTTCATTATCCACAGACATCACCATCGAAATGTTCGCGAAACTCTCTTTGCTCGCTCTCTTAGGCTCAGCCTTGGCTCAGAGTATCAACACGCCCGTGAGTTGACTCATCTGTTGGAAAGTCGCCCAACCTTCCTTTGTCTATCAACAATAACAATGACAACAACAACCGCAGAATCATGCTGACTTTCAGCCTTCTCTCGTGGAGTGTCGTGAGTCCAATCACTTGTCACCCTCGTCGATGACTGCCTCTCACTTGTATCTACAATACATCAGTAGAAGACTGACCGATGAATAGAACCCGCAGCACTCACGTTCTCCGGTGGTAGTGCTCCATACATCATGTGAGTATCGACCGGTTCATATCATCCAACCCCTCCCCTTCTTCATATGACCTCTTTACTCCTTGTATCCCTCTTTCGTCCTGACTTTTGCGGTCTATCTCCCAAAGCTTTTTCACCGATTCTGACGTTTGCGGGTAGTGTTAGCTACTTAGGCTCGGGTGGCAACCTGAACCTTCTCCAGTTTATCGCAATGCTGTATACTCTGTCTTGTCTAGGCAGCATTTCCTCCGTCCTTCACTCCCGCTGGTGCATCACCACTTTGATGAGAAGAAAAGTGGCTCACCCACAGCGCCGTCATACCTGGTGGCCAGGTCACCGCCGCCGCCATTGAGACCATCTCCTCGGATGCCACTTCGAGTCCCTTGACATGGACCGTCAATCTCGCCTCAGGTGAGCTTTTCTTCTATTCAATGACCACAATCTTTCCTATAGACGCCTCCACTCTCAGTCACATCGTCTCCGTATCATCAATGTCATCACACAAACCTCGATGCTGACTTTTGCAGGCACCAACATCACCCTCAAGATCACCGACTCGACCGGTTCCATTGGTTACTCGTCGCCTCTCGTCATTCAGTCCGGCGACAGTAGCTGTATCGGCCAGTCAGCCTCGGTTAGCAGTCCCGCCTCGGCTTCCGTCTCGTCCACCTCTGCGGCTTCAAGTGGTGCTTCCTCGTACGTCTATTTCACTTTACTCATTTTTACTTCATATGCTACCCTTCCTTTACTGACCCCTGATCAAATACGATATTGTCCTATCGCTAACATTCAGTGCGGCGTCCGTAGCATCCTCCGCAGCCCCAACTACTACATCTAAGAGCTCCGTCGCTGCCACCTCGGCACCTGCGAGCACCTCTTCCACCACCAGTTCTGTCAAGTCGACCTCCTCGACTCCCGTCTCGGCTGCTCCATCAGCCTCTGCCTCTGGTACTTCGGGCGCTATGGCTGCTTTTAAGATGGGTCCTCTCGTCCCTGCTATCGGAGCCTTGTTCGCCGGTGCAGCCGCTTTCCTCCTATAAGTTGATCAGCTCGAGGTTTCCATTCCTTTCGGTGATCCTCTTTATACTCGATGGACATGGAAATCTGCAAAAGTAGGAGGTTATGAAGACGATGATGGTGATGATTCACTCCTTGAACCCCAAAACGCTCGTGTGATGTGGCCGGATCTGATAAACGATTTTTTTACTCTGCGGATGCTTTGCTCTTTAATCTCATATAGTTACGAAGGGGAGGAACGAGGAGGGTGGATGGATGGACGATGTGATATATAGGTCTTGATGCAGAACGTTTCTTATCCATCGCGACGCTGTTGTTGGCATTGTACAAGATTGTAATGCTCCACCAGTGGTCAGTGGTCAGTGACCGGTGGACGATCACGATGCACCATGGCTCATGGACCACGCAGTGACCGGGTAATTAGTCGATTGGCATGGCATCTCCTATGAATAAAGGCAAACTATCTCTCTTCTGACCACCTTGTCGCATCTACTCACCTGTCACGAATCCACCATGAAGATACCATAAAACAAGGAACACCTTCTCTCAACATGCGTGTGTTCTGGCCTAAGAGTATACAAGTAGAGACCGGGGTGGTGATAGGATGGAAGACCCCCGATGCACTACTCTGCGTCATCACCATTGTCTCAGTGGTCCCACAAAGGGTATGTGTCTTCTTCATGTCTAACTCTCCACGATCTCCCAAGTCTGAAGCTATCTTCCTGCCCTCCTCCACCCTCTCGCCCCTTGTCTCGATCTTCCAATCGGGTGATGGCTTCTTCTCCTTTTAGTATCCCCGCCGCTTGAACTCTTTTTTTCCCCATGCTCCTTCTGCACTCCAGTCAGAAATCCAATCTTTCACTCAAAAGCTTGGCTGATAGAAAAGGTGGTAGATCATCTTCCCACCATATCTCACAAACCTGAAGTTTTAGGTGAAGTGTTGAATGACTCCGAAGCAGATGAAGATGAGACGAACGACAACTTCAAGAGTTCAGGACCACCCACTAAAAATGATTATAAATCTGGTGGAAGGTTGAAGATGAGGATAGGTAAAGATGGGCGGATCTCAACAAGGTCAGTTCTTAACTATGGTTTCAGACCTACTTGAATTTTTGTATGGCTTATTGATCAAATCGTCTGGTATTGAAGTGGGGGGTGGAGTTGATACATAGTGAACCAATCATAGTAGAAATGATCTGCTTTACCCCTCCTGATCCTACTCGTCTTCGATACCTTTCCCTTCGACCTCGAGGTATGTCAAATGGTAGAGGTGCTTCCGTGGACTTCTATGGAGGGTCTATTGCGAAAACGGTCCTCACGAAAGTGGAGAGGGAAGAGCAGCTTTGTAGGATGGAGATGGAGAAACAAGATGAATATGGTGTCGCTTCTCTTTCTTCAGGAGGGATTGAGAACATCATACCTTTGGTGAGTTCTTTCACGATACATGACACTACTCCTTCACCATGACAGATTCCTTATGGTTCGTCTTTCGATTCAACGTTGATAAATCTCTTTGAGCCAAGTCACTCATTTGGGAGAAAGCCCGGTTCTGGCTGAGCTGAGGAAGTTACCCTCCTGAATTTCCCTATCCATTAGCAAGGGGATTACAGGGATACGGAAGAGGACTGATGAGATAGTTGAATCGAACGTTTCTCGCTCAGAAAGAGATCCAAGCTTTGGACCATAATCGACCATCAGGGAAACCCTCCCGATTCCTCACTTTTGGCATGGAGTTACTTAGACCGGTACGATTGTCTATGTTACCTTTACGCATATTGGCAGGGTGGTTCGTCTTTCTGTCCGAGAGTAATATGCTGGGAAGGAAGTCCGGTTCGTTACGACAACATAGTGCTACTGGTGAGTTTCATCTCACCTCCTTATTCGAATTGTCAAATCCATGCTATCCCGCATCAGGAATTGTGCATTCACCCCGACCCCACTCAATCAATTTGACTCGGACCGTTCTGAGGAGAGGAGCAAAAGACCGACCTGGATCTCTAAGGTGAACTGGTGACGAAAGGATGAAAGATGAAGTTGACGATACCCAGTTGAACAGATTTGTTTAAGATTGGGACAACAATCATCTGCTTCTGAGAAGTTCAAACAGGCTATGAAGACTGACGTAGATGTGGGAGTGCGAAGTAGGGATTACATCGTGTATGGTTCCCTTCCCGACATGTTTCGGTTTCCGCTAACAGGAAAGATTTTGGAATATGATTTGGCTTATTCTAGTCAGTTTGCCATTATCTGCTTTTCCTGCTCCCGTCGATCATCCCGTCTTACTGGGGCAGTAGCTATACTAAATTCCGCCTCTTTTGGGTGATTTGTTGCTTATGGCAGAACGACTTAATTCTCGGATATACACTTCGCAATATGTTACTCCTCTCCAAACCAGTTCTCATAACCGCTATCCCCGCTCTCTTCCAAGTAAGTCCCCACTCGTCTTTCTGAATATAGCTAAGACATAGCAACACGGCATTCGAACCATCATCTCAATTCTGAAATGGCTAGACGATTGGCCTGTCGGTCTCAAATTAAACACTCCTCTGAGTAACTTTTTCTGTTCCACCTTCACTTCATTCATCAGTCAATGGGGAAGTGAGTGCATTTTCCTTCTATCCCTCCTTCACATCGACCAAGCACTAACAACCCTATCAAGTTAATCATGGGTACGAAAAGCATGGGCTAATGAGAAGATTTCCTCACACCTTTATTAATCGAATATACCGAGAAAACTGTGGATATCTTATCTTTAGGTTCTTTAGGAGGATTAACAATATCATCATGTATGATATCGGATTTACTCAAATTGTTGTTCGTTCATATGGAAGGATGTTATTGGTTCATGTCTAAATTATGTGGATGGCAAATTGAATCTTTATCAGGTTTATGGAATTTATTCAGAGGTCAGTTTATTGTTCCATTTTTATTTCATTCAAATATATACAACCTCGATCTTCCCTCTGTTTTGCTTTACCTCTATTAGGTTACGTCAAGAGACACAAATCATCACCAATTCTCCCGAGATAGATTATCGGAGAAGGGGGTATATGATAGATGTCATATAGAGGTAAGTGAAACAGAATTAACTTGATAGGAAAACGTTGGAACGTACTTCGACAAAGAACCGATTCTTACGCTTATGATATCGATCAACTGTTCCTTGGTTCTATGTTGTTTACGGTATCGGCTTTTTTATTTCCTACTGTTCTCACTTACTCTGCATTGTTTTTCACCGTAAGTCTTTACGTCTTTCCTATATTTCCTACCGTCCTCACTTCCTCTGCGTTGTTCTTCAACCCGAGTCTTGAGATCTTTGATATCATTTCCTACTGGTCTCTTCTATGCCCTATCATGCTCATTTCTGCTTTATTTGCGCTATATGTCCTCAGATGTTTAGATAAGAGTTTGATTGAATGAGAAGACTGTGTAGTGATGTGTTGCTGATTGTCAGATTCACCTGAGTTTGGTCGTCATACAAAAAGGGTTGAGTATGGCGGTATTGGCGTTGAATGCGTTCCCTTTATTCGAAGTCATGCTCAGTTTCAAAGAACCCAGTCGATTACCTGGTAAGTCATAATCTTCTCCGTCCACTCATTCCCTCTGGCCACACAATGTACTCAATGAGCGTATGAAGCTGATGAATCAGGAGGTATCACATTCGCCCTTCGACGACCAGTACCATCTCGGCGCTCTGAGGGATTAATTCTGCCTCATCTTGAACTGAAGGTTCGTATATTTCCCCTTCATCATGTGGCTCACTACCTTCCCTTTTGTCTTGCCGCGACAACAGCGACAACAACCACAATGAGAAAATCGAGCGGATTGCAAAACGCCAACGAGGGCGTCGCATCATCATGGTCGAAGGAAAGAGGGGATGCAGAGGTGATGAACGATCTGACTGATCTCAGAACGCTCCTAGATCTCTCAAAGATATCATCTTCCGTGCAAGCTAAACACGTCATGTTAATGAAGGGAAGAGTTTGCATCCGCATATACTGGCTTCTTCTGGCAAAATGAAAATGAACGAGTGGCGAGGTTGGAATGTGGACTGTGAAGAATGGGGAGAGACTCTACAAAACTCGATTTGTCAAAGGACGAACACAACGAACGACAGGTGCCATCGAGTTGACCTGCTCATTTCTTGCATCCGCAAGTGGCACCGCAGGAGCAGCTGAGTGTGAGTATCATACTTTCCCCCCTATCGATCTACAAAGCACTGGCAGGGGTGGGAGGTAGTGTCGCGGAGCGAGAGTGATTGGTTGATATCAGACTTTGATGGAATCGACACGACGATGGGGAGGGAGGAAGGGGCTACGAGGAGCTAAGCAGAAGCTATCGACTTACTTCTCGTTGCACGTAGAGCAAGTGCCATCACAGTTGTTGACGAGAGCCTAACTATCAGCGTGTGGTCTTTCCTCAATGACTATTTCCTCCAACGACAACACAGTGTTGATGGGCTCCTCCATCCCGCCACTTCTTTTCCACTCTAAACCCGCGCACGATAAGGTCATAGGGCTCGGGAAATCTCAAGAAGACTTACAGCAGTAGTAGAGTTCATCTTGAATGAAGGAAATCGGTCTGATTTGCGAGTTGTATTGAATTGAGCAATTGAAGTGGGAAAAAACAATCAGGTTGGTTGAAGAAGGAAGTGTTACCCCTGGAGACCCTTATATACCTTTTTTTTCTCCCTTTTCCCTCGGGACCTCGGTCGGACGATAGCCCCACTTGATGATTGATCTATAGACATACGAAGAATGATGATCAGGTTCTAACTCCGCAGTGGCCGATACAGCCGATCTCGAAACGTGTTTCTACCGCCTTTGGGGGATGAGGAAAGAACGATACAAGCGAAGTGTAAGGGGGGGAGAAGGAGAGAAGGTGTAATCACGAGGACCGTCGATTCGTTCGGCCGATTATTTTCGAAGGATGATGGTGCGTTAGGAAGCTTTAAAGATTGATGGTTGCTGATCGGTAGTATGGCGATTATGGCGACGTTTTCGAATTTTGAGGGAATTTATGATTGTCTAGGTTTTAGATCTGAATCGGAAGATGATCCATCTTTCAATTCACTGACGACTTCAAAATCCTCCTACTTTTCTTTTCGACTCGAATATGACCGACGCACTTTCACTAAACAAACTTAACTTTCCCATTGTCTATCTTCCAATACTGACATGAATATTGGACAGGAAATGACCAATGAGCTCTTTTCAAATGGGGGGTTTCATCACGTGAATCAATCAGAGATGATAAAAACGAGGGAGAAGATCATTCATCTTTTGATTTCTTGATCTTCAATCTCGATTGTATGATCAATGAGACGATGGATAGGTATGATTATCGTCCAATCTCGGAATTGAAACTCAAGATTCATAGGATGAAGACAAGGCCGTACGGTACGGTGGTAACGGGTAGAACCGGAAAGATTATACAACTAGTTAGTTTCGACCCACAGGACACAGGACAACGGACAAAGGTATTTCAAAGTGAGGAAAGACGGAAGAGTCGTCGAGATGATACGTACTGACCCACCCCACCGATCTGATTCATGATGGGATTTGAGTGTTTTTCCCTTCTGAGAGTCTGAATAGTTTAGGTCGAAATGGACGTTGATGGATAAGATCGTTTCTCTTGGCTTCCCGTCTTTGGTCGCTTAGTCGGTAGGTCGCATCATTGACGATCAACTCTCTCACATTTAGTTCAGGGGGGGGAGGGGGGGAAGGCAACTACGTGGGTTGTGGGGTTGATTCCTCATGGTTTGGATTAAGATCTATCACTGACCTTATAAGCTTATCTATGATAGATTCCCCTTCCTTCAAATCTTCTAGGCTATACCCCTGATTGCTGAGACGTAGGAGTGTCAAAGTGTACTTCCATCTCATATAAAACTCAATAACTTCTCACATCGATATGAGAAAGTACATAGCAGAATCAAAAACGTCAAGTCGAACACTTCCTCCTTTTCGTTCGTGCTGCGTGACAGTCTCTATACGATCATGCAGGCCAGGCAGGGTAGGTGTGAAGAACACTTAAAATGAGATATACATGGAATGAACTTTCCGATTGAACGTGATTTCTCAAACGGTTGTAAAAGATGAAAAATGCATGTTTGTTTCATATGTTATAGCTACAAATAAGTATATTGATTCACTCTTGAACCGTATCATTCCCACTCGTCTCTTCTTCAGGTCGTTTACGTATCCCATATTGATATCCTACATCTTTGGCCAGACCGACTTTACCTAATGAGACGAAAATGAGGCATGCGGCTGAATGTGAGAAAAGAGTTCCTCGACGCCCAGATGCCGGATGGATGGATGGATGGTGGAGCGTGGTTGGATGAGGTGGGGTGGGGTGGTGGGATTCATGGTCAGACGATCATTCACCCATTCTAGGGTCAAAAGTCTGAGAGTCTAAGGGGAATAGGTTTCACGATGATGTGGGGGGAATGGGATGAGATTGATTATTGCGGAGGGAACGATGAGAACGAAACGTGGTTTCTATCACTAGCTGATCTTGTGTGAGGCGGTGAATTTCTTATGGTCAAAAAGACAAGGAAAGGAAAGATGAGTCAAAAGGAATGATTTCAGTGTATCCACTTGGATGGTTGATTGTAAGATGACTCGATGGAAAAATGAAACGATGGGGGAAAACGGAAAAGAAAAGAGATTTACCGAAGAAACCCCATGCGGAGGAAAACCAAAACCCATCTCTTAATCCCGTTCGGAGACTACCGGTGATTTGAGCTCGATTGGATTGTACGAGTGAAACTATACATATTGAAGTAGGGATAGCGGTCTGAACGCCTGTTTGAAGTAATCCACCAGCGAGGGATTGTTCATGTCTATTCCGAATGAGCGTCATAACAAACTGTCAAACATATGGAGTCATTGCTGACACAGTTCGAGGTGGGATGTGTTCAGTCGAGGAATCGCAGTCAGATTTGAGGAGGATTGGTCGTGAGATTAGATAGAAAGATTGGATGTGGAAATGACTCTCTGGGGGAAAATGGATGTTTATTCTGATATAAATGTGGGTGTAGATGTGGATGGAGAAGATGAAGTTGACTTACTGTTCAACCAAATTAGCCATCAAGATAGACCCTACACCAGTCATCATATCCGTCGAATAAGGTAACAAAATTTGTGCCGGTAATTCCGCCGCCCAATAGGTCAGACCATCAGGTTCGACAGCATACAATAAGTTTGCCACGCTTTTCTGATCAGTGGAATTCTACGTAGAAAAAAAGAGGACATACCCTCCGAGGATAGCTCCTGTCATAAGTAAGTATGGAGCGCGAATTCTCGGTGCTAGGTACATGACGGCGGCCTACGTGTTTAGTATAAGCTATTTTCTCTCCGATTTCTTCTTCTCCTCTCATACGTTTTTCTCGTGTAAGGAGATCTAGAGATGAGATTGGTGCTGAGTGTCAAAAGGTCTAAGTCTTGGCATACCAAGCCAGTCTCACGACTTTTGAATGGGTCACAAGTGAGAGGAAAAAACACCGAATCACTCACCATTGCTATTATCCCACATAAAGTAGCAGGAATAACATGTATAGCATTCAATAAAGGTGAATAACCTTTATATTCTTGATAATAAACAGTAGCCATGAAAATCCATCCTGCCGTACAAGAGAAAGAACAGAAAGCGCAAACGATAATACTTGCGACTTTGTAATTATGTCTTGTCAAGAGAGATAATTTAAGAATTGGTTGTAGTATATGTGAAAGATGATGTTCCACGTGATGTTCCCAAAATCCAAAAGCGAGTAACATGAGGATGGATATACCGGTGCAAGCTGGAACGTCTGAATGTGAGTCATGCGTCTGACCTGGTCATGAATCCGCGATAGCTATAACTATGTCCACCAAATCGTATTGATTTAACTGAGAATTCTCTGCGACAATCTTGAGAGTGCGCAAGTTAGGAACGAGAGGTCGAGAAGCGGAATGAAGTGATAAACAAATCAGGACATAAAGCGTTGTAAATGAAAGAGTAAACTCACATGGTTCTGACCATCCCCGTTCTACTAGACCAGATTGAGTGATCGAGAATAAGAACAGAGCAATCCCTCCACCGATCAGAAAAGCACCAAACCAATCGATCGTCTTGATCCACCCAGGGGATAATGTTCGTTTAGGTTCCGGAGGGACGAAGAAGAAGACTAAGGTGAGGGGGACTAAAGCGAAACCCATGATGACTAAAAAGACGTATGACCAGCCGTGTCTGTCTGTCAGCAAACACTGCTATTCGACGACATCTTCATCATTTCCCACTCGTCTCAGGAAAATCTCACTCGAATCACAACCGAAACATCGTCTCTCCACAGCATTATCGTCCGGCATTTCCATTTCAAAATATAAATTGTACGATGAAAATGGTAGATTAGAGACGGACGTGGATCAAGGAGTAATGTCAAACTTACCTCCCTGCACTAGCCACGGCACCACCAATGATAAGACCCGTCGAACCTCCTACGGGTAATCCCATCCCCATGATTGAAAAGGCTATAGTCCTAGCTGGTTCTTCTCGGAATGTCGTACCCAAAATACCGAATGCTGCTGGGGAAGCGAGTGACATTCCGAATCCTCCTATACCACGAAGGACACAGATGGCTATTCTGACCTGACAATCAGCTAACATCCGAAAGACATACTCCCATGACAAGGGATCTTACCGAAAAGGCGAGAAATATGATATGCTGAAAAGGAAACTCACACGCATGAATTTCGTGATCAAAGAAGTTACAACCACTATGCTCAAGCCTACCATGAGTTGTATTCGTCGTCCAAACATATCTGCAAGTCGACCCGATATGAGGATACCACTACCGGTCAATTCGACGATCTACCCTCCGGATCGACTTACCAAGCGAAAGAAAGTCCCCATGCAGATGCCACCTCTCTATCAGCCAGAAGACAGTGATAGAGGAGTCAAGAGACTCACCCATTGAGCAGACAAAACGGATATACCAAGATCCTCTGCCAAAGAAGGAATCGACAGCATAACAGTGGATGTAGAAATCGTCTTTAATCTTAGCATTTCGTCTGTAAACAGAGAAGGGAAGACTCACAGAAGTGAAATTCGAAAAGAACATAGCAGCCCCGATTAGGATTAACCTATTCCTCGATAACTTGACCGAGGGAATCACTTCAGAATCTTTGGTTTCTACATTTTCTCCAACCTCTACATCCTTCTCTTTCTCTTGTATATCGGACAATGCACCATTCGATTTAGTCGACCCTTCTCGCTCCCCTGATCTCTTCTCATGTACGTCCTCATCGTAATCCAACTTGACGGATTGTCGCTCTGATCGGCTGTTTGTTCTAAGAGGGCGAGAAGCAGAATGCGATAATTCCAATTGCAGAGGGATGACCTCAGGAACGGCCGCTTCTATTGATAGTCTTCTACTAAGTCGTTCTATGCTTTCCCATCTACTCAGTGGAGACCCGATTGGTTGACTCGGACCTGACATATTGTGAATCGAGGAGATATCTGTTCTGTGTGGTAAACAGAAGAGGCAATGAACACCTCGTCAGGTTTCGAGGTGGAATGATACATCTCTTGTCGTGATGCTGTTCATGTCATGACAAAGGTCGAAGACTGACCGGTTTATCACCGGAATATGTTCCGGCGCCGAGGTTCCGGTGATAAACCTTATCTTTCCCCATGCCGCCGGCATATCTTCAACGTACGACGTCTCGTGAGTTCGAGACGAGGTCGATTGCATGTCGTTGTAGTCTCGTCTTGTCATCTCATCCGATATGCAGAGAACCTTGATGGTGAAAATGTTCAGTTGTATGGTCTTGCTTGAACCGACCTTTGCTCGATTTAAACTCAGGTTTCATGAGGGTCACGTGACCTGCCTTTATATTTCCCACGGTCGTTTTGTCTCCAGAATTTCAACGTCCAATGTGACCAAGGGTAATAATAATTCCTATAGCTTACAAGTAGAAAAACTTAGTCGTGCAACAGCGAGCAGCTAGCAGCTCATCATGGGCAAGACACAATACAAAAAGAAGACTCAAGCATGGAGGCACAATCCCATACGAGTGCCCGACTCTCATTTGGGATCAGGCAAGGCAGCGGGTAAAGTCGATCCCACCAAGGAGAAGCAAATGTTGCCGGTGCTGCAAAAGGTTTGTCCAGCTTCGATCAATGCCTCCCCTGTCTCTCTCTTGCTTCGAGCGGTGTACGTCAGTCTTATCTAGGAGGGACGCTGATAGACCACAGCTTAAATCACCCTCACACGCCGATCGAACATGGGCATGTGCAGCCATTTGCAACCTCATTCAAGACGATCCTGCCACTCGACGGCTATTTCAATCCCGCAACGTCGTAGGTGAGCTCATTGAACGTTTGTCAGATTCAGTGGACGAAGTGGTCGTCGAGGCATCTGGAGCTTTGAGGTAAGTAGATCTGGTCCTCATCTAGGCCGCTCATGAACAGAAATCTTGCCATTGATGGAGGTCATGAACTATGTGGGGAGATGTTCAACAAGGGTATCATCTCGCATCTTGGTGTCTTATCCGGTAAAGTGAGCTCGACAGTTGAGCAGTTCATAGTCGAGGCTGATACTCAGATCTCAACGACTATTCAAGCCATTTCTACTCCAGTACAAGGTCGCTTAACAGACGACCAGCTGCAAGCCCGGAAACATCTTCTGCAGCTTACTGAAAATGTGATTACCCTGATATGGAGTTTGGCCGAGACGAGTCATAAGACGCTTCAGGGAGTCATGGGAATGGGAGTGGAGGGTTTGTTAATTCAGATTCTTGACCGCAGGGAGATGTTGGGGCCTGGTGTTGTCGTCGCTGCTGGTCAGTCACCGGCTCTGACTGCTGGACGCAGCTAACATATGACAGCCCAAGCCCTCTATTCTCTCTCATCCGATAATGAGCCTTTCAAGCTGGCGTTACTACGACATCCTATGGCCTTATCTACCATCGTGGACATCTGTCAAGTGGATCATACACGTGACAGCCATCAGACGAGCAACAGAAAACCAAATGGGAAAGGGAAGGAGAAATCCAACGGAATGATGGATGATGAAGATGAGTTGGGAGATGGGAGAACTCTTTTGGCCCGACTTCTCTTATGTGGTGCGTATTTCCATCTTCCGTTTTTACTTATGCTGAGTGGTAGGCGTCCTAAGAAATGTGGTCACTACTGGGTCAGAGGCGGATCAGTCTATAAATCTCATCGCTCTCACCACAAAAACCATCGTTCCTCTCATAGACGGCTTGATCGATATAAATCTTCCGAGTGTCGTCGATCGAGTCATAAGCCTCGTCTCTCAATTGGTAAGCCTATCAGAATTCGCGTACCCAATGCTCATTGTCAGCCGTCCCAGGATCTCACAGAAGCCCTTGATCATCAATTGAACGGTCACCGTTCTGCCCCTTCGCTCACCTTGGAAAGGATTGAGAGGAGGCTACATACTGTGTCAGTGGCTCTGGAGATACTCACCGGCATATGTGCAGGTTTGGAAGAGCTAGAGGAAAGTGAGCAGCCCGATGAACCTGGTTAGCCTTCTCACCCACTTTCATTTGATGATAGCTTACGTCTAGATGGGGAAGATGAAGAGATGGACTCTGATTCCCTACCAGACGAAGATATCATCGCTCAATCTCAAGATCATTCAAATATGTCTACACAACCGACTCCTGTGGTCATATCCACTTCCATCACCCTCTCACATCTCATCACCACCTTGTCTCTTCCTCAGCGCTTAACTACTCTCGCTCAGCTTACACCACTTTCTTTTCCACCAGCATCAGATCAACCCTCCCCTCATCCACCTACTACCTCAGCTTTGTCGATCTTACATCTCAGAGCCTTGGAAGCTCTGAACAACCTCCTGCTCACTATTGCGGCGGCTAGTGAAACTGATCCGACTGTCAAAGGGCCTGTCCCGTCTCAGGGAGTATGGGAGGGGATGATGACTGTTATTGCCCTTTTATATGCGGAAGCGGACGCCTTGAAGCGGAAAGGACATGAGATGAGGAGAGAGGTTCTGGAGATGGCTCTGGGATGTTTGTGGGGTGCTGTGAAGGTGTCTGAGGAAGGTTTGGTACGTTATACGATCTCCTTGTGCTTCTTGGTATCAATCGAACTCCCTCTCTGGCTCGACTGTAGATCTCCCTCTCTCCTCACTTCATACTAGTTCGCAGGTGTTGTTGTATGTGAAGATGACCCGGAGGCATGACTGACTCTCCAGCTGGTACGACCAGATCAAATCCAAGGTCTCCTCACTCTACTGCCACTTATTCGTGAACCTGCCCAAACTCGACTAATCGAAACTCTTTCTCTTCTCGCTTCCCGACCAAATGTCTCTTTAGAGGAGAACCAAGTAAGTCGTTATCCACATGATTTACACTCCGGCTCTGCCTGATTCTTTACCAGACCCCTCCCCCCTGTACTCTCCTCCTCAACCCGATTCTTGCGATTCTCACACGAAACCATTTGATACAGTACTTCCATCGAACATCTCTCGTCCCTGATGACAAATCGAAAATTGGATACCTGAAAACTCCAAGACCGTTAGCTAATTTATAGATCATTGGATCTCACTTTATGAACTTCCTCGTCTCTCAGACACCTGAAGGATCTATACTCGTTTCACTGTTGAACGCTATAATCGACATTTACGCCGATGAGACTAGATCATATGATGGACCTGTTTTCGTTGCTGGTGGTTATCTGGAAGCTCTCACTGGGGTAGTGGGAAGGGTCAGAAGTGCCGTGAGTGAATCGATCAACTACTTACATGTCCTATCAACCTTTTTTGTGATTCCGTCGTGCCGCTCCGTCCAATCTAGCCCGTGAAGCTACTCACATGATGCCTGAAGGAATACAGAGGTGAAGCAGTCCGCACGGTTGTCCGATATTCTCATATGGGGTCTTCCTCTCTAGCTTGGAAGAGATGTTTTCACTCACTCAACTTATGAAACCACTACAGGAATCAGTGGGCTGGGAGGAGATGGACATACTTTTGATGGACCTGTGGAAGATGAGCTGATTATCAGGTGAAGAAAATCGACAGAAGGACAGACCGATTACTTCGTGCTCAGGCAGAAGAAGCTCAAGAGAATTTGACGGCGTATATCAAATATCGTCGTGCTTTATGATCATCCTTCTCCCCATCCATCCTTGTCATCTTTCGCCATCTCATAAAATTCGAGCTATACCACCAGTATTTTCATCTAATTCTCATCAGTCGTACGATCCTGATCAGTTTTCACTTTTGTTATAAACATCGATCTTTGCACATAAAAGTTATATGATTTCAAAGACCGATGCATATGTGATAGTTACGTTGATCATTTTTTCTTTCCCTTGCTCTTCTTCTTACTTCGTGTATCGGGAGTAGAGACTTCCATCCAACTATCATCCTCTACTTCTTCCTTTGACACAATAGGTGTTGTCAAAGTTTCCGTTTCTGTCGTTTCTCCCTTGGACTGTTCTGGGACGTCAACATTTGATTTTGAGGATTCGATTGTCTTTGAAGTTGAATCGATATTGTCATCGTCTGGTTTAGGTTCGGTGATCTCGGTGTAAGACCATAATGTTTTGAACTCTCCTCTGATCAGAGAGAGGAATATCGGCCCAAGACCTGATGATTAGCTCTATGAACTTTACTGGCCTTGTCCACGTCAAGACTATCCGACGATTACGCGAGCTTGGAGCAAACCGTCGCGATAGATTAGATCTGAATATCAAGGAGGGATAACGGGTCTTTCAACACTGTCTGGGAAGAAGTATACAAACGAGATAAAAATAGGATACGATACGAAGTATGGTGTGAAGTGGTGTTGATAAGGAACCGACGTGAAAGTCGAACCGAATGCAACAAGGTCAAGAAAGATGAAAAGGATTAACTGGACAACTCACTACACGCTGGACTAAGATATAACAAAGCCGGTTGAGCTTTCCCACTCATTTGCATAACCCAAATTGTAATTGCTAATCCAACCACATAACTCCCTACACCCATGTAAAAATAACTCTTCCCGAATCGAGATCTTACGTCTACATCTTCCGTAGGACGAGAAGAAGCGTATCTGTTGAGATCGTATCGTAGACACAGGGCGATGACCAGACCTGGAACTACTATATCTCCAAGACCCAGCATTGCGAATTCGGCAGAGGAAGAGGAAGATGGACGAGGGGAAAGTATTTTGATTGGTGCATCAATGGATTTTGCAACTGTTACCATTACGGGCGTAGCGAAGACCTTTTCATTAGCTTGAACCATATACAAGATTATTCCACTTCGCAAGGGTCAACCAATACGTCAAGGTTGCACAGATAGCAACATTGGACGACGAGTCTAAGGCAAGGGAGGGGAGGATAAGGAAGTAGGAGGAGGGAAGATGATTTACCCAGAAGATATCATACAATAATAATACCCCCAGAAGGACGAAAGCAGTAAGAAAAGAATCCAATTTCAGTACTGCCAAAGTTGAAGATGAGAGACATAAAGCTAAGATGTTGGATAACCAATATGGTCTACCTAATGGAATATATAACGCTGAGAGGATGATGGAGATGGGGATGAATAATAGAGATGGACCAGAAATGGGAAGATGGAAGATTTCTATCCAGTCAGTTTTGACTGTGGTCTGTTAATAATACTGGAGAAGGAACTGACGTTTAAGACCGGCAGAAACACGGATATGATAAATCTGAGATTTATGACCAAGAATGCGAAAAGTATATTCAGTTATGGAGCTGAATGTCTGCAAATGAGCTGTGGGGTTCTTTGATCTCTCACCTTCACCGCAGAATCGGATAGCGATATAGCTAACGCTTCGTTTACGCAGCATTGCGATCACACGTCGCATCACATGGGCGCGCTTTCAGGATGAGGAACGATAGACAAAGTTTTAGTACGGTCGGACAGTTTGAAGATAGAGCAAGTGAATCATTGAGAGGAGTACATAACTCACCGAATGAACTGCCCACATTCCAGCCAGCGAAACTGACGTCAGCTTGAAAGCACACGAAGTACAGCAAGCTCACAGTATATCCCCAAAGCCATGTTCAACCATTCCGTTCCGAAATACCGTATGATCAAATATAAACTCAACAACGCCCCACTTCCCAGTACAGGGAAGAGAAGTGAATCAGCCCATGATAGTACCTCATCGAACGGTTCATCTTCTGGTTCTTCTCCTAGTGATTTGGCGGTCTTTCTTCGTCTGGCAAGAGTCGTCTCTGGTGTCTTCTATCAGTCTCTTGAGTCTACTACATCTGAATCTTATCTATGTGTAGTAACTTATGTAGTGGGTTAGACTGTCGTGTAGATACGATCCTCGTGAGAGACGCGAGTGGACATAAAATGATTTACGAGTTTCGAAATTTGACCATCGAGGTTGACACAGATGGGGAAAGGATATGTGAGCTGACGTACCTTTAGGGATTGAAATGAGCCTATAATTATCGGTATCAAGGCTTGTCCTCCAAGTATCAAATACGTTCTTAACAGTGTTAGGTCCATCGTGAGTAGATACACCGATAGAAGAGGAGGGGAGTAAGGGAGGAGGCAAGAGGTCAGTTGCGTTGTGTGGCATGTGGCACTTTTCCCTCTACGTCAAATCAACGGCCAAAGATCCAGCGGCCATAACATCCACCCCTCATCTGGTGTGGCAGATCGTAGAGGGTAGCTGATAGAAAGTACCGTATAGTACGACTCTGTACTCTAAGTCTTACATGGACACAAGGTTACCGAACAAGTGGGGTGAGAACAGAAAAGGAGGTGATTTTGAGGGGTAGCATATGACAGAAACTCTGACCCCACCTTGAGCCTAGATTTTTCTGAGAAACAGTCTAAGTTACCTTACCGAGAGTGAGGAAGGACGACGACGATCACACATTAGGTACTAAAGAAGAAATCCGATTCCGTGCCCGTTCCTTCCTTCCTTCCGGTCCCTGTCACTCCTTTCAGCTACCATCTATGATGACGTGCTCTTTCTCTCATCAAAAGGAGTTTGCGCCCAAGGGATCACTGCTGAACTGATACCGTACCTAGTGACGAGAACAAGTTTTACATTTACAGTATGTACATCCTGTTCACAGTAGATGTCGCTGATACATCTGATATCTATATGAGAGTGAAATGAGTCGGTTCAACGTAATTAAGTGAAGCGAAGGTTTGTTATTAGGGAAAATCCCAAATTTCCAAGGAAGCGACGTCATTCAAGAAGAAAGAAAGAAAAATCTCAACGACGACGACGATCCGTGCGTGCTTCCTTCACATTCTCATCCCTGACATTTCTCATTCTCAACAGGTCCTGAATTTCGGAAAGGTATTCGTACGACCACACAGCCTCGCTTCCAATTCCTTGCACTAACATCTCTGGATGTTGCTTTGTTCCGTAGTACCGTAGTCCATGCTCAATGTTCGTCGCCAAGCAAAGTCAGCATTCTCTCCTCAAAGTCCTTGGAGATTCACCGCACAATATTATCGTACCACCTTGATGAAAACTGTGTGACAGACGACACACAATGAGCATTCTCACAGGAATAAAAAATGTCATATTCTACACGTCACCAAAAGCAAAACCACCACCAATGACTCGTCAAAGGTGATCATCCCCACTTTCTCTCAAATCCTAGAGTATCGGAAAGATCAAAGGACACTCAAGGTTCATTTTTGATCAAAACGTGGCGTCAGGGTCATCATCAAAAACCATCATTCCTTTCGCCGTTGTTTCCGACATTTCTTCCGCTGTCAAACTGTCTAAATGCCACGCCTTTACCTGATGGGGAACGAGTCATTTCCCGCAATCCCTCAAAAAAGCAAAGTTGAATACAAGTAGTTAGTCTTGTTCCCTCTCGACCTTACCCAAACGTCACGTCCGGAGATACCTAACGGTCGTCGGCCTCGGGAAAGGGGACGGACTGAATAATAGTACTACTAGAAAAGCCGCGGGAGCGGACGGCTATACTAGTACTCGTACTGTGAAATCTCAAAAGAAAGGGAAGGTTGCTCAAAAGAAAAGTCGGTTACACGAGTGCAGTAACTTTTTCTACTTTGGTTTTTCGGTCAAACGGCAAGAGATATCTATCTACCTTCCTTAACATTTGTCCTCTCTTCCAATCGTCAATTGACTGTCAAAAGAAGAAGACAAATACTTTCCTTCTCTACACACCTCCATTTCAATCTCGATCTGCTGGGAAGAGATCTCTTTCGAAAACAATCGGTGGCGTGAACTGTGGAGACACGGAGTTGAACAGCCACTGTTACAGAAAGTGAGTCTCCGCTTCTTACTTTATCGCCGCTTGAGGGCGCAGGGCGTAAACTGAGAAGGTAAGGGATCAGGGAGAGAGTCAAGTGGCCAGTGGGGGATCCGAAAAGTCTCACCACACGATCCTCGATTTGTGATTATCATTTTCGGTGACTTTCCGTACCTCCGTGAATCTGTGAACAAAAAAGACTTTTTTTTTGGTTCTTGATCAGGTTGATAAAGGTTGACACGACTCTGATAGATCCGAGCGTTCCGCGGTATCCCTGGTGTTTTCGTATATCTGATTTTTGAGAGGGTGTGGGAGAAGAGGGAAAGCTTGACTTTACTTGGTTGGTTAGAGCCAAAAAAGAACCTTGCCAGAGTGGGGGAAAGCTGACGTGTATAGATTGATACATACATATATCCAACCTCAATCAAGTCATCCTTCCACAAGATATAGATGGGAATGGATATCTTTTTCTCTTATCCTTTATCTCGACATCGACCATTCTTACGACACTGGTATAAAACATTCCTCGATCTTAAAGAACCTTACATTCGCTCATACTACCAAATCGGTGGGAGTTCCAAGTGGGTGATTGGGTCATTTATATGGAAGTCAAGTGGCCAAAAAGGAGTGAAAAGATGTCTGCTCCATTGACGATCTTCTGTCAGACCATAGGTCATTGTCTACCGTTCTTACGTCGGAGGTCTGTCACAGATGTGAGTTTCAATTCTCCTTACTACATTTTGTCCAACAGGTCCATTCCATGTACCCATGGGCATCATACATGATCCTACTACCTCAAGCGACCAGTTCGGTATCATGAAACGTAGTGATGATTGGTGAGGATGCTGCTGACTTTCAGCCTGAAAGAGAACGTCTCTTCCCACCTCCCAACACCATCCTAACACCACCTCGTCCCCGTTCTCAACTCCCAAGACTGGACAGTACCTCCGCTCTTAGTCGCGTGACAGGTGGTCGGAACGGTTCCATCTCACCTACGAAGCCCGGGTCGGCATACGATTCGACCGAGGAACTACCGAGGTTGGCACAAGAGAATAAAGAGAGGATCGGGACTATTTCAAGGGCGTATGCTGGGTAAGTTTTTTTTTCCCGTTCTATTCGTTCTTGATTCCTAAGTTATTCATCTTGTCTATCTCTTTTTGTTTATCCCTTGTTCTCTTCTTGACATCCTCTTGTTTCATATTTTCCGAAAATGAACAGATAGAGGTTAGTATCAAGGTGGGGACGACCGATATGCCGTCAGACCGAATTAGGTCGTCAAGTATCTGAGGTCGGTTGAATAATTTGAAGAGGAACGAAATTATGGTGATTATTTGTCAGAATCTCGTTTAATAAACTTCCTTTATTCAACCGAGATTAGAGAGAGCTCGATGATGTCTTTGACCGAGGTTTTGAAGCGAGGGGTTAGAAGAGGAAAATGGAAATGACGACTGACAAAATTTAGTCGAATGCAACATATTCGTTATTCTTTACCTTCAACACCAATAACACCTTATACACCTCATTCAGCTTTCTCAACACGTTCTTTACATTCAGGTCCTTCTCATCCTTCTCATAACTTTCCCATCCAAACCCCTCATTTATCTCATCATCATAATCATAATCATCATAATGAATCTCATACTGTACCCGTTTCACCCGAAACTCCTCTTAGACCCGCAGCTCCTCATCTCGGTAGATCAGTTTCAGAACCTGAATTGGCTTTCGCACCACATCAACTCCCTACTTATGGTAGTACATTACGTGGACGTCCTCGAAGTTCCACTACGTTGAATGGATTATCACCTTTGACATCACGTTCCGTCACTCCTTCTCAAAGATCACAACAGGTTTTGAATGATGAATCGCAGCTTACAGGAGGGAATGTAGGGACGCAGGTTGATGGAAGGGATAATGGAACGCAGATTGACGGTGTGGAAAATGAATTAGGAAGGGATTTGGAAGTTGAAGAAAGGGGTAGAAGAAGTAGAAGAAGTATGAGTGTTAGTATACTTCGAAATGTTCTGAATCAAGATAGATCAGGAAGTGACGAGAGGGAAAGAGAAAGAGAAAGAGAAAGAGAGAGGGAAAGGGAAAGGGAGATAGGAGGAGAGGTAGTGAGGATAGAATTGGGTTTAAGTGAATTACCTATGGCTAGAGGAAGAGGAAGAAGGAATTCAAGAGCTGTAAGAGGTAGAAGAGTCATGACTACTTGAAGTCGATCTTGGGTTTTTCCTAGACGTCATCCTCAGTAGATACGGATTGTTTACGGCAGCTGTTCCATGTTCCACCACTCTACTGCTCCCCCACTTAACATGTTCAACGATGGCGCTTCCAGTTGTAAGAGAAATCAACCTACTTTTCTGTCGAATACCCGACCTCTTCATCCCTCCAAATGTCCATGTCATCCAATCGAATTATCCATCCAATCATCTATGTCATTCCCATACTTCATATGACACATCCATCTCAACATCCTTACCGTCCGTCATCCGACTGTCAACAAAAAAATCACTCACAAGATCTCGTCCAATTAGATCCTACACATATCATCACAGAGAAAACAACATCGCACATCAGACCACCGAATCATTCATCGCACACCAAAACAACTCAAAAATCATAACACACACAAAAACGAAATGTCATTCATCTGTCAGCATAGCATCTGTGAAATCCACAATCATGAATACGAATTTTTCAACGAAATAACGAAGTTTAGAAGTAGAATGCATACGTACTTCATATGCACTCATTCTTCTTTGATCCACTTACACATTCTCTCCCAACTTAGATCCAAATGAGATATTCGTTCGATCTCATTCTAAAACAAACAAACAAATTCGTTCATTCCTTCTCCATCCTTCTCACTGCACGGACTAATTTGAGAAGGAAGAGTCTTTAAACATCTTCATCATATTGAGTCTCTGGTACCCTACTCATCCTCCCTTTCCCAGCAGGACTTTGAGTGGCCCAAGTTCCGCTCTTCCTAGGTTCTTTCCTCTTTCTCCCAGAAGGAATTTGACTCTCCGTCGAAACTTCTTCTGTACCCTCTCTTGATTCTGATAACTCTTGTTGAGTTTGAGTTTGAGTTTGAGTCTCATCATGTTGAGGTGATTCAGGTTGTTGTGGAGAAGAATGTTCAGATTCCGAACCAGAATGTCCAACGTCACCTTCAGCTCTAGGAACACGTTTACGTTTATTCTTAACATCCCGTACATAACCATCTTCTTCTCTTCTGACTGATGCTTCTCCAATAGGTCTAGGTGCTTGTTCAGCGAAAGGAATTTTACAAGCTGGACATTGAGGTCGAGTACGGAGTAGTGCTTCGTGACAGAATCCATGAATGTGTGTGTTGCACTTCGGATTTGTACATGCCACGCCCTGGTCGTTAGTTATCCTCCCTGGATCCATTTCTTTTGTGTCGTCTTTATATCCCCACAAAGATTCAGTACTCTGTATGAAGATTGGATGAGTCAAAGGGAATGTAGGGGAAACAAGGGAAAGAGGATAAAAGATATACATACGGTCAACATCAACTTTTTACATCTTCCACAATTGTGTAAACCATCGTACTCTCCTCTCAAATAATTTTCAAGTTCCAGCATCGCTCTAGGGGCCAAGGAATATCTTCCACGGCTAGTGGTCAGACTCTACACATTGAATCAAACAGTTTCAAGATGTATGAGATATTCTCTCAATGGGAGAAGACTGATATGTCTTGATCATGCAGAGAAGATTGTCAAAGTGAGAGATAGGGTTTGACACACCCTCGTCTCGTAACGACAGTGCAAGATGAGGAGTGTTAGACGACGAAGACGTTCAAGAATGTGGGACTAAGAAGTCAAAGTAGGACGACCCACTTGGATTTCGCTAACCATCCTCTTGATACCAAAGCACGTAACACCGCCTCAGCGGCGGAACGAGTGAGACTACCGTCGAGTCTGTTCACGAGGGCGATAGCGCGATTATGACCGATAGAGTTTGCGGGATACGATTCCATGATTTCTGCTATCTAAATATCAGTCACCGAACTCCAGGTCTCATGCCGATATGGAATCAGAAGTTCACTCCACTGCTTCACTAATTGTTTTGTGACACTTTGCCACTCCGTCCCCAAGAACATTTCAGGATAGTCTCATGGCAGAGGCATGGGGAAGTGTTCAAGCATTTTTTGGGTAGACTCGTGACGGAAGCCAACTAGGGAGGAGAGGGGGAGGACTAGAGGAGAAAACCATACCATTTCGCGATAAAAGGTAATTTCAAGAGGAGTCAAATCCGTAGCGGAAAGGGCCACATCGGATGGGTCGGTATTACACTACTTTATCAGTCATCTTTCCCCATCATGATCTTGAACAACATTTCTCTCGCAGAAACCATGGATCAGGATAAGGTGTAAAAGAGAGTTTTAAACATACCAGCACAATCCATTGTCTTCCCTTTCCAATCTCCTCTCGACCTTCACGAACGTTCATACCCACCTCTTCCAACATATGTCCGATCTCATCAAGGAATGATTTGAATCCCGCTGCCGTACGGGGATGAGCTGGGTGAAAGTCTGCGTTGAGAGCTGGCCATCAACATCTGGGTATTGCCGTCTCAATAGATCTCTCGATGGAGTGTTGACTTTGATCGTCACGTCGGATCGTTGATAATGTTGGAAGAAGATGTGGGAGGGGAGTGAAAAGAAGTACCGCAACGTACCTTGACACGCAGAGATAGCCCTTTTGTACATCTCCAAAGCTACATCCTCCGTCATTGCCCGTCTCGAGAGGAGACATTGTATGTATACCCTGTGCAGGTCGGTCGGTTCGGTGTATGACATTTTGGCAGAAAGTTAGTTGGATCGGATGGAAAGTGAACGTTGGTCGCGTCGGTAAGATGGAGGTCACGTGACTCTGGGTGCCTGGAAAGATTTCCATCTTGCAACGAAGATGGAGCTACTGAAGCTGTCCAAACTTACCCCACGTACTCGAGTACACTGTTGGAGAATAATGGCCCAAGAGACAATCACCAAGCGGCTTCATATTGGTGGTATCACACCAACTATAACACCTCAGCATCTGAGCGAGAGATTCAAATCCTTCGGATCCGTCATATCTGTCAACCTTCTCGGTCCTGATCCCTTAGGTTGGTCCTCCGTCACTCATAACACATTCCTCTTCCACAACCCTCTCTTCCTCCCCGGCATTCGATCTCTCTACGTGCATCGAGCCAAATTATTAATGATTTTTTGTGCTGACTCACAGGACAACCGAGACCCTTCGCCTACCTTACCATCCAGACTAACCCGACGCAATTGAAAAAATGTCAGATTTCCCTTTTGTCACATCTTATCGATCTGACGGACAGGCCTCAATATCATGTCCGGTTCCACATGGCGAGGCACCCAACTCCGACTTGCAGAAGCTCGTCCTTCATATACTACCAGGTAAGCTTCTTTACCCCGCACATTGAAAGCTCACTCACTGTTCTTAGATTGGAAGCAGAACGTCGTATCACACCTGAAGCCAAAGCCAAGAAAGCAGACCGAAGACTTCGGCGGATGATAGCAGAAGAAGATTTAGGTAAAATGGCACAAGATCAGAGACTTGTCACTTTCCAAAATTATCAAACGAAAAAGGTCAGTGCTCTCTACTCTAATTACTGGAGTAGAGGACTGATGGATAGTTTTGGCAATTGGCAGATGGGCATCTCATCAGACCAATGTGTATGAGACCTTTACGACCGATCCCTCATGTAGGAACGAAAATAGGAGACACCAAGAAAAGTAGACCGCCATTAAGAGCGAGAAGAAGAGTGATCGATCCCCTGAAATATGGACATAAACATCTTCACGAGGTAGAAATACTTGGAGACAGCTTATGCGAAGAGAAAGTGAATGTGGACGTTTTTGAAGAATGGGTGTATGAGGATGTTGAGGATGAAGAAGAGAGTGAAGAGGTGGGATCGGGTAAATGGAAGAGAGGTGAAGAAGAAGAATATGTAAAGGTGAAACGTCGAAGGATTCAGGTGATAGATGTGGAAGAAGAAAGTCTTGAGGATATATCCCAGGGCGAGGGAAGAAGAAGTATATCACCTTTATTTTCAACGAGGGAATACAGAGACTCGTCCCCTTTGTTCTCTCAACATGATCATCACAACCTATCTACACCATCTTCCGAACTTGATCACCAACGACGCAACTCTCTCAGTCCTGCGACGCAAGAAGTACAGGAAAATGACGAACAAGAGAATCCACCTATATCCATTCCGCAGAGTTCCCCTCATCGGGATTCACCTTTATTCCCTACCCAAAGTTTCGCCAGCCATTCAATCACTCAACAATCCCCACCTCCGTCCTCGGTCGCTGGTAGACTTCCCACCACTTCACCCGTCCCGCCCATCTCTCAGACTCCGGCGATGGGTAAGACGCATGTACCATCTGAAATTCTTCAAGCCGCTACGATCGAAAAACAACGTGATCTCTCCCTTCTCGCTTCTCTCCTGGGTGATATATCATCATCACCCCTCTCTCCCGTTCGATCAGTAATTCATGTATCCGACACAGAGACGGAAGAAGATGATTACGAAGTGGAACACCCACGTACAAAACAAGAACATTTATTATTTACAGAGATGAACGATGTGTCTATGCTCTTAGATCTCTCTCCACCTACTCCACTTACTCCACCGTCTCTCTTCGAAAACTTCCCGCAGGCGCTGCCTGATCTCCTCAGCAATAAGGGGGAGTCAGGGGGGAAAGACCTCATGTCACTCTCGGGACGGACGGATGAGGGATTGCATACCGAGCCAAACGATGGAACGGGGTCAGACTCTACAAAACCTGAAAAAGATAATGACGGTGATGATTCGATGTCTGAGAAATCGGGATCTGAAGGTGACGATGCGGACAAGGCATCTGATGAAGAGGAGAATACGGACGACCATGACGAGTCCGATAAATCTGAAGAATCTGATGATAACGACGTCAATGAGGAAAATCCCTCTGACTCCGACACAGACACTGATTCCGATGATAGTTCTGACTCTCAAGATTCCGACACTTCGGATTCAGATAGCGATAGCGACTCGAATTCAGACTTTGATCCAAATGAGGAGAATGAGGAGGAGGAGGAGGAGGAGGAGGAGGGGGAGGAGGAGGAGGAGGAAGAGGAGGAGGAGGAGAACAATGTCTCAGAGAGTACCAAACCTCCTAATGAACACATTCCCTCTATCAACACCAAACCCACCTTGAAAGATCTCTTCGCACCTTCCGCCGGTACTTCCTTCTCTCTCGCCCTGAATGCAGACATAGAACCAGAAGAAGATCTCGACATCATCCTTCCACTTCCTCCTCTTGTCGAACACGATGACCAAAGACAAGTGATGGAAATTGCCCCAAAGAGCCTATATGATCCTTCTGCTGAACTACCCATGTTCTTCCCCCCTTCACGACCTCAGAACGTTATGCAAAGTCATTTGAAGAAAGCCGAAGTCCCTACCAGAGCCATGTGGGCGAGGGAGGGTGGGACGAGGGAAGATTACGGGATGATGGAAGATGAGGTGGCTGGTGAAGAAGGTTTTTGGAGACAGGAGACAGATGCTGAGATGGAGGAGATTTGGCAAAGAGATAAGTTGGATTTGACTAGGGAATGGAAGACCAGACATCGAGATGCTAGAAAACAACGAAAGAGAAAGGGGGTGCAGGATGTGGAGTAGAAGTAGGAGTTGATTATTCAACTTAGTGCAGCATGCAGCAAAGTCTCACAGGGACGGAGATAGAGCGAAATCATGCGTGAAAGACCAAAACACAGTTTAAATACATCATCATCTATGTAAGTCTATCAAGAAACATTTTAGAAAGCTACAACTTTGTGACGTTCGTCTGAATCCACCATGACACTGGTGGTCACATGCTCATCATCTGAGACTAGAGGCAAAGGGCGGAAGAGGTCACAGGCATCTCAGTTGGTCCTTCTTCGTCCGAACATTGGTCGTTGTTGTAGCGTCACCGCATCTGAGGATGTCCCACCATCCCTATGACGCGAGGTTGGAATGGGGAGATTTCTACGCTTCAATCAGTGATAATCTCCGCCATACTCGAAAGACTCACTTGTACACTGGGTTCGTTCCCACCATGAAAGCCACCGGTTGCAGAGTTGGCGTCAACATCTCCTCTGGCCAAGCGTCAGGTGAAGACGATATCGAAGATTGAGGGGAATGGTTCATACGAGCCGACCATGATGAGCTGATGAGAGTGTCATCGCTACTGCTACTTGACATACCGCTAGAAGGGAGCCGGGGATTAAAGGGCTGTTCGGTGCCCGGTCCGAAGGTCCTATCTCTAGATATTGAGGAATAGATGATAGGGCTGGAAGGTAGCCTCGGGTGATGTCTCGAGCTAACCCTTGGCAGGTTACTTCGACGTTCTTGCAGGGTGCGGTCTGTCACTTCAGTTCAGTTCAATTTCATTGAATCCGTTTCCAATACTAGCACTTGAGAGCATGAGGTATGAGGTCAAAGAGAACACAATACAGGTATTGACCGGCTGGTCCAAAGAGCTAACACGGGAGTTCAAATCAAAGGAGAGAAAAGGGACAGGTGGAAAGTGGGGGAAAGAAATCAAGTCTCACAAGTCGGCCTTGAACGCTGAACGTCTATCTCTCCTCGGTCATGTGATCGATTCAGAGCTGTTGAATTGGACTTCCCTTGAGTTGACGTCTCGGTCAGAATGATAAACATAACGTACCATCCTCGATCTCCACGCTGGATAGTAAAATGGTATTGCCTTGGGATTCAACAAACTCCTTGGCGCACGTTGTTCTTGAAGTGGCTGATCGTAATTAATACCTGCTCATTCGGTCAGACAAACAGCTCACCATCTCAGGATATCCACCCATTGGCCATCTCCCTTCTACGGAGGTACAAAATGAACTTTTACCATGTCGCCCAGGAGGGGCTGCAAGCTCGTAGCATTGTGTGAAGTGGGGATCGTACGACCACAGATGGAGTCCATTGAAAGTTGAAGCCACGTAGATAACTGGTGGGTCGAGAATGAAGCGTTTCACGTAAGTGATACCCAACTCGGTGAAGGCATCAGTATACGGCGGAGGAGAGATAGGTGGGTTTGGAAGGGGAAATGGCTCGGAGGCGGGGGCGAAGGGAGGAGGATGATCCATCACTGGTTGAGGGTAGTAGTCATGGTTCCAAGGGCGATAATCAGGTGGTGGGAAGTAAGGTTGTGAGTTCATGATGAGTGAAGGAATGTACGTATGGAATGGGAGGAATGTATGTTACGAAGGAAAGAGGAAGAGGTAGAAATGGTGAGGGAGGATTGGGGAGAGGTGAGAGGTGATGAGGATGTTTACACAGAGGGAAGAAAGAGGGAGAAGGGGTGGGGAAGAAGAGAAATAGAGAGGAGAGGTTCAAGTATATATGGGAGGGGATGGGTGACGGTGTGGAATCAAGGATGACGCATCAGTGCTGGTGGAATGGAACGATGACGTTTTTCGATCGATCGAAAAGAAGAAGAAGAAATCAGTCGCGTGCACGGACACTCTGTCCAGTCATCCCCACAAATTCCCTGCTCAATTCGTTCTCCTTCTCCTACATCCTACCTCCACCCTCCTACCTCCGCCTTTCTCAGTGATCACTGTAGTCACTGTGAGACCAAGTGGTTCTGTTAATCCCACCTGAAGCGCAAGAAGCTATCATGTCAAAGAGAGGTCTATCGGCCGAAGAGAAGAAAGTGAAGAGTAAATTGTCCCTCGTTCCCCACTTCCCCTACCCATTATTGAGTAAAGCTGACACGCAGTGTTGGAGATCTTCCATGAAAGTGTCAGCTTACTGAGCCATGTCTGTAGTAAGACCGAGCTGATCAAAGGCTGATTTCTTCACCATGAAAGAGCTTGAAAGGTTGGGTCCAAGTGAGTTCTCGTCGGAAATCTGCTGTCCATTGATTCCTTCGCTTCCCCTCTGTCTCTCCTTCGACCATTTACGCTTCGTCGTCCTCAGCTCCAGGATCACTGAATGGGATGTATTTGCCTACATGATGACAAGACACACTAGAACTTAAGCTGACCGATAGAGCTGAAAGGTGTTAGTGAGCTATCATGATTTCTATCATCGGATCCAACTGAAGAGGGAGTTACACAAAGTGTAAAAGATGTCGTTCAGGAACTCTGTGATGATGGTCTCGTATGCTTTGACAAAATGTGAGCTATGTGTCGAATTTAAGATTGAGGTGACTGACAATCAGAGGAACCGGCAATTGTCAGTATGAAAGTGATATGATGACTGACCTCCAGATTACTGGTCCTTTCCCAGTGCTGCCGGAGCCTTGGTGAGTCGTCCCCACTCTGGCAGATTTGACTGACGAATGAGAAACAAGCAGCCTTGACCAAAGCTCAGAAAGAAGTCGAGATGGTAGAGACGAAGATACAGGAATCACACGCGAGTATTGATGATGCGGAGAAGGGACGGGAAGATACTGTCAGTCTCTCTCCTCTCACTTACTCTTGTAGGCCGATAAAGGAGGGGCCGTCGACATTGACGAACAGGCCGAGAGACGTAAACTTCTCTCGATTCGAGAAGACTTGACAACACAATCAGCAGCATTGAAGAAAGAGCTAGAAGCGTTCGGAGCGGCCGATCCGGCCAAGTATGAACGGAAGAAGGCTGCCGTCCAAATCTGCAAGGATGCAGCAGTTCGATGGACCGGTTTGTCACTCGTTTGTGTCGGGAAGGTCGTGGCTGATGGACGGATAATACGATGATGGTTATTCAATACGCTGCGAGTCAAGGGTTCGAAGACTCTCAGATGAGGCAGATGTTGGGAATCAGTGGGCCTTAAGTTTCATGTTGGCGATCTGCTGATGAGGTAGGCGAAGAATGGGATGATTTGAGGGTCTGAATAGATATCGATGTTTATCCCGTTCCACCTTAGGATCATTCGTTATCAGCTATCGTCTAACTAAAATCAAGCAAGCATGCAGACCATGTACATATATTGGGTACACAACATGTCCTCCAACGTCAAACCTCAAACTTCGTAACTCACGCGGACGACATCTAATCGTCGCGGACTGGTCTCACATCCAACATAAGGTGGTGAGCCTTTTAAAACATGTAATTAGAACGGAACAAGGCTGAGATGGATTCTCTGAGGGATCAGTGGGGGCTGAGAAAAATGAGGAATGGACTGACCCGTTATGTGTCCTCCTTATACTCTCCGCAATCACTGGGGCTATGTCAATGGTGCCTAGAACACCACCACACGCTGCTTCTCGATCGGTTTGGTCGATCGAGTTGGTGACGATGAGCTTTCGAACTGGAAGATCTTGTAGATTATCCATAGACGTCTCTGACAAGAGACCTGAACGTTAGTTCCGGTACCCACATATTTATATGGTCACATTGATGAGGGATACGAAACCTTGTTTGGGATCCAAACCTACACAAAAAGGCAAATACGCACCATGAGATATCAAAGCATAAACCTCTTTCGCCCCCGCTTCTATCAACACCCCGGCAGCTAATCTGACAGTGTGACCAGTATCGATCATATCGTCTATCAAGATGGCAACTTTGCCTTTGACGTCCCCAACTAGCAGTTCCATCTTTTCTACCGCCGTCCCTTCTTCAAAGTCGTACCCACTACCACTGTCGCTTCCCGCTGGAGTGGGGGGAACAGTGGGAACAGTAGCTGTCACATCTCGTTTGCGTTTCCGGTTGATGAGGGCAAAGTCGAGATTGAGGCGATCAGCTAGATTTGTGGCTCGCTTAGCCCCGCCAGCGTCGGGAGACACGATAATGGCGTTCTTCCAATCGGGAATCTCTTGTCTGATGTACGACATCATGGAGGGTTCTGAGATGAGATTGTCGACCGGGATATCGAAGAATCCTTGGATCTGTGAGGCATGAAGGTCCATGGTGATGACATGGTCGGCGCCGGCTACGGCGAGTAAATTGGCAACAAGTCTGGGAGAGAGTCAGCGATGGCTTCTTGTTCGATCAGAGGGTATCAGTCTCCTGTCTAGAATGTGCAGGGGGCAAGCGAATAATTCCTGCGTACGAAGTCTTTGAGATGAGTGATACAGACCGATGCAGTGTAGAGTACTGTACGAGAGGAAGAACGTTATCTGAGGGAGAAGAGACGTAGAAAGTGATCGCTCACTTCGCCGTGATGGGTGCCCTGGATTTGTCCTTTTTATCTTGTCTCGCATACGGGTAACACGGAATCACAGCGGTGATCCTTTTTGCCGAAGCGGTTTTGCAAGCTGTCTCATCAACTCGTTATCTCGGACAGGTGCAATCGAAGGTCCACTGACCAGAAATCATGATGAGTAATTCCATCAAATGATCGTTGATATCAGGCGGTGAAGGGGATTGAAGGATGAAAACATCTTCATCTCGAACAGACGAATGAATCTGAACGCTCGTTTCGAGGGAGAGGAATTTTGAGACGTGACATGGAGTCAAGGGGATACCAAGTCTGAAAAAAATTAGCTCCACCATCTTATTCCCATCAACGCGTCGCGTGACAGCCCCCTCAATTTTGAGACCCATCATGATGGATCAGTTTGAGAATACCGCCGGGATTGAGAAGATTGAACGTGTGTGCACAGAAAAAGGATGGGAAAGAACGTGGGTGAAGTATGACGATAGGAAAGGATGAATCGAAACAGGGGTCGTTTGGATTTGTGGGAGTATGGAAAAATAAGGAGGAGAGAGGAGTACGATGTCTTGAGGTATGTGAAAAGCTCACCGAGCAGCGACGGCATCTGCGAGTCGAGGATGAGAATTACCTATTTATCAGATACAAACCTCAATTGGATATAAGAGATTAGAGAAAGACGAGCTGACCAGTGAGGAGTTTTATGCTATTTCCGGTCTGGTGCATCTTGCGAAGGAGGGGGGTCGTCAATCCGAAGTTGGTTGGGAAAGATGAAGAGGGATGTCAAATAGTCGAAGTATGACTCAGAACTTCTTACAGATGACGAGTGGAGTGTTTGTAAAGAAGGCAAAAATATGGCTATATCGTCATTGGAGGTTTAAGAGTAGAGATGAACAAGGGAAAGGTGTGATAGAGGAGGATTTACAAGGATACTTGTATTGGTGAGGGGTCGAATTTTTGATACCGCTGACCGCAAGACGGAGCGGGAAGGGCCGGTAAAAGCCGAACGCTCATTGGGCCCCAGGAAAGTGACGTGGCATTTCACGCACTCAAACTCGAACAGAGTTTTTCCATCTTACATCCTTCACCCCTCTGACGGATCACTCGTGTCGGATAGAGAGCTCAGTGATCAGTGTAGCGCGCAGAGGCCACCAGCTGGGACAGGATGAACCCTCCGCAGTACGCATGTGAGTTATCTCCTCTTCGTACACGCTCTCAAACGTGATGTATGCTGACTTGGCAAGTCCGAGCTCAGAAGACGTCGGGTATAGCAGAGGGTCCTTCTTGGGCGCTTACCTCTCAGATACCTCCGTGAGCTTTTCGACATCTTGTAAGACCCAGCTGACCATGAGTGACACTGTCGCTTCTAAGACGTACGTTTACTCTCCTGACGGGCAATGGTTGGCATATGCCTTAGCCTCGACGTGAGCTGATTAGTCTCTCTCATTGCAAGTAATCAGCTGATCACGTAGAGTTCACTTGATACCGTCCTCTTCTACGTCCAAAACTACATCAAGAGTCATTGAGCAGGCCAATGTCCTGGCTCTCAGCTTTTCACCTTTGTCCTCTACTTTATTCACCTTTGAACGTCCCATCAAGTCCAGCACGGACGTTCATAGGAATGTCAAAGCGTGGAATGTTGATACGGGTGAAGAAGTAGGAGGATGGTATCATCGAACTCAGGATGACTGGTATATCCAATCTTCCCTTTTCTTCTTCCATTGGCTAATCATCTCAGGGAGCCCATTGTCACCGCAGACGAAACACATCTTATACGAGCATCCACATCTGACATCCTCGTGTTCACCCCATTCCTGGAGCCCCGACCTGCCGTACGTTTGAAAATTGATGGTTTAATCAAGGGTATCTACTTGTCCAGTCCATCTGCTCTTCCTGAAGAATCAACGAGCTCGAAGCCACTTTCTCCCAATGACGAGCCAGCTTTGGCAGTATGGCTAGGGGAGCGACATGGAGCCCCTGCCAGCTTGGCTTTGTATACACTGAGTAGTCTGGTGGGAACTGGCTTGGAGAGTGGCACGACGCAGACTCGAGAGATGCCCCCGACAACAGCGAGAAAGGCCTTTTATAAAGCGGATAAATTGACGGTCAAGTGGAATCCAGCAGGTACAATGGTGAGGTTTTTCATCCGCTTTACTTCTTCATCTGCCACATGTGCGAGTAGCTGAACGACAGGCGTTGTTCATGACCCACACAGAGGTGGACCAAACGGGTAAATCATATTATGGCGAGACGAATCTCTACTGCGCCAGTCTGGATGGATCTTTCAGCGGAATGGTGGAATGCGGTATGCCGGTTCCCTCCCTTCATTACCGGAGCTGATCCGTCAGATAGAGAAGGACCAATTTATGATTATACATGGTCCCCCACATCTCGCGAGTTTGTGGTGTGCTACGGATGTGAGTCAGTTGCGTGCGGCTTGCGCCCTGGGCTGACACGTCAGATATGCCCGCCAGAGTCCAATTGTACGATCTCAAAGCGAAACCCATCCATTCGTTTGGTCCACAACATCGCAATGTTGTCATGTACCAACCGCAGGGTAGACTGTTGCTCAGTGCCGGCTTCGGCAACTTGTCTGGTGGTGTGGACATCTGGGATATCAGCACGAGGAACAAAGTGGGCGAGTTTCAGTGAGTACATATATTCCTTTTCGTAACACGCTGAAACATACAATACTTGGTGTGGGGTTTGGATATAGTGAATGAAGCTGACTCCTTCAGAGCCCCAACCTCTTCCCACTGTCAATGGTCATCTTGCGGAAGATACATACTTACCGCAACGCTATCACCTCGATTACGAGTCGACAACGGGGTCAAGATTTGGTGGTGTGGTGGTCAATTACTTCATGTCCATTTACAAGAGGAGCTGTACCAAGCCTCGTTCCGACCCCAAAAAACGGGTCAAATCATTCCCTTCCCTTCTGTCGTACCCAACGCTCCAGAGGCGAATGAGAGTGTTGCGTTATATGGGCCGAAGGGTCAGCCTACAAATGGTGCGTTTAACTGCCCCGTCCAGACTTCTCCATACACGCTATGTGCTCTCCCTTACCTTTGACCGTCATGAGATGTGAGAAGTGGCTAATAGCAGGCGCGGCAAAACCCGTCGGAGCCTATAGACCTCCAGGAGCAAGAGGTACGGTGGCATCTGAGGCCTTTAGTCGGAGGGACGAATCGACCGATACGACACCAATGTTCAGAGGTGGTAAACCGAGCAATCGTTATGTACCCGGTGCCCCACCTGGGTCCGCTCCTCCGAAAGACAAGACGAAAAAGAAGCCGAAGAACAAGAAAGACAAGCCGGAGAATGGGACGATGACACCGGAACTTGAGGCGGAGTTGGAAGTAGAGAAGGTGGAGGAGCCCAAGGTACAGGACTCGCCTGGGACAGACGATCCGAAGCAGAAGAAGATTAGGACTTTGATGAAAAAAGTGGGTTCACCCCTGCACCTTTATTCGTCCCAAGACACACCTCGATTGTCGTTACTCCGAAGATCCCCATCCCACACACTCATTCCATGGGGACTGAACTCTGGTTCAAGTTGTCGAATGGACTCCGAGGATGTTCTTGGAAGTGCTAATCCTCAGCTCCGCGCCGTCGAGGATCTCAAGATGCGCCAGGCCAACGGTGAGACCTTGGAAAAGAATCAAGAAGTCAAAATCCAAGCGGAGCAGACGTTGCGGGACGAACTTCGTCAACTTGGTGAAGATACCTGAACCTACGCAGGGTGGTACTCGGTGGTGTATATGATGAGCATTAAATGAAGATTCACGAATGGGGAAAAGTAACATGAGATTTGGCATTTTTTGCATTAGTCATGCGATACATACATTGCTGTCCAAAATCCGACCGCTGACAATTCAACACTCTAAACGCCCCACCTTCAAAGATGAGACCGATCCTCCTTCCCAATGATCAAGTGAGATGAAAGGATATATAACGGAAGAGACCAAATGCCTTCAGGTCATCCTTTGGTAACCTTCGGTGCGGCAGCTGGAGGCGCTTTTTTTGATGCTTTGGTAGCTTCCGGGGGAGCGGTACCGTTGGCTATGGCAGCTGCGAGAGCGTCTTTGGCCTGAGAGTCAGTCTTCCAAACATTGTACCTCTTTGTCCCTAATCTTCCGTCTGTCTCCACTCGTCTCTTACGCCCAACTACCTTGCTCAGTTGCTTGTGAGATCGATCGGTGATGGTCATCCTCACACGGCTTACAGCCTGGCAAGCCGGCAGGACAGTAACACAAGCTGAGACTGAATAACGAGAAAGAATGGGACATACGGCTTTTCTACCAATCAGCTCTAAACATCTTCATAAATACATTCAATGGACTATTATCATGAATAATGGAGAGGGGTGGATAAACTCACTTTTCCGCCATTATCTTTGCATCTCTATACTGTTCTCAGCTACCGTCTCCAGTCACGATTTTCACCACCAAAGCATCGTAAACCTGACGAAACTTCGCCTCCTCTCTGTCACCCACGTCGCCAAGAGCGCGACTGTCAAGACTTGTCCTTTTTGACAATCACGAGAGATCATAAGGAGTATACGTATATGTATCTTCAATGATCCGACAGATGAGACGAAATGGATAAGGGAGAAGTGGAACAGGAGAAAGTATAGACGCACTGTTCATTTCTTTGTTGAGGATTACCAGACTGCTTTTTACCTTTTGCCCTGTTGATCAGTCCTGTTGCAGATCCCCTCGCACAGATACACCACCATATGAGCAACATAGGAGAGTCATACTTCAAATCTACCGGGCTAGTTGTCGAGATGGAGATGACATCGCAGTGGGCATTATGATATGTAGGATGAGAACTGTGGAACTTACTGAGCTTCTTTGGTCGCTTTCTCTCGAGCACGATCTCTTTGATTACCTCCTACCTCATTAGCACTCAATCTTTTACTTGTATCGCTGGTCAAATAACAGTCGAGGATCGATGAAGATGGGGGAAGAGTGTAGTTGAATGGAGTACGAAAGGTTGAGTAGAAGAAAGATTCGAGGTGTGAGGAGAGAAAGGGCAGTAGGGGCAAGTGAGGAGATTAAGTACTGACGCGTCATGATGGGTTCTCTAAGGATAAAATTGCGATATTAGAAGGATGATTACAGTGGTCCAGAAGACAGATACGGTACGCTAAGATGGGAAGAGATATAGATGATCACTGATAGAGATGTCCGGTTTTCAAATTCAGTCATGTTTTCGCAAGGCAAGAGTTGAATGTGGCGGTGATGTGATTGTGGCACTTTCCCTGGACGGCGCCGTGAGATTCATCGACCGAAAAGCTTTCCTGACATCGCGCCGTTATAAACGACCTGTTTGAGTATGCATTCCAAAAGATCAGATCGATAACTTCAACATCGACGATGCGTTTTCGATTCTTACTTTTCGGCTCCTAAAAGCCGAATCGTCGGTCTCCCTAGGCTACTGCCGTTATCGACATGACAATTCATTCATCCTTCTTGTCTCTACATACAAGTCATGTTTGAATCTCCTAGCACAGTAGCAGACGCATTGCCTGTCGGCCGAGTAGATGCTGCTTTGTTTTACTTCTCATCCTAGTCTATTAGTCGTCGTACCTTCCACGAGTGCCAGCGCGCCCAAAATTACTCCTCTTCTGACAAGGGGTCCTTGGGAAAGCCGTAGCCGCGTCCTCGAAACTCTCCCTCCCTCGTTTCCCACGCGAAGTCGTGCTTCCGGGAGAGAGAAGCTGAAAGTCAAGCGGCTCTCCTGACTCGTGACCGTGGCCAATGGCACTATCATCGTCGGCGGCGGTTGTCGGTTCCCATGAAACGGGCGAGCCATTGCGACTGATCAGCTCCTTAGAAGTGCGACGATTCCCTGAGTTTTCGACTTTATCAAACGGGCTGCCGGAGAGGTTGGGTGGAGGACGCACCAAGAATGACTCTTCCTTGTCAGCTCTCGGCTCAGTGGCTTCCCTCGTGTCCATAGCATCTTCGATGTCGGCAATTTCAGATGAGAAGGAAGCTGATACTTCATTCTCCATGTGGTGATCCTCCGTGATCTGGTCATCCCTCCTCCCGTCAACCTCCCCCTGAAATTGACGACTGGTGTATGGCGATGTGTTTAGCAAAGAGTCGTTGCCAACGGACTGGGATTGGGGTGCATCATTATGGAAAAAAGTAGCCGCCCTATGACTGAGTGGGGACCCTCCTCGTAAATTTGACCGATCATCTTTATTGGAAGGGATTCTACTGCTGGCGTTGTTTCTTCTCAATAACGTCTGGACAAAGCTGGTTGGTGTGGAGGTCATTCTGAGTTTTTGGGAAAACAGTTGGCTGACCCTCTAGAAATGTGAGACAAGGATGTTGATACCTAAGCTGCCGCATTGTCGGTTTATTCTATAGGGTAAGTCGATATATGTTGGTCTATAAGTCTATTAAAAGAGGGTGGGAAGGATTGCCAAACAAAAAGGAGAAGTGGGAGTGTGAAGCAATAGGATGGCCAGTCTGGGCTATGAACCACATTGAGCACTGCCATAGTCAGCTCAACATCCTTTCTTCCATCCGTGAGAATGAACAAGCTTCATGTACAGCTTCTTACACACCGCTTTTGGCCATGTTCCGAGCGCGTTGCTCGATTGTTGAGGTGGCACGTTCATAAAGGATGCTACCAGTCAGCATACATTGTCCTTGTCAAGAGGATAGAAGATAAAGGGACTTGTACTCACTCTGAGAGGACCTCGTGTCAAACCTATGTAGGACACTGAACCGTCTCGACGGTGTGAAATGTCTGCTTATCAACTTGTGATTTTCGACTTTTCCTCATTCATCTTCATTGGAGACTGTACCAGTTCTATAGGAAAGTAAGTGAAGCTCCCATCACGCGTAGTAGCATACAAGACGCAGAAGATGGGTGAATCTGAGTTTACGTACTTCTCCTGTGTCCCACTTTGTAGATCTTTCCCGTCGTAACAATATCTGAGTCGTCACGAAACAATTGGCGCCCTAAGCTTTCATGAGTGAAGTGGGTTTTTACTGGTTGAATCACAGTTTCGTGATCTTCGTGGGATAATTGTTTGGAGCTACCACCTCGACTCGCAGTCCCGAATGAGAACGGTCGTGTACAGTAGAGGAGATGATATGGCTTCGGCAAGGGACGCTATCACGAGAGTGATGAATCTGGATCTCAAGTTAAAATCTTGGCCGAAAGGGAAAGGGAGTGTCATGACGTGTGTATCTTGAAACACCCCAAGTAGCGGTCAGACCCCTGGCTCTGGTTGCTTGGAAACGCTAAGTACGGGGACTCAGGGGTGGGCATAACATGGTGAGAGGAATAACTCAATGGCTCATAGCCAGCAAGTAGAATCTCACTACCTGATCATGCTTTCAATGCTAGCAAGTAGAAGAAGTAGGGCGAGTGAAAGTACTAGGGGGAGCGCACCACTACGACCATGCATCTCGTTACAATTACTACGTCATCTGGACATTGTCGTTCAGGAGAAAAGAGTCAGTCCACTTACCGAATCATGTGTCCGGGATAGGGGGATGTCCGTCCGTTTGACCACTTCAGTCATCCTGAGCTGAAGGACGCCTAGTACGCCTTTGGCCACCTCTACTTCCCGACCTGGACGCCGTTCTCCTTTCATGCTGTCTGGTCACAGATGAGAGAACAGAAAAAGGATGAGGTTCGGAGGGGGGATCACATTTGCTAGACCGGCGTCGGGGTCTTCCCCGGTCACTCGATTGACCATCGTTGTTCAGGAGCGAAGACAAATGCCAGCTGGGTATCTTCAGAAGTCCTTTATCTCCTTTATCACTCTCTTCTGATTCTACTTGTGTGTCACCCGTGAAGCAGCTTCCTGTCGGCGTTTCAGGCCTCTCACCCTGGTGTGGGAGACTTGCTGTAGCCATGATGCAACCCAACCCGGATCCAGACGTCTTTGGGAGATCGTCCGTCCCGGTAGACATGAACGTCGTGTCGCGAAGTTCCGATGAGAGGGTGTCTGTGTGGGGCGTGTGAGATGGAGAAGGGATGTAGCATTGATTCAGAGAAGATCGACCGATGGGTACACGATGATGAGACTTCATATTTTGACGCCGCGATCGGTAGAATGGTTCAAGTGATGATAGCCGTTGGAAAGACGTAGACATGTTGGGGGTTGGAGTGATCGATTATGATTCGCCCCTTTTAAGTATGCTAGATAGTGGTGATACCTTCTGAAAGTCAGTTCTCTTTGATTCTCCACGCTATGAAAGTTAGACGACAGCCTGTAAGGGAAGTGTGAAACGATCGCCAAACCGTGAGAATGAGAGTTGCTTACGGTAAGAACAGATCTCTTCTTTTCATACTGTCTCCCACGACCAAGCAAGAGCCACATTGGTTCGAGATCTTCGCAGAGTGTGGGCGAGGGATTTTTGTGGACTTGTCAGCGACTCTCACGGCTGGTTAACCATGAGACTTCCTACACAAAGAAGACAGTTTTACTCCTTTGATGAGTTTTGAACCGGGGTGAACGTAGAGCCCCGGCAAGACCATCTCTTGCGAATCTTCTTTCAAGCCTTCTTTGGATAAAGTGTTTTTCGCTCGACTCGGATGAACGGAAGGTAGAGATCTCAGGGAGTGATCAAGGAGGGTAAGTCTAGAGAAGCTTACCATACGGGGCCTTCCGGATTTTTATAGTCTCTCACGCCATGAGACTCACACTTCCGACGAACATCACAAGGTTGGCCTGGGCAGCAGGACTCACCGACAGAACGATTGAGTAACATGAAACAAATGATGTGACAGCAAGTACTCAGAGAAAGGGTAACACTACTTTTGTCTCCAAGAAGCAAGTAGAACGTGATGATGGTTGATAGTTTTCGTTCCAAGATGAAACATGATGATGTACCTTGCCGTTGGGCACTCCGGGGATCGGAGCCCAATGACAGGGGACCGGTGGAGAACACACTATCTCCTAAGTTATAGCAAGCACAGGCCGCAGTTCTCATCGCCGAAGCATTAGAGAGAAGGAAGCAGATGTCATAAAAAGCGGATACACATGTTTCTAGGATACAACACAAGTCAAGTAGAAAACTCTCCCATGTCAGTACTGTAAGGTCCGAGGTCAAGTGTACAATTCACATGAGTAGACTGGCCACCTGTATCACCATCAGTAAAATTCAAAGATGTTGATCCTTCCAGGCTGGCCGAAGGATATGTTGGTTTACCCTGCGAGTGATTTCCTCCATGGTTCTTGTCATGTCAGCCGCTGTCACTGACTCTCTGAGCAGGCTCACTCACGGCTGATGTCTCATGCTTGGAGATCCAGGGGCGGAACAACTCAAGGATTTGGTGAATTGCCTCTGTATCCAGTTGGTCCTCATCTACTTCTCAGTATCGTCCGTCAGTCCGATGCACAAAGTTCACTCACCCTTGAAGACAGATGACGGAGGAGCAGCATGGGAGCTCATATTTTGGAAGTCGGACAAGTTGCCATCCTCATCCCCAGGTAGACGGGCTCCATCCTTGGCAATATCATCCTTCTTAGGCCGGGGAGTCGCAGCCATGAACTCACGCAATGGAGATGACCACATAGGCCGATGAGAGCCTGCTCCAACGATTGACGCCCTCCTCTCTTGCCACTTGCGACGTCGATCCCGATGAGAAGTATCCGGAGTCCTCATGATTGAAACCGAGGGGTCAAGAAGGAAGAATGAGGTAGAATGAGTCAAGACCAAAGGCGAATGAGACTGTCTGCCCCAGATAGCGCAAAATGCAAGATGCGGTGTATACTGTATAGCCTTCCTCGTCGGTTTCCTCGTCACTTTGATCGGAGTTCTAACGCGGGCTTTCCACTTTGAGTCTAGGGGGGAGGGAAGAATGATCAAAAAGGAGGTGACAAAGTCGTATGTGAATCTAACCAGATTCATGATGACGTATGTATCCTTTGAAACGTAAGATTCATCTACATCTTCGAGGAAACACACTAGCTCACTTCCGATAGGTATTTCATCCCTTCACTCGTATAACGTCGCATCGTTATCTGCCTCTATCTCGGTAGGATACGCATCCTCGAAATTGGATTTCGTATATTGCGGACCGATTTCTTGATCGTCACCAACCCAAACAGAAACGTTGATGCCTAGAAAGTATCCATTGGTGGAATAATACGATTGTGCTGAGACTACTCATTTAGCTCGTCCTATCGAAATGAGATGAGACGTACCCCAGTGCGTCCGCCGTACTTGGTCAAGCTCCCGCAAATCCGATCTTGTCCAATCCGGTAGACGACCGCATAGAGCGCAACTCCAAGCTTCGGGTGGAAGGGTGTCGTTATAGGAGACGTTGAGGGTAAGGGAATGTTCTCCGGTTGTGAGACAAGAAGGTGGAAGCTCCTCTGGTACATATGAAATGGATTCGACTTGCGATGCGAATCAAACCGACTTTGGTTTACCTGATCACTTGTTAGTCTCCTCCAACATCATGCCATTCAACCATATGAGAGTACCTACTTGATCTTTCGGAACTCATTAGGTGCAGGGGAAGATTGTTGAATCGATTGATGACCTGGTTGGTGAATAGGTCGCCTGATTGCATGAGGGATGTCGGGAACGAAAACGGAGTGTTCATAGTCGTTTCGATTTCATTCGCCGCCGTAAAGTAATTAATTTGTTTCACTGAGAGGGGCTGACAGCTCCAAGTCCACGTTCCGCCCTATAAGGCGCCAGACCGTAGTCAGAAGAATGACATCTCGGTCAAAAGATGTAGCTTCCTTTCTTCCAACAGAACTGCGACAAGTGTCATCGTCACTCTCCATTCTCATAACGATATTCACAGGTCAGTCCAATAGTCTGAATGGGTGAAGGGTAAGATCTAGAAAGAAAATCAGTTGCATCAAGCTGCCGCCGTTATCAATGACGATGTCATAAACGAACCACCCTCTTCACTTGTGGGAAACGAACTCCCATTGATGTGAATACTTGGGATAGGTCCCGAATAACCAGTGTCCGCACCGGTGTAACGTCCTCCTGTGGAAGTTCTCTCATCACTAAGGTCTCCATTCGGAGACTGTGGCGGATCCGCAAATGCGGTAAAGATCGAAGACGATACCGCGCTTGACGGACCATGACTCGGGTTGCTTTGAAAGTGGTAGTCCGTAGGTGTGAATTGACTCATGTTTTGACCCCATGGATCTTTCATGATTGAAACGCGGAATGCTGATGCAGGTTTGCTGCTTGACACTCCTGTGTTTGAGATTGTCCTTGGGATTGTTGAAGGTGGACGAGTAGATGAGACTGGAAGTGAGTAACGAGTTCCGACAATAAGGGGAAATGAATTCACCCTTCCAAGCAGCGTTGTATCTCGACTTTTTTAGTGGGGTGACTTCACTCTCATTGTCATTGTCATAAGCCTCATTGCCTGACCCCAAGTAGGAAGAAATGGCAGCTGGAATCTTAGTCTCATTCCTGTTGATTGGGAATTGGTGTACTCACGAGCTGAAGCCATTACATTCCGGGCCAACTTCAATGCACTGACAACGGATGACGCATTACGAAGCGCTTTTTCTATCCTCATCAGTCGCACGCTAGATTTCGCAAATTGGCAGTGACTTACTAGGTAAAGGCGACGCAGCTTTTAGATCAGCTAGAGTATCCAGGATGAACAAAGACTTACCAAAAAAAGATTGAGCGCTGCTCAAACCCACTGAAAGAGCGTCGGAGAAAACACTATCATCTTCAACTACTGGCATCAGCACAACGAAGATTTCGGCTGACCGAAAGACTTACGTTCATCGGGGGGGTTCAGTCGACTAAAACCGTCAGCAAGTAGATCAGATGCTCCTGAGACATGATCCAATATCCTTCTCGCTGAGCGATTACGAGTTCCACCTCCGCCTTGTGACCTCGTGAAAGTGGGAAGAACAGACGTTCTCGTCGATCTGGAGACGCTGCTTGCTATCGAAAAACCTGTTGACGCAACTCGACTTGCTGCCCGACCAGCGGCCATGAGTGCAAGAGAGGTTACTCTTGAGTCAAATCTGTTCAACAAACGATTCCACCTGGTAAGAAGTCACGCTTGATCCGAAAGTTCGAGCAGGTATCACAGTACGGATCGATATCAGATAATAGATCATCCTTTCACCCCGCGGAGACTCCGACTAACTGCTGCGTGTCATCCCTGCTCAACCTTTATATCCGACTTGGTATCCTTTGTTCCCTCACTCATGTCACGGTGTTGTGACGGTGACCAAAATGTCCCTCCTTGTCGTCCACAGTGTCACCTATGAGAAATGTGAGAAGCGTCAGCTTCTTTGCCTACATTCTCACGCAGAAATTGTTGACAGATCCGGTCAGTATCAGCACACGTAAGTCATGCATCTGCATCTCATCTTCTCCCTCATCATCAGTAAATCATTAGTTCAAACCTCTTCCTCACCCCAGCCTCCAATACCAGCTGTATTGAAGACATCGTGTTCTCCCAATTCGGTCCGTCCATCCTCGTCTTCGGAATATTCCTCCGGTTCGCTCTCCTCTTGTCTTTGTGAACCCTCGACGGAAGCACGTCGAAAGTGCTGACTCCATTCTACATTCCTTCGGACAGACAATGGACTTGGTGGTTGATCACCATAGTCGGATTCCGGCTTGGGCATTGAGGGAAAGTACGAGCCTGTTGGGCTACTGACAGTTGACGTTGTGAATGACGTTGTGATTGAGAATCTACGTTCGTCTGGAGATAGCGGGCCAGAGGATATGCTTGGAGACCAGGGACCCGCGTACCTACTCGGGGTTCGAGGGCCTGTGTATGTGTTTGATGAGGCAATGGTCGCCAGTATACCAGCCTGTGGTGGTGTTGTACGTTGGTAGCCGCTACGCATGGAAGATGTCCTGCTCATTGGTGGACTCCACGGTTCGTAAGGTTTGGAAGGATCTTGATTCCACGAGCCTTGCGGTGTTCCTTCGTCAGCCAGGTAGTAATCGTCACTCAAATCTGATTCCTCCAACATGGAGTCGTCAAAGGTGAAAGGCTCGTCATTTGTAGGCATGTCGATCGTGCTTGCCGCACCTTTCGCTCTACGATCTGGTTTACTCATCAGCTCAATTCATGAGCTGTATGATATGGACTTACGCCGGTTATACGCGATCTGAGTACACTTGACACCTATCTTCCCGCCGAGGATAGTGGCGTGCACTGTATCTTGTCAGCTTGGGATCCCTCGTATCTTGTGTGCGTGTGACTTACAGGCGGGAGGAGCATTCTTGAACTCGCCTGCGTATTAGTAGATGATCAGATTATTGAAATCGTACATACCCATTGTCTGTCCCATGATGGAGAGCATTTTACTGGTATTTGACATCATCGCACTTGTCTCGTCGGGCGCCCCAGCGTCTTCCGCAAGCAAGTCCCCTGTCAAGAGTTAGCAATTCGTTGTACGACCTCAGAGCACACTGACCTGCATCACTCGAGCGGGCGATAGCCCCGATCCCTCTGCTCGTCGCTTCGCCGGTTCGAGCCCACCAAGGCTTTTCCTTTTTCTTTTGCTCTCCGCCATTGGTATCCCCTTGACCATCTGTACTTTCTTCCCAAGACTCTTCCTTCTCGTGATGACGGTGGCGATGATGATGATGGCCGTGTGGATGATGATGGGGAGTTGTTTGCTGCGTGTTACTCCCGCTTCTCCGGTGTGTCGCGATAATTGTGGGTCGTACGGAGGTGAGTGAAGTGGTTGATAGTGTTCTGACCAGTGAAGTCATGTCGACAATTCGTGAATTCCACCTCAAGGCACTCTAATTAGTAATTGGTTTAGTGTCTGGTAGTGTTCTAATTGCACCGGTAGAAGATGCAGATGCCCGATGAGATGAGAGATAATAGCAAAACGCCCCATTTCCATGTGCCCAATTATATTCACCCGGTCTGTCCACCGCGGACTCGATTTCGAAACACATTTCACGTTTGCGGCGCGTCAAGTGAGGCGGAGAATCACTTCATTGGCCTCTCCTTTGTCTCGTTGATGAGTCGTCATCAACCAGCTGCTCCTGCGTGAACGCCAAGATGGCAAATGGGGATAGATAGCACGCCAGATCAGATAACGCCATCGGACAAAGGATGAATCGCTGTATGTCAGGACAAGTGTTACATCAGTCAACTCAGCTTCCTAGTATGGTCTCTTCTGCTAGCGAGGAGCAGCCTCCTTAAAGCCAGAGGAGCGCCGTCAGATTCAGCATACGTTCCATCATTGCACACCGTCGAGCGTCAGTATCGAATCGAAAGGTGCATTGTTAAGGAGATTTACCTATGCAATCCGCTCCGGATTTGATCGGGCGAAGTGGACTAGTTTAGGAGTTCTCAACATTCCACAGTCCCCCGTCCAAGCTCCTTTTATTCTGACAGGCTCGGAGAAGGATTAAGATCATGGAACTGGTATCGCGGATCGAGCAGAACCGGTGTCGCCATTAGATTCGCGTGGTCAAGCTTGGGTGTTTGTGAAAGATGCGGAAGTCGAATGTGAAGATTGCCTACTAAAGAGGTCGGAGGTCATCCTGATGATCGTCAAAGCCCTCATCTGGAGTTGAAATGATAGTCGTTCGAAAACATGAGATTCTGAACACAAATAGGTGGTCTTCCGACGATCTACGCAGCTACGAGGCGTGTGACTGATGATAAAGATGTGAGACATGGAGGTCCTTTCATCTGCAGTGTCAGCATCTTCGCTTCGAAGAGTTTCGGTCTTACGAGAACTGATGTCCGACCGCCATAGCTCTACCCCAGACCATCCCTCTCAGCGCGGCATATTGACACCCGGCACCAGCCAGCACAAACAAGTGAAAGATCTGATGCGAATGGCCGAAGTAGTCGAAACGGCCGGGTGCGAGTTGTTCAGGAAAACGAGCGGCACTATGGGTCAGTTCAATCGATCCGTGCATCGGATGGCGCATGAAGGAATCAAAGAGGGAGGACACTCACTATAAGACTGCACCAAAGATATAAGATACCCCTCCAGCTACGAGGAGGTCCAAGGAGAGGACTTGGCGAGAATACGATATGCCTTTCGTCGCCACCACGTGTCCCACGGGAATCACAGCGGACAGACCAAGGGCAATAAAGGTGAGCGTGCGGTGCCATCGATGAGCTCTATGATGAGGCGAGAGAACGATCTGTTGCGTCAACTCAAGATCCGTAGGTTGGTTCATGTCACTGACATATGCAGATGCGATACCGGCTGCGCTGATGGCAGCTATGACGTAAGCTGAAGTATGAGCGAGGAAGAAGACGACTGGCCCATGTAGAAACTCTGAAAGAAAAGAGAGTCGTGGAAAGCGTAATACATCCCGGGCAAAATACTGCCAACGATCAAGGTGACGATTCCAATCCGCTCGTCAGCATGTCATCGTGACGAGTCTGCAGGTGGGACATACATAATCTCCCCGATGAGCAGCATCGCAAGTCGCCTTTGAATGACACTGCACTGTGTGAAACCAGCTACTGAGTCCTAGACATGTCATGGCGCATGACAGGTAAAGGGTCAAAGCCACCTTGTCATGCAAGGTTGGAGGAACAGGTGTCGCTCTGTCTGAGAAGGAGAAGTGGGGAAAGTGCGTGGGATGAAGATGTAAGGGCAGCAGTATAGCAAAGAAAGCTGCTCCGAGAGAATGAGAGTGTATGTTGACTGTGGATTAGCACTAGAAGAAGACCACAGAGAGAGATCACCTGTCTCGTTGTGAAGATCTGCGACCATAAGCATCCGAATGGCCATATCTGGGAACACGCTCACAGGCCACGGAGCTCCGAAGACAGTCTTGTATGGTACGCTGTTGTCTTCGATAACCCGTGAGGACATAGTCGTTGTCTGTTTGCCATGGTACCAAACGGAGAGACTGGTCATAGGTCAGGAGGAGTGATGAAGTGGAGAAGGTGAGATCAGACGACGACTCTTCAGCGACCAAAGGATCTTGTTTAGCCCCCGAGCTGCTGACCCGGGCAGATCGACGTGTGAGAGGCATCGGGTAGCGAGTGAAAAGAATGACTTGTCGAATGATCTACCCTGTAAAATATGGGGAGCGGTCATCCATCCGTCCCTCACTCGTAGCTGTTGCAAGCTCCTTCACCTCTTCACTCGTCGTTTGTAAGTGATCTTCGAGATAGTGATGATTCGATAAACTTAATCTTCTTCCTCGTCGTCGGGGATGTTGCCCGATTATCGATGTGGCCTGCATGTAGCAGTAGTAAGTAGGAGCGAAGAGGTTCCATCAATAGTAAGTTGACTTTTGCGTAGAATATCACGTGACCCCACCCACCACTACAAAATTCGACATCTTCCTCTTACTGAACTCTGCTCAAGACATTCATCGTCGTGACTTTTTTACCCATGAAAACCAAGCGAAAGCTTCAGAGCGATATTCCAAATGCTGGCCCTTCATCCGCGCTCTCTACTCTACCCGTCGACGCTTTGCCATGGAAGACCATCAAGACGACCTCCTTCTCTGGGCTCGATGCGGGGGGCGGTATGATGATGCTTGAGGAGCTTGACGATGTGGCCGTCGAATGGGTCCAGGATGAGGGTGGAGCTAAGAAAGCTCGTTTCATTGTGAGGTTATACCGACACATGTGGTCAACGGCTGACGTTCAGCCTGCTCCAAACTCTAAAGGTAAAGGAAAAGCTAAGGAGACCAAGAATGGGAAGAGAATAGCAGAGGCAAGTAATCAGGGTATTGATGGTGAAGACGAGGACGAGACAATCAACGAAGATCAGGAGATCACAGGGGACGACGAGATACCGTCTTTCAGCAGAGTCGAAGAGGAGGATATGAATGAAGTGGACCAAGAAGATCATCTGGGCGATGAAGCTTTTGACGGTCAGCCATCTCCTATCACACAATCGCACGATTGACGTGCAGATACTCTTCTTCCTCAATGGTCCTCCATACCTCTGCACCCTATCTTGAAACGGTCTCTCTCAAAACTTGGCTTCACCAAACCCACCGATATCCAAGCTCGAGCCCTTCCCGTGTGTTTGGCAGGGAGAGATGTTGTAGGTGTTGCCGAAACTGTCAGTCCTTCTCACAAACCGTTCAGCGTGTGTGGCTGACGTACAGGGGTCAGGAAAGACTCTTGCCTATGCCCTGCCTATACTATCATACCTTTTACGAAATCCTAGGGCAACAACGTCAAAACGCACTCTCTCTTCCCTAATCTTATGTCCCACACGCGAGCTGGCCCTGCAAGTCGTCGACCATCTCAACACAGTCATCCGACAAACGTTCCCTGAGAAAAAAGGTCCACCTCGTATAAGCGTAGGAAGTGTCATCGGTGGTCTGAGCGCACAGAAGCAGCAACGAATCCTCGATAGAGGCTGTGATGTATTGGTAGCCACGCCCGGACGACTATGGGATCTCATAAAGGCAGTAAGTCACTATGGTGACCACTGATTTGTGCCTGTGAGACTGACCACAGAACGATGATCTTGCTGCTGAGATCAAAAGGATACGATTTCTAGTCATAGACGAAGCGGATCGCATGATTGAGAACGGACACTTCGCCGAGTTGGAAAGTATCGTTCGTCTGACAGAACGACAATCACGGTGCGTTCTTGTTTTCTCTGTCAACTGCTTTGGAGATGATTTTTGCTGACCCCGCAGCCTATCAGGTAGAGGCGCTGCGGAGGAAGAAGATCCTGTGTTTGCTGCTACTTCGTCACTCGACGACGTATCGGCCAGGTCAGATATGCAGACCTTCATCTTTTCCGCCACTCTGTCAAAAGATTTGCAGCAGAATTTCAAGAGAAAGAAACGAGGGTCTCAGAAGGGGGACAAGAAATCTTCGGCTCTAGGTGCGTTATATCCCTCTTTCTGTATTGAGCTGATTTGCTAGAGGATCTGGTGGAGAGGCTCGATTTTCGAGATAAGAACCCTGAAGTTATCGACCTGAGCCCAGAAGGTGGTGTGGTGGCTATGCTCAAGGAGAGCATGATAGAATGTGTCCTTAGTGAGAAGGTAGATTCTCTTTTGCGCCTGTCATCTGGGTATAATGAGAGTAGCTAACGAATAGGATTTGTTCTTGTATTACTTCCTTCTTCGCTATCCTGGCCGATCTTTGGTATTCGTGGGAAGTATAGACGGTATACGACGACTGGTACCCTTATTTGAACTATTACGAGTCCCCGTATGGCCTTTACATTCTCAATTGCAGCAAAAACAGCGTTTGAAGAATCTTGACAGGTGAGTCGCTATTTCTTATCTCCCTTCAACTTGATCGGTCTCCTTCCCCATCATTGTCACTTGCTCCTAATCAGGAATCCATCCTCAACGAGGCCTAGACTGCTTCTCAGTGTACTCGAGATATGTGCGGCTGTGTAGGATGGGACCTTTATGTTAGGAAACATGACGACTGAGTGTTACAGGTTCAAAACCTCCAAAAACGGCATCCTCATCGCCACTGATGTAGCTGCCCGAGGACTTGATATCCCTCATGTGGATCATGTGGTCCACTTCAACCTTCCCCGAACTGCAGACGCATACATCCATAGATCGGGACGTACGGCCCGAGCTCAGAATCCGGGTTTCGCTCTGCAACTAGTTTCCGCTGAAGACAAGAATGTTCAGAGAAGTTTAATGAGATCTCTAGGTCGAGGTGGGCTCTTTTCGACATCTATTCAGCTTAATCTCCAGTCGATCCCTCTCAATCTCAACCTTACAAGTAGACACATCACGAATGAGATGAGGCTGTTAGATTGAGTCTAGATTTCCAAAATCATGCTGATGAATAGACATCGACATTCCCGATCTACCTATCGAAGGTGGTTTCCTTCCCAAATTAAAAGAACGTATTCGAGTAGCGCGAGAAATTGAAAAAGCTCAACACGGAGTTAAGAAGGAGAATCATGATCGTAATTGGTTACGTGAGGCTGCTGAAGCTATGGATGTGGATATAGATCCTAGCATGTGAGTTATCCTCCCTTCGTTGCATTTCATCATCTTGAAGGAATCTCCTTTCTTTTCACCCTGTGTGGACCTTTTCTCATCCGACTGGAGAAATGCAATTATTGACTCCAGGTTATCTGACGGAGATGATCCTGATGCACCTTTTGCCAAATCTCAAAATATCGGTCGGTCTGGTAAAGTGGTGGAACTAAAGGAAGAATTGAATCGGTTGTTGGCGGAACCTCTCATCGCTCGTGGTGTATCAGCTCGATATCCTACCAGCGGGAGTAAAGTTATTGTTGGGGATTTACTTTCTGCCAGAGGTATGTGAACCCTTATCAGTGCCCGTCAAGTCCCGTGATTTTACAATGGTCGTAAGATGGCATGAAATCGAGCTAACTTGTAGGTCATCCTACACTCCTCGGAGCATCATCAACATCAGCATACGACGAAATTCAATTCGCAAAGAAAAAAAAGCCCAAGCTATCGGCAACAGGTGAAAGACGTTCGAAACAAATTCATCGATGATATTCCAGGAGATTCTACATTGTCCATTTCATGTGTTATAAAGATACAAACCAAGGAATATGCAGATTTACTTTTTTTCCCCTTTGTTGATAGTTCAGCAAACCCGGCAAGACAGTAAGACAGCAAGCACTTTTGAAAGTGCAATATATATATTGAAGAAATTTAGATAGAATTGAGATGCTAACATGGCGAAAAAAAGATTATCGTCGTTTTCTTGAAGATTGAGGGATGGCACCGGAACATATACCTCTTTGACGGTGTCTTTCAAGTGCGTCGGCTCTGGCAAATCTTCGGTCACTGGATGTTAATATTGTTCTTCGAGATGTTGAAACTGTGTCTACAAAGTGGAGTAATGAGAGATAAGAGAGCTATAGAAGGGGCGTTTGGCACTTGAGATTGGAAAAGTCGGCTGAGAAAAGGGAACAAACTAACCAGTCGCATATGAATGTCTTATCACCGGTATGAATCTTTCCATGTCTTTTCAAATCATGTTTTCGTACGAAAGATGAACCACTGGATAGTCAGTGTTCCATACATTCTCACGTGTGATGGATGCAAAGAGGAATAGACTGTGGTGAGAGGATCTGCTCACCATCCCGGTTCCAGACATTCAAATGGTTTGACATTTATATGCGTTTTTATATGAGCTTCTCCCGCTGCTTTCCTCGGGAAATCCCCATCACATCCATCAATCAGACATTGAAACCTCTTCTCCGCAGCTCCATTACTTTTCCGAGTATGATGAGTTTTCAACAAAGTTGAATAAACCTGTTTGAGCCATGCTTCGCTTGGTCCATCATCGACCAGAAGGGGTAAAACAAATTCTAATTTCTCGTTCGTTTCATGATGACGATAGAAAACTCGACTTGCTATACCTGTTCCTACTCCCGTCACACTACTCGTTTCCGTATCATCTGTCCTAATTAATCTCAGTGGTGTTTGCAATGGAGAGAAAACATCTCCTGAGAATTGAGAAGAAGGAGGACCGACTGAACCCACTCTACCGCTGCCGAGAGAGGAACTTTGATAATTGATCAAAGTGTTAGGATCCAGGGTTCTGGTTGATAGTGGAGAAACCGGAGGACGGGATTTTGAAGGTGTCGTCCCGTTCTTCGGACGTGGACCAGGTTTCAATCGATTCCCGAGTGTCGGATATCTTTTCCGAGGTGTTTCAGGAGCGGAAGAAACGGATCTCCTCACAGGTCCGAATTGAGATTCCTGAGATGTCCCTGGAGCTAAAGCCGCTGTGGGTAAAGAGGTCACCGAGGGATTGGAAATTGGCATAGGTGGCATTTGAGGAGCAGATAAAGAACGACTTATAGGTTGTCTTGGATCCAAATTTGGGTGATAATTCGGTCGAAAAGAATTAGATATAGATTCTGCTTGTTGATTGAGCTGATGTTGGTTGAGGGCGATCATCCATTGACGCACGGGTTCATGTATTTCTTGTGACATCGACGGTTGAACTGGGTTCATGGGTTGTAACGGATAAAATTGATCTTTTGGCATAGAAGATACGGATGGTTGATATGCATAACTCAATTCGGAAGTGTAAGAAAGTGTAGAATCGATTGAAGGTTGTCGATAGCTATAACTTGATATCATGGAGCTTTGTCCACTGGTGGATCTTGACATTGGAGCAGCTTGGGTGACTTCGACCGAAAATGGAACTTGCGTTTCAAGAGGAGATTGAAACATGGGTGCAAGAGGTGTGAGAGGGTTGAAAGAACCAGAAGAAAGACTAGGACTAGGTTCCAAGTTGTCAGGATTATTCCCCTGTCCCATGGTAGGAGGTAGTAGTGAGTTTTGATTCATAGGTGCCGATTGAGAGGAAGGTAACATGTAAGATGTAGAGACCAGTCGAGGGTTGAAAGTTGGTACTTCTGAAGTAGAAGCTGATCGTGCTAAGGGAGTTTGGGTGGTGAGTGACATAGTAGGAGCCGTGGAACGTCTAAATGGGATCGGCGAATTGAGTGCACTTGACACATGTCGATAATTTCCTTTCATGGGAGAAGTCATGAATCCACCATTTCCTTGTCCATATCCATTCCCATCGGAGTTCATTGTTCCTATCCCCATACCCATTCCCATTCCAGAACCTGATGCAGGACCAGAGGCGGGACCAAATTGATTGTTGGTCATATTGTTTCGAGGAACGTAAGGCGCCCTTCCCATACCCACTCCGTCATGTCGTTTTCGTATAGCATGAGAGGTAGTCGCCTGAGTAGGAGTGAGATCCATCCGAGCTGACATGGAAAGATTACCATATTCTGATCCGTCTTCTTCGGCGATGGGAGGACAAGCTACAGACTGAGGTACGTATGCTGATCGATGAGGAGTGATGAGGAAAGACTGAGGAAGTGGTATTGCCGGTGAGGAATTAGTGGCAAGGGCGTTCCATTCGTATGACGGTTTATGAGATTTGGGTGTTTGATCAAGCATTTCGGAAGATGGATAGGGTATGTTCATACCGGGAATTTGGAACATGTCTGCCGAGGAGAATTGTTGGTTGTCGTGAAAGAGGGAATACTCCGCATTGGAGGGATCGATTTGTTGAAATAGACCTTCGAAGTCGTCCACAGGGACAAAGTCCCGGAACGGAGAGGATGAACTGATGATAAGTGGAGTCACCATGTCTGTCGGAAGATTACTGAACAGTAACGATGGGAAGGAGCAGGAGAAGGAGAAGGAGAAGGAGAAGGAGAAGGAGAAGGAGAAGGAGAAGGAGAAGGAGAAGGAGAAGGAAAGACTTACGGATATGCCTCCGTCATAATGACTATGCGACGACAAGATGAATAGGGTAGTATGAGAAAGTGTGAGAAAGGTGAAGAGAAGAGTAGATATCGCCACTTCACTGCTGAGGATCGAGATGAGCCACCCAAATGGTGAAAGAGGTTGGGAGAGCTAAATGAGACACCCAGATCCCCTCAGGCTAGTGGACGTCTCCGTCAGGCGGTATCTATCACCTGGACGCTACAAACTGTCGGTCTTCAGTTGATAGAGTCTTGCTTGCCTGAGGAAGGGGAAGAAGGGGGGAGAGAGTCGCCTGTTTATGTATGGACGATGGGAACGGTATGGAGATTGAGACTTATCGTCAGACTATGGTAGCTTCCTAGCTACCGGGGATATACTAATGAGTTTTTGTGTAAGGAGTGTGGAGGTCTGTCAAGATGACCAGACAATTATATATGTCCTAGAGTGGACGGCGATCCAGATGGGAGTAGAATGATTGAGTGGGAGAGGGTATGAACAGAAGAGAGAAGATGACGATTGGAAGTGAGAAAGAGGATGAATGGTGATGAGAGAGAGAAGCATTGTGTACCGTACTGACCTGGTCTGAAGGGGATGACCGTCCGATGGGTCAAAGTGGATTTCTCAGGATTGTCAAGACTTTAACTTGGGTAGACTACAGGGTCTACCCTGAAATGTTCGTCTTTGGATGATCGGGGGTAGGTAAGAGGAGAGAGAAAGGGTACTTTCCGATAGAGTCATTCGTCCGTTCATCTGTCTTTTCGATGCGCAGTATACGCATTATGACGATTGCACTTCTCCTCCTACCAAAAGTGAAGCATGACTTAGGATTCTCACATGCCCAAGTAGGACCGTACGCTAGTTACAATCCCTTTGTTTGATACAGTATGTGCATAATAGGATCCTAAGAAGACGGATTCTTCATCCTTATGAACAATCTGAAGGTGAGGTCACGAAGGGAAGGAAGGAAAGCAGATGTTTCTGGATCATGGTCAGTCAGTTGGTGGTGATGGTTATCGCTATACCAAACAAAGCTTCCATCGTACTCTCTTTGTTCCTGGATCTTGTGAAACTCATGCATGTTGGTACTTTGGATGGTTACTACCGTTCGTTCCCGACTCATCGACGTCAGAGTACGTAAGGAGTAAGTCAAGCTTGTCAGTTGGTGATCGGAGACATGTGGGGATAGTCACGCATCGTATGCTATCCAGAATTCAAGCAAAACATGGCACATCATGCACAGAAGGAGAAGATCTCAGGGATGTAAATTCAAGCTTGTTGTGCATGCTAAGTGCAAGTAAGTCAAAAAACTGCGTCGTACTCTTGGTACTTCACTCTTCCAAAGTGACGTTGTTCAAGTTTGTTTGTGAGAGAAAAGAAATCAGTCGCGTTGAACTGCCTCATATCGGTGTTAGTCGGGGTTTCACCAATCAGTTGTTCCCTCCTTGTCAAAAGCCAGACGTGGGCCCCCGCCATTCAACCTTGCCCCCGAGAGACCGTTCTCGACCCCACTCTTTTATCATGTCAACAATATCAGTATTCGATCCAGCAATAGACCCCGCTCTCCGGACCCCACCCCGTACTCGAAGGAGATCATCGGTCACGACTCGCTCGACGACGGGAAATGTTAAGAGAAAATCTCGTGGACCTCAGGATATCCCTCCGGGTGGAGCGGGTACAAAGGGGATCATGAACCGGAGGACTGGATCTTTCGTTGGGGTAGACCAGGAAGGTGTGGAACCTACAAGAGGGGAAGAGGAAAACTTGAATAGATATGATTATTCTACTGCTGTATGTTTAATCTTTTCTCCCGCACTAAGTTACCCATAAGCAAGTCGATTCTTCAAACGGTCTACATGTTTTGTCTCAAGTCGCTCAAATTCAAAACAGCTGAAAAGTAGAAACGTACCAGGCATAATCCGCCTGTCAAGGTCGTCAACGATCAAAGATTCGATCCGGCGTTGGACATGTCTACGTGGTACGGTCCCTCGGCTCTTCCGGCGATACCAATAGTCTCGACCATGTCTAACGATCCTCTTCCTGATCCGGTTTTGACCGAATCGAATTCCCCCAAGCAACCCATCCCGGTCAGTTCAAACTTGATGAATGCATCGGACAAAAGCTTATCAACAGACCCATAGACTTCCTTATCCATACGGAATGACTCCATTTCGGTATCCTTGTTTAACACCACATCTCCCACCCCCACCACCGGGTGATCCTTCCGACCCTTCATTCAGACGATTTGACCCATACGAACCTCGACAAGTCGATTCTCCCGGTCAACCACAAATTGCGGATCAACTCGCTCATCCTGTACAGACACAGGTGCACGGAACACAACATACGCAAACGGGGGTAGGGGTCAACGTAGAAGCGGAGAGGGGGCAAAGTGAGATGCAATTCGGAGACGGGTTCCCGTTAGGGATGGAAGGTCAAGATGCTGATGCGTACGCGTCGATATCGGCCTTGTTATCAGCTTCCGCAGCGTTCGAGGGTCAGGCGGAGTGAATGAGATATCTTATGGCAATGAGATGTCAGGATGAATGTAGCATAGTAATTACGAGGCACCGATAAGAGTTTGGGTTGGTAGAGATATCGAAATGTCATCTTCGGCGTCCTTAACATAGCCTTTGAGCGGTGTTCTTTGTCATTGGCAGTACGGCCACGCATATGGTAGAAAATGTATGGCCAGACTCATTGCTATACGACGTAGCCAGCGGTCGTCTTTAACTTACCGGGAAGTGAGGAGGACGTAGATGGTAGAGATTGAGCCAACTTTAACCTTGTCTTAAGATTCCGGTAGATCACCCATCACTCACTCATCGACCTCTCTCCTCGTATCAACTCATTCCTCTACTCTTCGTCTCCCATCCATCCATCCATCTTGTAGGTAATTTACCCTTCTTCGAACTGACGTCGGAGGCTGGATCATCAACCATCCGAGCGAGATCAGTGGCGACATAACATCACCGCGTATTTTGACACACGTTCACAACCTTCCTTACCATTCAACCTCGCACACCGAACCGCGCCCAACACCTCCCTCCTTTATCGGACCTTCTACCGAATCATGTAAGTCTGACTTCTCCATGTTGCATCTAATCATCATTCCAACTTTACCTCACTTTGCTATCTGAGTGTTACCCAGTCTCGATGGTGTCGCCAGCAGGTCAGAGAAATGGAGGAGATGGAGGACTGACAGATAGGAATTACGTTCAATTGGAGAAGTTGGGGGAAGGGACGTATGCTACAGTGTACAAGGTGTGTCTTTCTTCTGTACCTCTTTATGGTTTCATCTCCTTATAACCCTCTAGCAGTCAGGTGGGGGATCTTCAGGATTGGTGTCATTCAGTAGTAACGGCCGATGTCTGACATGTATCATATAGAGAGGAGAGGGTGGCGAAAAGCACCATGTCGGAGTATGTTCACTGATGATGCAGGGAAGATCGCGGACGACTTCAGAGATTGTAGCCCTCAAAGAGATTCACCTGGATGCTGAGGAAGGTACACCCAGTACGGCCATAAGAGAGATCAGTTTGATGAAGGGTGAGTTCTTACTCCATCACATAACACCTTCCTCCATACGAGTACATGTTCTCCCATATATCCTACGATTCTCAGTCGTACTGAAGACGTCGCAAAGATGTCGTGCTTGTGTATGGACGAGGCAAGGTACAGAGCTGAGTGATAAGAACTTCGACATGTCAACATAGTCAGATTACACGATGTCATACACACCGAATCTAAACTTGTTCTGATATTCGAAGTGAGTCTCTGTTTCTCTTGACCTGGTCATTCTATGTTGTAATCCATTCTATTCCGATGTGTTTTCAGGTTGGGAGGGTCGTGGTGTTTTACAAGAGGAAAGTGCTCATGTTCAGTACTGTGAACAAGATTTGAAAAAGTATATGGACACACATGGAGACAGAGGCGCTTTAGACCTTGCCACTGTCAAACATTTCACACATCAATTGTTGAATGTGAGTTTTAGCATCTTCCACTCTCTGCACACACCTCTCATACCTCGATGTTGTTGAAGAGACAAGCTCAGTCATATACCACCTTCACCTCTCAGGATTTGATATTTCAATGAATGAGACAGTCGTGTCTTGGAGGGAAAACTCATGAACAGGGAATACAATACTGTCATGATAACAGAGTGCTGCATCGTGATCTCAAACCTCAAAATCTGTTGATCAATCGACGGATGGAATTGAAGATTGGTGATTTTGGTCTAGCTAGAGCGTTCGGAGTCCCGGTAAACACTTTCAGTAACGAGGTGAGTTTGTCCGTCCTCATTTCCCTTACTCCACTCTCCTTTCCACTTAGGCGTCCAACTACGTTGGCTTCATGTTGGCTTTGATGTGGCCAAGAAGAACGCATACTGGGTAGGAGAGACGAATGCTCATCCTCAGGTCGTGACATTATGGTACAGAGCTCCTGATGTTCTCCTAGGCTCGCGGACATATAACACTTCCATCGACATCTGGTCCGTTGGCTGCATGTGAGTCTACACTTTCTCGCCTTCTCACTAATCTTTACGACTACATGAAGTTGTCAGTTAAAACGGTGACATTGGCCCTCACTGATATTCAGTTTCGCAGAGATGATCACCGGCTACCCTTTGTTCAGAGGGAGAGACAACCCTGATCAGCTCAATTGTATTATGAAAGTCATCGGGACTCCAAGTGAAGCTACCATCGCGCAGATCAAGCTGGATTCAGTAAGCCGTTTACAGCTGAACTTCATCCATCAGCTTACCGTCTAGCCCGAGATTCAACTGAAGACTCCCCTTACGAAATACTCCAAACAACCAATGCACCTTCTCCTTCCCAAGGCTCCCCATGATGGTTAGTCTTTCTTCATGTCTCCGTCTATCTGATCAGTGATATCGAAGTCCAATGCTCATACTCAGCTGTCAACCTGATCGAACATCTCCTACAATTCGAACCTTCCCGGCGATACGACGCCGCCAAAGCTCTTCTTCACCCATACTTCACCGCAGCTCCCATCGCCCCTCCTCCTCTTCCTAGCGCCGTGTCGTCGTCTACCGCTTCCCTCGCCCTCCCTCCACGTGTCGCTGCAAGGGCATCACAAGCCTCTGCGGCTGTTCAGGCGCAACAACAAGCTCTACAAGCGCAGCAAGCAGCACAACAAGCTCAACAACAGGCCCAAGCACAGGCTCAAGCGAGGGCTTTGGCACAGCAGCAACAACAACAACAGCAGCAGTATATGATGCAGCAACAGGGGTATTATGGTGAGTCATCGATTCGCTTCTAAAGTTTTCTATCACACCTCACGCCTAAACTCGCCTTTCCAACCGAACGTGGTATGAACATCAGAAGTAATGCAATCATGGACGGAACAATGTTGACAGTAAGATCCGGCGCAAATGCAAGCACAGGCACAGGCTCAGGCAGCGGCTCAAATGCAAATGGCTCATGCACAAGCTCAAGCCAGAGCGATGGATCCCTCTGTGAGTGGATTATTGTCCTCTCTCGGAATCTCCTCAACCTACCCCACTCGTAACTGGAGTATCTCTTCCCTTCCCACTTTATCTCGATGTCCACACGTTATTAGATCTGACGTACATCTCACGCTGACAAACAGATGCAACAGGGGTATTATACGAACCACGGACAATACTAGTTGTGCTCGTCAGTCATGTGTATCCGGATCTATGCCATGGCATCGCGATGTATAGTACTTCGGCATTGGTGTCGTGTACAAGAATGATGTTGAATCAGAAGTCGGAGACTCGGGGAATATGTACTTTTTCCTAAACTCATACTCACATGTTCAGTACTGACATGTCTGTTCCATCAGTCACTGACAGGTGAGAGACGTGTGGTGAGCAACACTGACCTTAGTAAATGTCACCCTCGGACACCATTTGGATATGTTTTCAACACTCAACCCATTCTTCGCTGGGCGTTATGATCCTTCCATTGCCCCAGCCAAGCTCTCATTCGATCGTGTCGAGGAGCATCTCCGTGGGGAGACGCGACCGCTTGGTGGTCCTCCTCTTCGCTTTTGGGAACCCATCGAGGTATTCTTTGATGAGAACGTGGGACTAGTTCCGGTGTCTGCTCTTCGAACGGCTTGATGACATGAATTGTCTGACTGTTGTTGCTATTCAAGCGGTTGATGAGCTGAGGCTTTTCCTTCTCCATTTCAATCGACAGACCGCGTTGGGATTCACCATTTTCAAGATCATGGAAGTCTTTGCGGGTAGTATTTGAAAACGAAGAAGGTTTGATTTGTCTGTTGAGGCGTTGGGATTCCACTATGATCTCTTCGTAGTCGAGACGCTTCACTTCTTCACTGTTGCTCCTCCTCGGCCGAATCAACTCCTGATTCACCTGTCTGGAAAAATCCCCTATTTCTTCATTACCACCGCTGAGTTTTCTTACCTCTTTCTTACACTCCTCCAGTTGATAAGTGGGACTTGGGGTTTCCTCTTTGTCTGGTAATTGTGTAACAACCCTTTTCTGACGTAGAACCTCAAAATCATGTCGTAAACCTTTCAACTGAATGACCAAATCATCCCTCTCTTTCCTTCTACTTTCGGCTTTAGTACCCAAATATTCCACTTCTATCTCGTAATAATCCACCTGCTTCCTCAGTTCCACCTCATTCTGAGAAGGGGTAGAGGTGGTCAACACGCAAGCTCGAGTGACCTTCAGTTGTTCTTCCAATTCTCGGATTCGTGCAGATGACGTTATTTCTGCTGCTTGACTATTCTTTAGACTATTCTCCAAAGAGGCTATACGGAGATGAGAAAGTCGTTGTTCTTCTTGGTGTCGAATCTCAGTTTCTAAAGCTCGTTTTTTGTACCAATCAATGAGAGTTTGAGCGGTATGGAATGCATCGGAGTGGTGTTTATTCAAAATGGGGTCAGAGTCAGGTGTGGGAATACTGGTCTGGAAAGGGATGGGAAGGTGTGTGGTGAGTGGAGGTCTAGCCGACGTTCGTTTCTCCAGAGATTGAGGGGTAGAAGGAGACGGAGAAGGATAAGTCGGGTTGTGATGTACCATAGTCGGATCATTGTCGGGTTCAGAACCAAAGATATCATAGAGATCATCTTCGTCAAACGTATGTTGTGACAGACCGACTTTATCAATTTGGTTGGATGACGATACAGTGAAGCTTCTGGTCAATCAGTTCAACACTACTTTATATACTCATCCACAAGAAGAAGAAGCGCACTCTACCCGTGGTCTCTTATCCAAAGGTTCTGATGACAGAGCTCCACTTTCACTGGGTTTCCTCTTTCTTCCGTTGCTTTCCTTTCTCTGAATAATTGAGTCCTGTTCTAGTTCTTGACCAGGCGCATTCCTGTGCGAGTCACCTGATACGTGGATATGAGAAATTTCAACCATCTTGAGATCTGATTTGGCTGTTCTCAGTGTTTAAAGGGTAAAATCAGTTGATGAGTGTATGGCTAACGTTAGACATCAAAGATGTGAATGTGTCCAAGAGAAGTTTTGGTTGTGAGAAGGGCGGTAGTTGGTCGTCGTCATCAAAAACGAGGGTTGTCAAAGCCCCGTGCGTCGATCGCAGTGCCACTTGAGAAACGTTTAAGGGGGGGATCGAATACATTCTTCGCCACTTTGACTTTCCTTCTCCCGCATGTTTCCATCTCTATCTTTCATTCGACATTATGCCTCCTAGGAAACCACGTCAGGTCAAATCTACCGCACCTTCGCCATCCCCAGGACCCGTGAGATCTTTGAGAGCACAGAGGGGAGGATCCAAGTTGTCAGAGAGTACCACTGTCGGGGTCGTTGAAGAGGAGAATGTGCAGGTGACGGATGAGGGAAGTAGTGAGAAAGAGCAGGATGACGGCCAACAGCAACAGGATGCGGAAGAGGATCGGAATCAGGAGATAGAGGGAGAAAGGCAAATTGACGAAGAGGATGAGGACGCGAGGGAAGATGGAGAGACGGAAGGGACGGAAGAGACGGGCAAGGTGACAATGGCGGACAGAATGCAAAAGTTGAAAGAATTACGGGCGCGTATGGTGTGTTATTTTCCCAGCTTTCATCCTTCTCGACCTCAGTTCCTTCAAGTCTCCTCCGTTGGCTGACCATCATACACATGCGCATTATGAGAGGCTGCTAGGATTCTCACTGCTCTCAGGAAAAGGAAGCAGACGTCGTTCAGAAGTTGGCGGACATTTGACGTCTGTACGATGGCTTGGGCTAAGCTCACATTAGAACGCCTCCACCGTTGCCAATCGTAAAGATCTCATTGCCGACCATCAAAAGGCCAAAGTGACGGCGAAAGAACTAGCAAGGTTGGAGAAACAACGCAAGCTTGCTCAAACTTTACGACTGAAGGCGGATGCCGAGGAAACGGGTGAAGATCTGGAGAGGAAGAAAGCTTGGGAGTGGAGTATTGAGCAGAATGAGAGATGGGAAGCTAAGATGGCTGATCAGGCTGTGAGAGCGGATGGGAGATTTCACAGTCAGTATCGCCTTTCTCTCACACTACTCCACAAGTTTGTGTCCCACAAAACAGACGCTGATGACTAGATGCGGAGGATGAAGCACACAAACAGTATAATCGTAATGTACGCGTCACTAAACCAGATCTGGTGGCATATGAACGGGCCAAGGAAGCGGCGTTGGGATTAGCACCTGGTACTCTGGTTCCTGCCAACGCTACATCTGCGTCGCTCGTCGCTGCCGGACCATCGAAGGCGAAAGGGTTGTCCGCTGCGGAGGATCTGTATCGAGGAATGGACACGTTGGCCTATGGAGACAGTAAGCCTAGTGAGGATGCAGTGGACCGGGTGGTTGGAAAGATAAATAAAGAGTGGGTGTCTTCTCCGCCTCCTTACTCATACAATATCCATTCGCAATGTTATCCCCTTTTCCCCCAACAAAGAGCATACGATGCTTCAAGAGGGCGCACATCCGTACGAATTCAATAGCTCAGCATTGGGATAGGCTGGAAAGAACGTGGAGGGATAATAGCCAGGCTATAGTGCTAATGTGCAGTCTGGACAAGGGTAAGAGAAAGAAGAAGGAAGAGGAAGACGAGACCGTTACGTATATCAACCAGCGCAACAAAGTCTTCAACAAAAAGGTGAGTGAACGTTCCTGTTCGTGCTTCGATGCATTAATCAGTAGGTTGCGCGGTATTTCGACAAATACACGAAAGAGTGAGTCTTACTCGTGCATATACACTATCCTGCTTTTGATGCCTCTTCCCACAACTACCTTCTATCCCTCATCGAGTCATATATATCTGGTTGTCCCTTCAACGAGACCATAATCTGACGTCCAGGATCCGAGCGAGCTTCGAACGGGGTACCGCTCTTTAGGACAGCTTTGGTCACGACATTACACAACTCTAACATCTACCTCGATACTTGCGCCTCTCACTCACCTCAAAACGTCGTATATACGTCGGTCACAATTCTCAGCCTGGACATGTGAGTAACTCATGGGTGATTCATCAGCGGCCGGGCAGACATGTGGGTCAGGATTTAATTCGGGGTGAGATCCGTTTTCCTGCGGATGGAAAGAGGACAAGAATGTATCAGAGCCAGTCAATGTAATTTGTAGAGTAGAAGATTGCATCTGATTTACCAATTCGGAAACTCATCTTCTATTACCAGTACAGGAAAGTGCATATTTGCAGTTTCCCATCACTCATCACTTGCATCACAATTTCTTTTCCTCGTTTGATAATCCTTTCCTCCTCTCGACTCTCACTTTCTTTTCACATTCGTCTTGCGTTTCTCGTGCCTCCTTGTTCCCACTCCCACTCCCACTCCCACTCTTCATATCTCTCACCTCGTATCACCTCAATCACGTGTTGCACGTTGAGCATCTAGGTGACTGAGGCTGAGGTGAGAAATTTGAGGATCGGGTTTCTCTGTCTTATCCCATCACCTTCCCCTCATTTCCTGTCGCTTACTGACAATCATGTCTCTTCCCAATCCGCCTATTGAATCATCTTCCACTTGGGTCAAAGATGAAGCAGAGGTTTGTGAACCGGAGATGGTTTCTCTCAGACCATCAAAACGTGCACGGTGAGTCGACTCCCACACCACGTAATCATTCCCAACCCTCTCATGTCTGGCAGTATGTAGCTGAGCATGTCTGGTATTTCCCTTCAATCTCATTCAACATGGATCTCTCGATAGACATGTCATTCTGCCTCAGCTGGTGTGCTAATTGACAGAACTCATTCTCCCGTTCAAGAACCTACCAGTCCATCTTCCGATCTTGATAAAGTCTATGACGAACTGTTCGGCGCTAGTCCTGCTCCTGCTCCTTCACCTCCATATCCCATTATCGACCTCACCGTTTCACCACCTATACCTACCATTTCACTTTTTGATGACGAAGAACTTCCTATAGACATAACTTCCCCTGACACCTCTAAGCATGTTGGATCATCCAACCAGACTTCCGAGTTAAAAAGAAGGACGAAAAAGGTGGTCGAATTGAAGAGTCAGCTTAACAAAGTTGTCGGTGAGAAGGATGAATTGCAATTACGAGTCTCGAGATTAGAAGAAGATGCCAGGAAGAGAGAAGAGGAGGTTTTGACATTAAAAGAAAGAACTGCAGCTGCTGAAGCCGTATCAAGATCTCGTCTGAACAACTCGAAGATCTCTCATCAAATGGAACAGACAACTCCGTCTGACCAAGTCGTAAAAATCTCGGAACTGGAATCGCTCCTCGGGGACAAGGAAACAGCTATGGAAGATCTCGAAAAACGTTATGCGGAAAAAGAAGAGAAATTGAGCAAATTTCGTGAGAATGCTAAAGATTGGCAGAACAAAGCGGAAGAACGTAGAGTTCAAAAGGAAGAAATAAAGAGACAGCTCAGAGATCTGGAGGATGAACAAATTACTTCGAAAACAAGGACTTCTATGTGGGAGAGATCACGAGAGCAGATGAATAAGAAATTGGTCCAGTTAGAAAAAGAGAATATGGGGATGAAAGTGGATTTAGTGCAAGTACAAAGTGAAAAGGATACGAATAAGAAAGAGTTGGAAGAATTGAAAATGACGAGTGGAGAATTGATAAGATTGGGAAAGACAATGACGAAGGAACTTGAAAGGTTCTTGGTCTTTCATCAGAATCAGAATGGAGGTGTAGGACTTGGGTTCGATGTGGGAAGATGGGTTGAAGAGGTTTCTGACATGTCAGCTTCGGCTTTCACGAAGAATCAGGAGAAGGAAAAGGTTACAGAGCAAGTTGGAGGAATAGGGACATCTCGATTTCCTCTTCCCTCTCGACCTGGTCTCCCCACTCCTCCTAGTGGTCCCTCTCAACCTCACTTCTCCCCTCAGCCTTATCTTCCTACCCCTCGTCATTCTTCAGGCTCACGAAGCGGAGGTGATAATGGGAGTGGATCTTTAACGAATCCCTCTCAAATGCACTCTCCTCAAATTCATCCTCCATTTTCACAATCCCCTCTGCAGCCGCAATATGACACCGTCACTACTTCACCCGACCTCGATCATCATTCAAGGAATGAATCAGACGAACAAAAAATGAAAACTGAAGACGAACCAAGTGTGGAAGAGAGATATCCTCTCACAGAGCAAATATCCTCGATCGCAAAACTACAGACAGAGCTGACTCGATCCAAGAACAAACTTCTCGAGAGTCAACGAGATACCGAAGCGGCCCTGAGAAGTGCTCAGATGAGTCGAGCAGAAACTACCAAATTGACCGTTGAATTGAAGAACCTACGAGATCGGATGACAGATCCTTCTGTCATGGCGGGAGAAAGTATGGAAGGATTGAAGAAAATCATATTGGAGCTTCAGAGTCAATTGAAACAATCAAAGCGATTAGTGGAACAGAAGAATCAATCCATCAGTAGTCTACAGGGGAATTTGAAGACGTTGAGCGGATTGAGGGGTCAGAAAAGTGTAAATGGAGAAACCAACGTCGAAGTTTTAAAAAGTATGGTAGTGAATGTTCATGAAGAATTGAGTAAAGTTCAAAAGGCGTTACAAGAGAAAAAGACAGAAATCAATAATATGAAGATACGAGATCAGAATTTGGTCAAATCTGTTTCAGAAGGAAATGTGGACAAGTTGAAGAAAATGATTGGAGATCTTCAAGCTCAGTTGAAAAGTGTCAAGAATGCTTTTGAGGAAAAGAAGAAGGAAGTTGGTTTGTTACAAAAAGCATTGGGGAAACGTAAAGAGGCTCAACAGAAATTGCAGGCGACTATCAATTCTCTCAATGCGGGGAAAGGGAATAATGTTGGGGTGGGTGTAGAGGTTAAGACGGAGGAATTGCCAGTGTTGAGGTTCGCATAAGAATTAATGAGGCATTGAACGGATTAGCATGATACGGAAGATATGGGGTGAAGAGGTGAGCATGAACTAGATCTGTAGATACATAAGTATGTGAAGAAATCTGACATGTGCACAGAGTTTGGGGAAATTGTGTAGAAAGTCTGTATACGATGCACGACGTATATTGCGGGAGAAAGGCCCTGTGAGGTGAACCGTCGTCAATCGTCAATCGATCATACACTTTAAAATTACTGGGATTTTCATTCCCTGCCTCCCTTTATTGACTACCCAATAATACCGCGCAAATCACGCAGTTCTTAGGAACCGTAGATACGGTGGCCCATACGGTGGCCCGATGGTCCCTCAGAATCACCCATTACTGATTTTGCGTTCTTCTTTTCGAATAGAATCCTTTCTTTCCCTACCAGTAGAGTGGCAACTATACTCATAGTGCAGATTCTAGAGATCATTTAGCGCTCCCTCCTGCCTGGTCCCCACTGCAGCTACATGCATGAAATCCTCATGATACACTCTTCACTATCTGATGAGGATATCCGCCACGTCTAAGCCGTTGAGAGTGTCCTGTGGGGGAGGGATGCGGGCCATGGTTCATGGGTTTGGAGGGGAGAATCGAAAACGCGGACTCCGGTGATGGCCGGTGAGCCGGTGACGCGGTGACACACAGATCCACAGAACCATTAATCACACACAGTCTGCGCTCGGTTCCACTTCACCTTGGACTCACTTGGGGCTCTTCCCTCTTGCCCCCGTCGTCGACTGGCGACTGCATTACCAAGCTCTGGTCCTCATACAGGCATAAGAAGCCGGGACCGTACACGGCGGCACACCCTGCGAACATGATACCTCTCCACCCTATATCATACCCGTCGACAGAGGATTACTTCATCCACCCTCTCCATCACAATCATTCTCAATCCTTACAACTACGCCAAAACCTCTGCTGTGAGGGACACGAATCAACAAGCGACTATCCGCATCATGTGGAAGAAGACCAAAACGAGGCCTACTCGTACTCTTGACCAAACGCCGGCCGAGTGGTCCACGACGAGTACTGGCTCGTTCATGTCTTCTCTGACAACTCAGACAGTAGTCAGTTATCATTCTTTCTACTAGCTACCGCGCTATGCTGATCTTGCAGACTACCAAAGTTTCTGGCTCGAACGAAAGTCACGGTCTCGACACCGGTAATTCCACGATCATCCCTACTTCACATGGGAAAGGTGTGCGTGCAGATAAAGAATTCTCTGCGTCTGTCAATCATCATGACGTATCACAACCCATGTTCGACAATCGTCACACTCATGATGATCGTTTTGTACCCGTCAGTTCCATTTTTTGTCTTTGTCATGAAATGCAAGCTGACGAACATAAGACTTCTCCTCCAGGTGAGAACAATCGTATACCTTTTGGTCATGGCATCGAGTATTCGTTCGCGGCTGTGAGTGAATCACGTTCAAATCATCATTCCCGCTGATTGGCAGATTCAAACCACAGGAGGAAAGACTTCATCCTCATTTCGTCCCCGTAACAAATCTACCAAACGCTCGGTTACTTTTCAACCAACCACTGTCACGATTCATCAACCTCTCCCTACGACAAACACTAAGCAAGCACCTCTTCTCGTGAATTTACACAAAGACAACGTCACTGTCGAATCCGCCGATGATGAAAAACTTGAAGAGGAAGAAGATGACATCACTCATCCGGAATGGAAGACAGTCATGCTGAAAGCTCATGATCTACCCAGCTACACTCGTCACTCTGCTATCGAACATGTAACTCAACTCTTGCGACACGGTCCTCCTTTACATTTCATTGATCGGGATGGCAAAACTCAAATCGTAGACATGGAAAAAGTTCAGGTCCGTCCCGGCGATAAGACCTATAGAGGGAATCAACGTTCTGCAACAATCCGTCTCTCTCCTGAACTTTACACTCAAGGTCAAGCGGATGAACAATGGTTGGAAGCAGTCATGTGGTACCTCAAGAAATGTGGAGTACCCACTGTGTGGTCTTCAGCTTCGGGAAACGATAGAGTCACAATTTTGAATTTTAGTTTACAATCGACGACTCGAGTTGACATCGATGAGAGAATGGGGATATCTATCATCAAAGCCATTATGAGAAAAAATGGTGCAGTACCAGCGTCCGTCTGGAATCTGAAAAACTCAGTACCCGGTTGTATCGGAGGTTCTGTCGCCGACTTCAACCCTATACGCTGTTTCGATCTCATTTCTAGAAAAACAAGTATTCACACTATAGACGGAATCGATTTCAAGGTCACCTTTGGTCCCCCTCAAAATTTCATGTCACCTTCATCTTGCTGTACTATCGCTCTTTACATCGGTGGTGATCCTAACACCCCACTGAAGACTTTCCGGTCGAACGCTCAAGATTTGATTGATGAGTATACGAAGTACATCGGTAATCTCCGGGTCGAGAAAGGTCATAATGGACCACATCTGCATTACGATCGCGAAGCTAAAGTGAACAACTTTCGTCGTTCCGATGACCTTCAATGGCTCATCGTCGATCCATCTCACCCTCATTTTGCTTATTGGCTCACACGCCAGAAGACGGTCAACGGATTCTATTATGATTTTGTATACAATCTAAACTCGAAACATAACGGATGGTATGGGAGGACCGCTTTGAAAGATCGAGATGCCAAAAGGACCGAGATTCTCAATACCTCTTTCAAGACGACAGAGCCAAAAGGGGCTCCCTATGATCTCGTCGATTACGAAAAACTTCAATCCATGGCTGGTAGGGTTACCAATCGCTGGGACCCTGAATACGACATCCAGCCTATTCACGGGGGGAACGGCTTTGAAGCCAACTATAAGGACCGCGTCCGTCGTCGTAAAGTACCTCGGATCGATGATTGGCCAAAGATCGAACGTTCGACGTGGTCAGGTATCAGGATCAAGCAAAGGCCTAATTCAGATCGTAGCGACCCTAAACACTAGATCCCTCAGGTCAGCAATGTCTACATTTACTACAACAACAACCGCTGACTGCAGGCGCTCACGTCTACCGATCATGATGTATGTCAAGTGACAGTATCAGATAAACATTGAATATGGTGACTGTTTAAAGTAGGGGCATTTCTTTGTGCATACTGTATCTGTTGGACCCCACCTGACGCTATCGAGGAGATTCACCGGGAGCTAACCAAAAACTTGCCTCTTGAGCAATATGCCATCAATTTGACGGGATCGAGTTGAGGTCTGATTTGCCTAGGCCCTAACAATATCCCACACCCACTGACTGTATCATTAGAGAGTTCTCGCAAACGACGCTATCACAGCACTTCAACCGATGCCGACATCTTGTAGTCTATCGTGCCCGACCCAGACTCTTCCCGTCCCCAATCGCCGTTCACTTGAGAAGCAAAACTATAAAACGTCCCAACAACGAAAAAGGAGATCCGTTCTGGGAATCGAATCAAGGTCACCCGCGCGGTTGCTGCGGGGCTGATGCTAACACAAAAGCACATAAAATAAGGCGCTTATGGTGGAGGGGTTAACATACTTCCTTAGGGTTACGTAATCCAGTTTGGAAGTGGTCCCCGGTTCGAGTCCGGGTGAGCGCCTACTTTTGATCTTATTCTTTTTTGTGTGTCACTTGTCTCTTCCAATTATCCTAATCTAATCTAATCTATTCTGATCTATTCTGATCTATTCTATTCTATTCTGTTCTATTCTGTTCTATTCTGTTCTATTCTGTTCTATTCTGTTCTATTCTGTTCTATTCTGTTCTATTCTGTTCTATTCTTTTCTATTCTGTTCTATTCTTTTCTGTTATATTCTGTTCTATTCTGTTCTATTCTTTTCTGTTCTATTCTGTTCTATTCTGTTCTGTTCTGTTCTATTCTGTTCAGTCTCTATTTAAGTATATCAGCTTCGGTCCTGTAATCGGGCAACATTGTTACAACCCGGATAATGTCCTAGGGTCGTAACCAATATCACACCAAGAGCTGATCTCATTTTCTCGCATTCTCAAGCCACAAGCCACCGAGAACAACATGAGACAGGGTATCTCTACGGGATCTCTATGAGACACAAGACATCTCTATGAGATACACACAAGATCTATCACAATCTTCGTTTCTTCGCCTCTACTGACCGACGGTCGACAAACCTCGGCTAACCACGTTGTAGTGGGGTGACGATGTCTCACTAGGACAGGGTACTCGTCAGGGGAACTACGGCTAACTTTGCCATAGTAATACGTCGAGTGGTAAATGATAAGATGATCGTCGATGAGCTGCGGCTAACTTCGCCGTAGTGCGTCGAACTGCTCGGTGGTAGCTCTCCTTAACTCGAAGGTTGTAGCTACTGAATATATCGCTCGCTACTGACAACAATCAAGGATCGCTGAAGAAGTTCAGCGATCTGTAAACTTTCTATACTGCTCCTCTCTTCTCATAGAACGTCCCTCAACTCCTGCACTGCCTCACGCTCAGTCCTCTTCGTTCAACTTTGCCGTACCTCGCCATATCCCTGATGTCCTACTCCGCTCACCTCGCCTAACTTTGCCTAACTTCCCCTGTTCTGCTCTCCCTCGGTCCCCTTCTCCTAACTTTGCCGTAGTTCTCCGCTAGGCGGGTGTCACGGACGGGGTCTAATCCCCAGAGGGTAGGTGTCACGAACTACGTCGTGACACCTCGATTATTCCACCAACAATGACCCTCCTTTGACCATCAAAACCCCCATCACGTCTTAACCTCTTTACTCTACACGTAACTCAGGACTTCTGAGACCAAGTACGGCGAAGTTAGACGGAGTTAGGCTAGGTAGGGACAATGGGAGCAGAAGTGCGGCGATGTTAGGCGGAGTTAGTCTAAGTAGGGACAATGGGAGCAGAAGTACGGCGAAGTTAGACGGAGTTAGGCTAAGTAGGGACAATGGGAGCAGAAGTGCGGCGATGTTAGGCGGAGTTAGTCGAAGGAGGAAGAGGATGGCCGAGGGCTCGGGGAAGTTGGACGAAGTGCGTTGAAGTACGTCAAAGCGCGAGAGGGTTGGATGAACGTCTAAGAGGAGTAGATAATATTAGCTGAGAAGATCGCTGAAGTTCTTCAGCGATCCTTGATTGTTGTCAGTAGTAAAAGACAGATAGAGATAGCTATAAATCAAGATACATCGCCATCAGTAGATCAAAACCCTAGTTAGAGTAACTACGCCGAAGTACGCCGTAGTTACACCCCTTTCGACGTCTGCGCCCTCCTGGTTGGGTGAGACATCGACTCAGAGCGTGAAGTTAGCCGAGGTTCGTCGACCGTCGGTCTATTAAGAAGTAGTTGTTCGACGGCCGTGACAGTAGGCAAGGTGACTGGAATGGGGCTGTAACCCAATACTTGTCTCTGGCTCGTAGAGCTTGAGGAGTATACGGAGGGTGACAAGGGACTGAGGGGACTGAGGGGACTGCAAGATGTCAGGCTGGGACTGACTGGATTGACACAAGATCCATAGGTGGGGAACAACCTGTTTGGAGGGGGTATTTATCCCCATCAAGCAGGTTGCTCAACATGTCTACGGAATAAACTAGAAAGCGCAAACGTGGGAAAGATTGCTCAGCGAGCAGACTGAATTACTACTTTGGGAAAGTGGAGGCAGGCACTGAATGTTCCGGACTATGGATGATTGCTCAGCAATCAACCAGAGTTGCTACTTTGGGAAGGTGGAGGCAGGCACAGAATGTTCCAGAGTGTGGAGGCTTGATAAGCAAGTGGAGGTAAAGGTGGAGGCAAGAGTGGAAGGTTCCAGCATGTGGAGGTGGAGGTGGAGGTATTCAGGGGTATGTGTTTCAAGTGTCTGATTGCGCAAAAGCAGTTTGACAAGTGGCAGATAGGTGATGTATGACAGCGGGGTTATCGTGACAAATACCCTCTTGGTTCTCGTAACTTCGCCGTAGTCGGTCTCAGTGGTTCGGGTGGTGGTTGGTGATGGTGAAGAGAGGGTTGGTGATGGTGGTTGTCAGGGATGTTACGACGTAGTTTGTGACAAGATCTCTATGAGACATGAGTCATCTCTATGAGATACATACAAGATCTCTATGAGGCATGAGACAACTCTATGAGATACATACAAGATCAGCCTGAGGCACGAGACATCTCTAAGAGATCTCTTTGGTATCCCTGGGAGACATTCAGGGAAACATGAGATTAGCATGAGAGCATAAGACATGAAGCAAGAGAATATATTGAAAAGATGTCTCTTGACATGTTTCTAGGTTTGTCTCTATGTAAAGTATATAAACCCCTTCCGTAGAAACCATAGTTCTTCTTCTTAAAGGATCAAAATATTATTTGCCACTCTACAAAGACCTCTTCTTGACTTATACTTATCTTCGACATACCTCCCTCGACAAAACCCTTGTCCACATCATCACACGCACCCTCATCATCATCATCTCAACTTGCTTGGATTCTTTGCAAGTCACTCTAGTCGTCCGACCAAATCACAAGTCTACGAACAACATAATACTAACCGTTGTTGTTCAAGCTAACTAAACAGTTGTAGTCCACCTGTCTTTGATTCATTGAGGTCTGTCAAGGACAGGACCGTGACAATACCTAACTCGCCCGAACAATATAATATCCGTCAGTGAAAGTCAACTCTACAAACGTCTAAGGTCAGTATCTGTATCTGTATGAGGATGAGATGTGGTTGAAGGGTAGGTGGGTGGATGATATCAAAGACGGTTGAGATGGTGTCAAAGGTAGGTGAAGGCGATGATGATGATAGCAAGTATGATGAATGGGCGATGGAAGAGGAAAGGTGATGAGAGATGAGAGATGAATTGTGTGATCAGCACCTAAGGAGTTAGATGATGATGCACATAAGGATAGAAGAAGTGAGTGGCAAATATGTCTAGAAACCAAAGAAGAGTGAAAGACAACAGAGGAAGTGATGGCCTCTTCTGCAGAACCGGTTCCCTTCATATACATTTCAGTCTTCAAGAGGATCAAATGTTCTCACAATTTGAGGTCAACATTGAAGAACTTCTACAAGAAAGTGACTATACTACTACTAAATAACAAGTCTATATACATACTGATATGAACATATGGAAGAAAGGAAGGCCGAGAGAGTCTATACAGACAGTAGAGAAGGAATTACAATGAAGTGAGTATGGGGAGGGAACGGAAGGAAACAAGTGAGAGATTGAAGAAGACTATATACAAGATAGCACTGATAATGCACTGGTGTACTCCCTGTGCACTCTACAGACTGTCACATGAACATTGAAATTGCTTTTGCCATTGCCGCCGTCAAATATGTCTTCAAGTATGTCTACAAAGGCTCTGACAGATCAGCTCTTGTTGTCCACGAGCGTCAACAGTCTGTTGACGAGATCACAGATTATATTGAAGGTCGGTATATCTCACCAGCGGAAGCTAGGGGGTTAACTGCGGATGCCCGAGCCACCCTGTGCCGTGTGAAATCATCAATGTTGGAAGCATTCTTTCTGTACTGTGCTGCTCATCCTGAGGAGACCAGAGACCTTCTCTACCCCGACGCACCAGCCACACTCACTTTCCATGTCATGAATCAGTAATCATGACTCAGAATAAGTATGGACTCAAAGTATTAGTGACTCATAATTAATTAGGAATGATAAGATCAGGCCAAATGGTAAGAACAAAAGGTAAGGACAAATGGTGATAACAAATGGTCATGACAAATGGGCATACCAGATGGTAGCACCAGATGGGCATGACAAATGGGCTACGCAATTGGTAGCCTGAGAGCAAGAATGTCCAGACTGGTCAACCCGTTTGCAACTAGCTCTTGTCTATATAAACTTGTACTTTTCAGTACTTCTCCAGCAATGAATCTCCTCTTACTTCTCGTCTTCCTATCCTTGATCCTCCCCTTCCAGTAAGAGACGTCACTCAACTGGTTCTAACCCAGTACTCTCTGTCCCCTCAGTATCTAAGGCAGTCATCTAGCTCGACGAGTCAGAGACTATACCCCTCAGTACCTAAGGCAGTCCCTACGCTATCGCAGTCTACCCCCAGGCGTGACATCCCATAAGGCTGACGCTGTGTGGATGTCTCAAGGAGTGAATGCTTGGAGAACTATTGGCCGGGTTGTCTTTGTCCCGCCATCACAAGATCAGGTCAGTACTGTCAGTGACAACATTGATCCTACTGACAGTCAGCGGTTCTATCTTCGAATGCTTCTCTACCATGTCAAAGGTCCTCAGTTGTTTCAGCAACTACTTTTTGTGAACAAAGTCCAATGTGACAGTTTCAAGTCTGCGTGTGATGCTCTAGGACTGCTAGTGTCATGACCCTACTCATCATGACTTCCCCATCCAAGGTTCCGGCCCATTCCTCAGACAGAAAGGTTCTCAGTGAAGTCTCACAGAAGTCTCGCAGAAGAGAATAGAGGTTTACGCCTCGCTTTTATTCAAGATATCACGTTTTGATTCAAAGTATGACGTAACTAAACTTCTGGTGAAGACTTAGGTGAGATTTCCAACGGGAATCTCTTCAACAATAGTCTTGCTCTGCAGGATATATAAACCCCCCCTGTTGGCCCCATGGATCCTTTTCCCCAAGGATCAAAATATCTTTTGCATTTCATATTATCAGACCTCTTCGGGAGCACTTCTTACAGAAGTGTCATCCTTGTTTGATACATACTAGCTTGACCACTCGATCCTTCCAAGCTATCCTATCCTTCTTGACTTATACTTTCTTGACTTGAGTATCATCTGATCACTTCACAGTACCACGGACCATCTTCATTCGTCTTGGTCCAAGACCATCTAAACCTTTATGTTCCACTCCGTCTTTGTCCTTCAGGTCTCACAAGGACGGGTTGCAACAGCTAGAAAACGATCAGGAACACAACCTCTGCCTCACCGAAGCTGCAGGTTTCAAAACTGCACATACACTTCAATTGCTTTTCATGACCATTGTTGTCCACAGCAGCCCAACAAACGCTTCTCAGGTGTTGGTCAGACACCAAACAGATCTTTATGACAACTGCGCCCATCAGCTCAGGACAAGATATGGGCTTACAGATCCTACAGCTGAAGACACTGTAGCTCTGGGCCTTGGCCTGCTCTCCAGGCTTGCTGAACAACATGGATATTTGATGACCAAATTAAACCTTCCAGAACCACCCAAGCGGTTCCATCAGTTCAATGTCTTGTCCTTGGTGCAAGACAAGAGGCAGTACAACACTCCAGCCCTCCATGATGAGATTCAAGCCGCTTTGTCATTGGCAAACTTGGAGCAGAGACAGGTGGTTGACAATGTTACTGAGTCTGCCTCACAGGGCCTTTGCAATCTGTTCTTCTTAGATGGGCCAGGGGGTACAGGGAAGACATTTGTTGAGAGAGTGTGTCTTGGTCAGGTCCAAGCCGCTGGGAAGATTGCTCTGGCGGTGGCTTCTTCAGGGGTTGCATCACTACTCCTGCCTGGTGGTTGAACAGCACACTCCTGGTTCAAGATACCCATTGAAGTCTCCGCAGACTCCACCTGCCATGTCAGTGTTCAATCACCCCTTACAGAGCTTTTCCGACTCACATCACTCATTGTCTGGGACGAGGCTGTCATGCGACATCACCATTGCTTCACCGCTGTTGACCGCATGCTTCAGGATTGCTGACAAACCTCATCTCCATTTGGAGGGGTGACCGTCCTGTTTGCTGGTGAGTAATACTCTACTTGAATCCCAAAACTCACATGCAGGTGACCTTCGGCAGTGCCTTCCCGTGATTCCAAAAGCAAGCCGGTCTCAAATAGTGAACGCAACAATCACTGAAGCATCATTCTGGGGTCAGATCATTATCCACTCCCTACACAAGAACATGTGTCTTGCAGAGGCCTTTCAACCTCAAGAAGCAGCGGCGTTTGCACAGTGGCTTCTAGATGTAAAGGACGGGAAGGCTTCACAACAAGGAGTACTCACTCTCCCTCCCTCGCTTTGCCTCCCTCCTAAGTCAGACAGGTTGCATCTGGTGCAACACATCTTCGACAGTGTTGTTGGTATCCAACCCAGTGACCCAGACATGTGTGCAAGGTACTTCCAAAGTCGAGTTCTTCTAGTGCCGCACAACAATTCTGTGGATCAAATAGACGACATTGCTCTCAAAGGATGGCTGGTGACTCACATTCCCTCCTCTCCGCCGACAGCTCACAATTTGAGGATGGTTCTAACACGGGTCTCACCAAAGAGTATTTGCACACCTTTCAGCCTGCTGGCTTCCCTCTCCATGTACTCAACCTCAAGACTTCCTCTCCTCTCATTCTTCTCTGTAATCTGGCACCGTCCGATGGGCTGTGTAACGGAACTCGCCTACTTGTCATCCAAATTGGAGCCCGGGTACTTCAATGCCGTATCCTTGGAGGAACTCATGATGGTGACTTGGTGCTTATTCCCCGTATCCGCCTACTCACCACCCCTGAACCAAACGCCCCGTTCACCTTATTTCACACCCAATTCCCTCTTCGGCTGGCCTTTGCCATGACCATCAACAAAGCTCAGGGTCAATCATTGCCAAATGCGAGCTTGGATCTAGCCATCTCTTGTTTTGGTCACGGGCAGCTGTATGTTGGGCTGTCTCAGGCAACAAATCCGCAGTCAACCAAGATTCTTCTTTTGGAAGATAGGGAGGGAGAAACAAACAACGTTGTCCACCAAGAAGTTTTGATGGCAGCAGGCTTGAGGATGTTGGGGCCGGAAGTGGGTCAGGCAGACAATATGGTTGAAACTGACTGACTTTGACCTTCCACATCCGGATTGACACTGAGACAATCCCTTTTTGTCAGCGTCTGAGATGTTTCACTCTGTTGACCGGATTGGGCAGAAAAGTGTGACTGTGCCATAATTGCCATTTCCGGTTATGAGATGGAAGCTTATGTCACCGGTGTACACCTTCTCAGCTGTTATATACCGCAATGGATGGATGATGCTGTAAACAATCACTCGCGTTCAAGCAATCCTCACACATTCACAATGGCAGCACCCGCACCCAACCACCCCTGCCGTGTATATGGCCCACTCCTCATTTCATCAGGCACTGTTGAACCCACCCGGCCTCGTCAACATCACTTCAGCTGCAATCTCAACCTCCTTGGCGCCGGAGAGACTCACCCTGTCACTGTTCACGCCTACACCACAGATGCTCCCATTGAGGAAGAGCTGTGTCACGAACCATGTCGTAACATTCCTGACAACTACCATCACCGACCCTCCTTTCACCATCACTGAACCACTATCCATCACCAACCACCACCCGAATCACTGAGACTGACTACGGCGAAGTTACAAAAACCTAGAGGGTATTTGTCACGATAACCCCGCCTAGCAAAGAACTACGGCAAAGTTAGGAGAAGGAGATTGAGGGAGCAAGACGAAGTGCGGCTAAGTTAGCGGAGCAGGATGTCAGGGATATGGCGAGGAACGGCGAAGTTGGATGAAGAGGACTAAGGGTGGGGCTGTGCAGGAGTTGAAAGATGCTCTATGAGGAGAGAGGAGAAGTATAGACAGTTTACAGATTGCTGAACTTCTTCAGTGATCCTTGATTGTTGTCGGTAGTGAGTGATATATTCAGTAGCTACCACCTTTGAGTTAAGGAGAGCTACCAATCAGCAGTTTGACGCATTACGGCAAAGTCAGCCGCAGTTCATCGACGATCACCTGATTGTCTGCAACCCGACATACTACTACGGTGTAGTTAGCCGTAGTTCCCCGACAAGTACCATGTCTCAGTGAGACATCAACGCCCCACAACGACGTAGTTAGCCAAGGTTTGTCAACCATTGGTCAGTAGAGAAGAAGAATCAACGTTTGTGACACGGAACAACAGAACCTGACCCGGACGGACAGGAATACAATATCCAAGTGTTAAGACCTGGTTAACCAGCACCAGGCCATACACTGGCCATGCATGTGACATCTTAGGCCACTGCGCTAAAAGACACAATATTGCAATCAGCCCTATGATTGCGATCCGGTTATAACCTGATGTCACGACTGAGGTTGCAGGGTCGTGACACCAAGTTGACGTAGGCAGAGTTGACCCCACTTCTGAACAGTCGGCAAATGTTCATCCCCAAATCCGTCAGGAGCAATAGGCATCACCAAACTGTACTCGCTATCATTGATGTCTATATGCACCATTTCAGACTGGCCAGTTGTTGCTGCGACCATGGTACCAAAACCGCCAAATTCAAAGGGACGTTGACATTGAGTGGTTTGAAAGGCTGGAGCAACCGCCTGGGGGAGAAGGCTGTTGGTGGTGAGGTCGTTGGAAACAAGGGAAGTGTAAGCTTGTCTAGCAAATAATTCCTTGTCGTACTGCCGGATGCAATCTCCTGCCAATGTAAGAACATTTGACAATGCACTACAAAACTAGGTGATCACACCTTGACATTGTTGCTGGGTTGCAAGGATTGCTCCAGCTTGCATGGTATCGGCACTGAATATGGCTGGATTTCTTTGCCTCAACCATCGTCCAAAGTGATAGGTTGGGCGAGCAAAGAGTCCGTGTCTTCTATCCTCTGCATCAAGTTTCTTGTGAGCACGGCATTGAACAGGTGGAGTGGATAGGTAGTTGTATGCTGTGCCCAATTCCAACTGCTGGGCAGGGGTAAAGATATTATCCAGATGGGTAGCCCAGAATTTAGGGACTTTCTCGACGGGTCGCACAATGGCAGAGCGGTGCAGCTTTTCAGCAGTTTGTACTTGGTCGGGAATGAGAATTCTGATGGTGCCATGTTCGAGGGCCTGGATGTATGAGGGATTTGTGAAATAGGGATAGCGCTGTAGCCAAGCTTGGCGGGCAACCTCATTCCGGGAGCCTCCAAGAAGGAAAGCAGTCTGGACGTCATATAGGGGAATGTTTGCTTGGGGGGCAACTACTGGTCGTAGGGTGGCATTTCCACAAGAATTAAGGCTGAACAGCATCTGCAAGTCAGCACTTACAGTCACACATAATCAGAAGGCGCTGACAAGGATGAACTACGAAAATGTGCTATCACAATGTGGAAAGTGAGGAGAGGGGACCGGAAGGAAACAGATCGTCAATGAACAGGTCTGGAGCTAAGTGACAGGAGTGGGAATCAAATGATGGGCAACACGGGCAGTAATAATGGGTTTGTCAAAAGAGAAAGGGGGGGGGCTGCGGCTGATGGTTACCAATGAGGAAATGCCGAATTGCCAAAAAGGGAATGTGGCAGAAGGGCTGCTCAAGACACTATGCATGTGCACAGCCGTTAAAGGCTGCAGCCCCTGCCCCCGGCCAGGGGGAAGGAGCTCCTTTCCTTTTCTTGATCTTGATCTTTTTTGGGGGTGTCATGACTCCCGTGCTGCCGCGCTAGTCGGACTGTTTGGATCACAAGACGCACCGGGCTACATAGGAGAGCCACTTTGGGCACAACCCTAGTGTAATTGGGGCACAACCTGCCACACTCAGGGTAGTCAGGCACGTACCACCGGCATTTCAGTAACGCCGACCACGCGACGGACATGAGCTCGCCACTGATCGGGATTTCAGTAACGCCGAACTCCACCACAACGACGTGACATGTCTGCTCGCTACCTACCAACCTGTCCTCACCACCACTAATCTCTTTATCGTCATTATACTAGTAAACTCACGCTCTTTTTCACACACACTGTCTCTACTCGTCTCAAGGATCATTTTGATACTCTTCTCACTCTTTTACGACTACTTTTCACCCACTTCTGGCCCTTCGCCTTCTCAACCTGCGCCCTCCTGACTACCACCCATCAAATTGCTATAACTTCTTACAGAGCAATCGTGGTACTCTCTCATCTTCTCGACGCTGTTCTCCTGCTCTCTGCGAGTCTGTGAGTACTTGTTTTATCATCAGAAGTGAAAATCTGACTCCAATAGGCCCTCTCGCCATCATCATCCTCGCCACCGAACCCCTCTCGGTGAAAAACTTTTTTTACTCTTCAACCACACATCTTCAGCCTTTCTCGATAACTCGACACTGTTCTCCTGTTCGTCCTGAGCTGTGAGTACTTGTTTTATCATCACAAGTGAAATGCTGACTTCAATAGGCCTCCTCAACCTCAAGATCCTGGCCACCGAACTCCTCGAAAAATCTTTTTTCCTGCGATAACACATATGCAGCGACACTGATCCCTGGTTCTTCCTGAGCTGTGAGTAGTTGTTTTACTATCAGAAGTGAAATGCTGACTTCAATAGGCCTACTTAACATCATCATCCTCGCCACCGAACTCTTCGAAAAATCTTTTTTCCTGCGATAACACATCTTCAGCCTCTATCGATAACTCGACGCTGTTCTCCTGGCCTCTGCGAGTCTGTGAGTACTCTTCTCATCGAAAAATGTAAAAATCTGACTTTTACAGGATCTTGTCATCATCATCATTTTCGCCACCGACATCCTGGCAAAAAACTTTTTTAATTCTTCAACAACACCACCCCCGGGGTTCTAATTTGTCGACATGTATTCTGCTGGTCTCGGGCTACGAGTGAATACCATTTTTACTGCATGAAGTAGTCATTCTGATGAGTTAGATGTCATCACCGATTCTTATCCCATCGTCGCCACCCTCATCACCAATTCTGGATCGTTTTTCAAGGTCCCCTTCTATAAAATTCAGTCCTCGACGCTCTCTTTCTCCTGATTTCGTACCAGAAACCCAGCGATATTGTGACCACGACTATAATGATGAGGAACTCGATAATCTCATGGCGGAGATCAATCTCGACATTCGCGAGGACACAAGATTTGCTCCTATGGCTCACCACATCCACCCTCCCTTCGATCTCGAACCTCAACCAACCATGATGGCGGCTCGACTTCATACTCAACAGGTAGCCATGGAACACACCGTCTGCATTGTCACAAAACGCAGTATTGAAAAGAAGGGGAGACTCGATCTCCAATGTGCTCTTGGAGGGGATGGTCGGTCACATCGATCTGACGACTTTGAAGATGTTAGAAAGCAACCTCGTACTACCAAGCAAGCAAATTGTCCCTTCCTCATCATCTGGCGAAGAGAGACGAAGAAGGTCGCTCAAGAGGCCAACCACGAACCCCTCTGGATCCCCGACATCATCAAAAATTTTCATAACCATGAACCTGTCCCCCTTCTCCATTATTCTTTTATTCGTCAGGCTAGTCGATCTCCTGAAGTTCTTCAGTTCATCACCAATCTTCTCAAAGGTCCACACACTCTTCGTGGTATCGTCTCTGCTGTCCAGCAGCATTTTGGTGAAAAAGTTATTCTCACAAAGCAAGATGTGCAAAATTTTCGATTTCGTCATGAGAAGGCCCTTCGCCAAGGACAATCGGCCACTGAGGCTGCTATCAAACGTCTCACCGACAACAACGATCTTTTTAAAGCGTTCACCAACAGTAAAAAAGAACTCTGTGGACTCGTCTTTACCACTCCTTCGGCCAGAGCTATGACTCATTCGTATCCTACCGTTCTCTTTATGGATTGTACCTACCGAACCAATCGATATCGTCTGCCAATGCTACACATCTCAGGTTTTACTGCTACCAATCAAACCTACACCTCTGCATTCGCATTTTTAAGTCAAGAAGTGACCGAATGGTATTCCCTCGCGATCAAAACCTACCTCGAACTCATGGGTCCTATCAACAATGACATCAAAGTTATCGTATGTGATCGCGAGATTGCTTTACATAATGCTCTGTATTTCCACCTCCCTCATGTGCATTTGAATTTTTGCCGCTGGCACCTGCGAGAAAACATCAAGGTGAACTGTCGTAAAAATTTTCAGTCCCTTTATAAAGAGGAATGGGTGGAGAAGTTATCTGAGTTTGGTGATCATTTCATGGTGGATATCTGTAAAGCAAAGTCTGAAGAGTCATTAGATAAAGCTCTGTCATCAATGCAGGCTCGGTGGGGACATGAGAAGTTGGATGGTGCGAGGGCTTATGTGAGACAATTGGTGGATGAACACAAGACACACTTTGTCTCTGCTTTTATCGATAAATACCCTCATCTTGGACAGACAGCAAATTCTCGACTCGAAGGTAACCACACTGCATTCAAGAGACGGCTCAAGGATTCGTATAGCGACTTTTACGGACTGCTACGCATTACTCAGGACTTCTTCGACGACCAATGTAAAGAGATAATACACCAAATGTCTCTCGATAGACTCATTCAGAAGACGAACCTTAACTCTATCTTCTTCTCTGTCAAAAATCGTGTCTCAAAATGGTCGGTATTCCTCATGGAAAAGCAGTATGATAAAGCAACCAAAGGCAACCTCGAAAATGATGACGATCACCACCTGTATTCGACATCAATGGGCCTCCCTTCTGCCAAGGATATTGCTGAAGTCATTGAAAACGATGGTACCATTGCTCTGTCCCCTCTCCATCGACATTGGCGTCTTCTTAACCCCATGTCCTGGCCCACCACCATTGAACAGGTTACTGCGACAGTCATTGGAGAATTTACTGGGGTTCATCAATTATTAGGGCCAGAGTGGGACATCGATAATGATACCAACAGAATTCGAGATCCCCACCTTCGAAGAAATCGGTTGGCTTTGGCCAGGAAAGCCACTCAGAACCCCTCTGCGACTCAGATCGACTTGACCAACGATAATGACGATAATGACGATAATGACGACCCCTCACCTGTCGAAAATCCCTTCCTCTTACCTCCTCCTCCTACTCTTCCTCCTTCTCCTAAAAGGGGTGTAAAATCGAACCCTTCTCAACTGTCTAATGATGTCTCTCATACCGGTCGATTACACACTCAGTCAGAGAAATTCCTTGGTATCAAGAAAAAGGCGAAGCGTCCCTGTCCCCTGTGTGGTTCAAGAAGTCATGGTCCTAAGAAGTGTAAAAGGGCTAATGAACATCGAGAGAGGGATCCTGAGGCCTATGATCGCGAGGTAAAGGCGTATGATGCTGGAGAAACGACCTGGACAGAGGGATCAGTAATGGGGACTAATGCTGCTCTTGAGAAGAAGATCTCGAGTCTTCAGGAGATGGTTTCCGGCCTGGCTAAGAGTATTGAGGACAGAGATAATAGGGAAAAGGAGAAGGAGAAGGAAAATCGGCCTGTAGTAGTGAGGACAGAGGACAGGATGGTGAGGAGACAGGATGTGATGGCCGGGACAGGTTATTTGGTGGGTTTCTCATATGATAATGACATTTCTCCTTCCCTCCTTCTCCCCCTCTGTGTCCTGCAGTCATTCCTGGCTATATTGCTCTGTCTCTGTCTATATTGGCCTCACGATCTCGAAAATTTTCACTCTTCTCTTAGTCTCTTACTTTTAAAAGTTTCCTGCAAGCTGATTGGTCCAGGAGACACCAGGAAATGGCCAATATCAACCGAATGTGAGTCTCTAATACTGCATTTTCGGCTGTATCCGATGGGGGGTCTCTAATGAACAGGTACCCCATTTTTCGACATTTATCCTCCTGAGGAGAGGTACCTACCACCCCCCCCTCTTCCACCTACTCTCCCTCCTCTATCCTCTCAATATTGGCCTCCCTATCCCTCTCAGGGCTCTTCTAGACATCCCTATGGCTCATATTATCCTCCTGGACATTGATAGATAGGAGAATGCATGGACAATGACCGGAAATGACATGGTATAGCTAATAATGACATTGACGATGTAAGAGAAGAGTGAGCAATCAGAGATCGCGGGGTTACTGAAATCCCGATCAGTGGCGAGCTCATGTCCGTCGCGTGGTCGGCGTTACTGAAATGCCGGTGGTACGTGCCTGACTACCCTGAGTGTGGCAGGTTGTGCCCCAATTACACTAGGGTTGTGCCCAAAGTGGCTCTCCTACATAGGCCGAACAGATCGACTCCCGGCCAAGAGAAGAACTTACAACCACTGAACCACAGGGACTATACTTTCACTGCTTGAAATTCAATTGGTTGTGATGTGAGGGGGCAGATTTGATTGGTGGTTGACTGTAAAAAGCCAGCCGCTTATATCTCTTTCTCCCCATTGGACTTTACCTCGTCTGCTCTTTACTTCCCGTTTCATCTTTTGCCAACCTTTGTCCAAATACACTGCTTCCCACAAAGGCCAACACGTCATCAAGTTGAGTTTGAGACCAACACGTCATCACGTCATCGTTTCATTGCATTGTCGTTCTCGTTTGGCCAACTCACTTCTCCTGCCGTGCAGCAGCGGTTGCGTGCTAGTCTTCTTTTCTGTCTTTTCTATCCTTCCTGTCCTATTCTGTTCTATTCTGTTCTTGTCACAAACCATTGTGACATCCCCTCACCATAACTACACCATCTCCTTTGAAACGCCAATATCCATCACTCACCCCTGACTACAACCTCCATTGGATCTGACAATCACCTTGACAGCAAACTTAATCCATGTAGGGCAAAGTCTGACTGGATGCACATAGGGATAGGAAGTAAGACCGACTACGGCAAAGTCAGGGTCTGGGGGACTAGGGGATTGTCATGACTCTCTCATTCAAACCAAAATACCCCAACTCTGTCCAAAAGAAAGCTGTTACTGACTTTTGGGGCAAACCCTAAGCAAAATTCCAGCAAATGTTCTGCACGTCACACAATCAAGGATGAACATAGTGAGGACCTCATCTATGAACAGGTGCTACATCTATTAGAATGGAAACGCTACAGCAAAGAGATTTTCATTACTTCAGACACAATAGAGGA